CAATCTAGCAATCTAGTTCCCCCGCCGTATTGCCCTCACTTTAGGTACATATGGACCTACCTAAGATACCTAAGATACCTAAGACGCCCAGACTGGAACCCCGGTGGTTCAGTGCCTTAATTAGTACCCAATCCACCCAATGACAATACCTAACCTAGGTATGTACTTTAGATACACAACAATATATGTAAGAGGTACTAACAAAATAGCGCAAACTTACAAGTTTTTTGCAAGTACCTTAATTACCTATATCTTATTTGAGGTAGGTTCTACATAGGTAGGTAGTCCAGCTTTGCTGCAGGTCACCAACCTACCCATGGCTTATCTTATGTTGTCCCTCCACTCTTTTTCAGATTCTCACTTTCTTGTCCTGACTGACGTACCCGCCATCCAATCCCCAAACCTCACGACACAATCTGCATCTAACGTATCCTCTTCCCTCCTCTTTTCTTTTTTTATTTCCTTCCCTCTGCATCCTCAGTCTAAAGAAACTAAAGGGCTGTTCAAAGTAATCAACTACTTTGCAGTACCCAGATTCCTAGTCGCCTTTTATTTAGATTTTCGCATCATGAATACCTAAATCCTACCGTTGTACCAGACTAAACCTCTCCCGTATATCGCATTTGGGTACGAACCGCAGCCCTCGCCCATTCGTCATCCTTGTTTTCCCCATTTTCGGCCAACCTTTTTTTTGTCTCTTGGTCCAAACACCTTGAACAAGTCAGCAACGTCGAGCCCGGTTAGCCAAGCCCGCATTCTAGTGAGCCCTTTGCTCACTCCCAAACTTTTGCTAATGCGCGTGTTATGACTTAGGAGGACTACCCGACGACAATAATATTTTGGCCCGAATTGGTCATATCCTTTTACCCCAATTCATCTTTACTCGAGCCAACTTATTCTTCGCCACAACCCCCGCTGAACCTGCCGCCTCTCTTTTTCCTGCCGCCCGGACGCCATGGATCAATGGCAGGGCTATTCCGATGCCGCTGGCGGTTCTCGAAGATACAATGGTGGTAGTCAAATGACTCCGGGTAGGGAATATGCTCAGCAACCTGCTCAAGTCCAGCCTCCCGTCGGGTTCAAGTATGATCAGTACCAAGGAGCGATAAACTCGCATGCTCCTCAGCAGAGCGCGACTTCGCCTATCACCACTCCGCAGTTACGCGATGGCAATGGTGACGTCCCTATGCAAGATGTTCACGACCCTTACGGGAGCATGAAATATCCCATGCGCCCGCATCATCAGTCGCACCTCTCTGGTGGCCGATCCGCGTCCCTCCACTCGCCCTCCGAGCCATCGGCCGCTGCTCAGCGATATTCGCCTATGGAAGTGCTGTCGCCAACGTCACCGTATACATCCAAGGCGGCAGCAAATCAGGCTCAGTTCTCCGCGTCCCACACTCAGCGCCAGTCACCTACCCGGGCTGACTATCAGTCTCAGAGCGGTTATTACAACCGACAGAACTCTCAGCTTCCTTCCATTTCGCCATACGCAAATTCCCAGGAGAACTACCCATCAGCTACTGTTTCGGCTCTTGATGGCGCCTATGCTAATGACCCAAAGTCACCGAGGAGAGCGCTTCAGCCCACCGCCACTATGCCTGTCGAGAAAAAGCCCGTGCCCCAGTTTAAGAAGATCGGGGCCGTGACAGACTTGCGACCCAAGGTCAATGCTCAACCGCCGTTCCGGCGCGCGAACCCCGAGGGAGGGTTTATAAGTGTATGAAGACTTACTATCGAGTATTACCCCGGACGTAGCAATTCTAACGATTTTTCTTTTATAGCCTCTCCAAGCCCTTACCGTTCATCTGCCCGCGACGTATCGCATATGCAACCCTAACTTCAAATACGAGTCTTCTCGCAATCCCCGTCGGGTGCTGACTAAACCGAGCAAGGGAACCAAGAATGATGGGTATGATAATGAGGACAGCGATTATATTCTTTATGTCAACGACATCCTGGGTTCGGAGGAAGCCGGTCACAAGTGCGTTTTTTTTTGTAGTATCCCCTTTGTGGACTATTGCTAATGACTCTTATAGGAACCGATATCTCATCCTAGACGTGCTTGGACAAGGCACCTTTGGGCAGGTCGTCAAGTGCCAGAACTTGAAGACCCAAGAGGTCGTTGCTGTCAAGGTCATTAAAAATAGGACGGCATACTTCAACCAAAGCATGATGGAGGTGTCCGTGTTGGACTTGGTACGATTTGAGGCCAGATTATCTGCATTGAGCTTCGCTAATGACTACGTAGTTGAACACGAAACTTGACAAGAACGATGATCACCATCTACTACGACTTAAAGACACGTTTATCCATCGACAGCATCTTTGCTTAGTATTCGAACTTCTGAGCGTCAATTTGTACGAGCTCATAAAGCAGAACCAATTCCGAGGTCTCAGTACGACACTCGTCCGAGTATTTGCCCAGCAGCTCCTTAACGGTCTCGCCCTGCTCAACAAGGCGCGACTAATACATTGTGATTTAAAACCCGAGAATATCCTGCTAAAGAACCTAGAGAGCCCCATCATTAAGATTATCGATTTTGGCTCAGCCTGTGACGAGCGACAGACAGTGTATACATATATCCAGTCGCGATTCTACCGATCACCAGAAGTATTATTAGGTCTTCCCTATTCCTCGGCAATCGACATGTGGTCACTCGGCTGTATCGTAGTCGAGCTATTTTTAGGCCTGCCGCTATTCCCGGGCTCGTCCGAATACAACCAGGTTTCGAGAATTGTCGAGATGCTTGGAAATCCCCCGAACTGGATGATCGAGGTCGGTAAGCAGGCCGGTGATTTCTTCGAGAAGAGGCAGGATGAATTCGGTCGGAAAACATACCATCTGAAGAGTATGGAACAGTACTCTCGGGAACGTGGGACGAAGGAACAACCTAGCAAGAAGTACTTCCAAGCGAGCACCCTACCGGAGATTATTAAATCATACCCGATGCCGCGAAAGAACATGAAGCCGAACGAGGTTGAACGAGGTAGGAACTGTCTTCCAGCTAGACGGACTTTTGGCCCAGCTAACCCATATGTCTAGAAATGAACAACCGGATTGCTTTCATCGATTTCGTGCGAGGGCTACTGACTATCAGCCCTCTAGAGAGGTGGTCGCCGCAACAGGCAAAGCTTCACCCGTTTATCACTCAGCAGAAATTCACCGGATCATTTATACCACCGATGAACCTGAAGTCAAGTTCTCTGAATCGGTCTCCAGCTCCTGGAACCCAACAGCAGCAGCAAGCTGCCGAACTCAGCAAGCAAAGGGCACAACAGGCGCAAGCTCAAGCTCAAGCGGCTGCCCAGGGAGCTTATATCATGCAGAACCCCCAATATCCAGCCGCGCCACACGGGCAGCCTTCGATGTACCAGACTAATGGCTTGTATACCCCTAGCAGTAGTCACTCGGGTGCACCGCCGCCCTATACCGCTCAGCAATCTCCTTACGGCCAAATGCCCATGGGTCAAGCACCTGCACAAATGGTGCCCGGGGGTTACGCTGCCGCCCCGCAACCGAACCTATACCAACAAGCTACGGTTCGAGCGGGCCGCCAACGCGCGTCAACGATGGATCAGCAGCAGAGTGGAATACCCGCAGCAATTCAGAGAGTCGCTAGCCACCTTGATCCAAGCCAACCCATCAGGCTGCAACCGAGTCCAGCGTACTATCCACCACCCGCTGAAGGCATTGGCCTCACAGATCCTGGAGCAGGTAGGGTAGCCGGCAGGAGAGACAGTAGATCGCAGAGAGGGGGTACTACTAGAAGTAACCGTGACTTTATCCGTAACCTGGAAGAAAGGACACTCGAGGAGGGATTTATGGGGGGTGGAGGCCAAAATCCGTGGGCTTGAGGGATGTCCTATGCGATCAAGTCCTACAAGAGCAGAACCGCGCATGTCAATCCATGTTGAGGCTATTGCAGCTAACCTCAGCCTGTTGACGAGGGCCCAAATTCCTAGGATCAGCTCTCAACCCTAGCTAGATTGGTAGCAACGGCATTTCCGAAAGAGCCTGTCCTTCGGACGCTGTTATAGTCCCGCGTTAGCCTACCGGCGCGAACTTTGGCAGGCGTGTATGATACCCAACAGAACATGGGGTGCAACCTAGATTGCCCAAAAGTTTACTTTTCTTTCCTCTTTTCCTTCGCTGCACACTACAGTTGGAGATGGATGGTATTTCGGCTGCATATAGCATTGGGAGAGGTTTCTCGGCGAGTAGCTCTGCTTTGACGACGAGTGGATTATCAATGAGAATGTTGCTACGTTACGGCTCAGAAAACCCTGGGTAGGCTGTATAGGGGGAAGAGCCGCCTTCGCTTTTACGTTGCGGTTCGGGTCCGTAGGCAAAAGCTTAGATCCAATACTCATCTCTCAGTTCTGACCGCTTGGTCTGTACTGCATGGGAGATACCAAGCCTTCTCATAGAAATTCCGTTGCTGTTATGAGGGCCACCGGCGGTGGCGTATTACGTCGAGGGTGGATGATGCCGGCTGAGTGGTAGGGAAGGAGGATACAACATGAGGAATGAGGATGGTGAACGGGTGAATGGTAGGATGGAGGGAGAGCTTACTGCTGCTTCGCAGCTAACTTTTTTACTTTTTTTTTTTTTTTTTTTTTAATTAAACCTACGGGGAAGCGAAGAGGATTATGGAGGTCAAAAATGACCACATCGCGCTAAGAAGCGCGGTTTGCTGTACGTACACGTACCTAACTTAGGCTGCGTATGATACCTATAAATACGTATAGGCTGCCCACGATGACTATGGCGATGGTGATGATCGTGACGAGCGCAAGTTAAATGGGTGATTACCTAAGTAATTGGATCGTTTGGCAGCTAATTAAAGCATATAAAGTCGGTAAGAGAGTTGAGAGATGGTGATTTGATGGAATAGGGGGTAGGATAGGGGGGAAGGAATGAATGATGGGGTAAAGTGAGTGAGTTGTCTGGGTATGGGTGTAGGAGATATAGTAGAGATATGATTATTTAATTGTCTCGTTGCTTTCCCTTACGGCTAGAAAATAAGGTAACATAATGTTGATTTATTATTAGTAATTATCTGTATAGCTAGTAATTACGTAATTCCATCCACGCGGCGTATAAAATATAAAACGATAATGTTGTAGCATCAAGTCGTGTCCATAAACCTGATTTCATAATCTAACCTGTAAGTGGCCTGGTCGTCTATAGCCCCTAGGTGCCTGCCGATTAGGTACCCGCAAAGGGGGTAATATTAACTAGATGAATATCTCATCTCGTCTCTCCATTGGATCCAAAGCATTAATGACGGTGCAAAATGTAGACGCGTATGTTGTATTAGTACATGTCTAAGTAGGTAAAAAGGAATAACTCGAAGACGTCCTACGTCATGTCTATACGTCCGGTACCCTGTCTCGGGATATCTCGTCTTCCCTTTCGTAGTTTGCGTCGTATCCGAAAACGTGACTCTAATGGAGACGTCCATTTCTTCAATGCTTGTCTCGTCAAGGGAGTCTATTCTCGTGGTCGGCTGCAGTATAGTCCTACTCGCGCGCCGCAATGGAGCTACATCTTCTAGGATTCATCGGCTCACCATCGCCGGTATTGGCGGTTAGGTGAATACTCATTATAACTATCTTGGTAATAGTCGCCCTTCGTAGCGACATCCGCTTCTGATCCGTGGTCCTACCTTCCGGTTCGGAAGTTTCTGCCCCTTCGACTATTGTTGCCACTGGCACCGTTAGTTTGGTTTTTGGGGACCATGGTGTCGCTGTATAGGCCGCCGCCGTTGCCGCCGTTGCTGCCACCGTTGGAGTAACCACTACCAAGCGAGTCCGTCTCCATCCATTCATCAAACCCCATGAATCCATCAACCACGACGTTATTGCCGGCTGATCGAGTCTCGTGGTCACGCTGAGCGCGAGGTCCGGTAGGCGGTGTGGAGCGGTAGGTGCCACCGGGCTTTAGGTATACGTGGAGCGTTCTGCCGTCCGCCTATCGTATTCATTAGCTTCCTAGACATGATATAGCTTAGTTAACTTCTGGGAGACTCACCGTCTGATTGTTAAAGGTTTGGATTACTCGGTCCGCGCCCTCCTTGCTCTCGAAGACTATCTCGGCTATCACAATAGGATGCGTCTTGATTAGTCGACAGCTGCTTACAAGGCCTCCGACTGGAGTCATGGCGCTCTCTATATCAGCGGCGGTGGTCCCCGGCGCAAAGTTTTGCGCCATGACAGCAAATGGTCCTGCAAGGCCTCGAATCGTTATGCCTTGTCCCGGGGGCTGCGTGGGTGCTGAACGCACGTTCAACTGCTGCTGCGCCGTTGCGGGCGAGGAAGTTGTACGCTCATAGGCATTGGCAAGCCGAGATGTGCGGTTTGGCCGGGCATTTCGCGGAGCGTTTCTCGGTCGGGGTGCTGAAGTACCTGGTGCATGAATTCGGGATGCTAGCGAGTTCGGGTCTTGTTGCGCCCTAGGGTTCTTGGGCGCATTGTGAAGATCGTGAGTCCATTCACCGTTGATATCACCACCTGGGAGACGCGCGACCGATGATACTCGCTTCACAAGGTGACATATTAGCAGAGCGTTTGGATTTTCAGAACTGGGATGGCGAGTGCAGCGCCATCATACCTTCTTCACTCCGACTCTGCTTGCAAGGGAACCAGCAGTGGGTGCGCTCGCCCGTCTTTGGCCGTCTTTCTTCTTGAAGATACGCGCGGCAAGAGCTTCGTTCTTCTTGCGCTCTCGGCCTAAACCAATTGAGCATTAGTTGATGAGCTCTCTATTTGTGTTGATATTGATATTATAAGTTGGTAATTGTCGTTCCGAGCTGCCTATAACACCAAGTTCGAGTAGCTTACCAGCATTAATGATCTTTTCAAATTCGGTGGCGTGTTCTTTCGCCATTGTGACTTGGTGATGTCTGAAGCCTTGTAACGGATGACGAGTATGCGATACTGGCAAACGGGGCAAACGGGGACGGACGTAGGGATCTAATCAACTGCAAAGGGGAATATTCGCTTAGAATTCAGGTAGATATGCTTCCAAAATAGCCGTGGGGTTATCTCGAGCAAAACGTTGTAAGATGGAGATAAAGTGGCAGAGGAGGCGGTAGAAGATGTGAAGGGTCAAAAGTGAATGAAGTTTGTAAGAGCGCGAAGTTGAACTTGATGCAAGGGTGGGCGCGTCGTTTTCTCCGCTATGTATGTATGGCTTTCTTTCAATCAGGGATTGGGGGACGGGGGACGGGGGATTTTAACATCAAATGTGGGGCATTCCATCCAGGTAGATATGTGGCCGTGCAAAGGAGTTTGTGGCTATGTATGTACTATGTAACTAGACAGGTACCTATGTACCTAGGTATAAAGCGCACAGGCCATTATCTTAGCGGGGTTGTCTATACCCGTATGTATTACCTAGCTGTAAAAGGTACGTACTCCAAGCGATTAGGGTCAAGCAGCTAGCCCGCAACCCACACAATCAACTTCTGCATCGAGGGAAAATTATCGGCTCTCTAATCTCGCGTGTCTCTTCCAAATTTCTTCAATTACCCAAACAACCCAAACATCCATTCTCTCTTCAACATCACGAATTACGCAAATTAGACCGGCACCATGGGTCGCGTGGTATGTCCGGCACTGCTTTCCCATTAATTGGTATTATCGCGACTGACGAAATTCGTTAAATAGATTCGTAACCAGAGAAAGGGTAACGGCGGTATCTTCAGTAAGTATTCGACGTCAACTTTCTCCGTCAACCTTCTCTCTCAATATCCCCTAGAGCTCGCCACGATTGCGATCGATTTAATATCCTCCGAAACACCCTGATACGCTCTGATACGCTCTGATACGGACTATTTCGGCTTACCTTTGATTTCTTCTAGCCGCCAACACCCGCCTGCGCAAGGCCCCGGCCAAGTTCCGTTCCCTCGATTTCGCTGAGCGCCATGGCTACGTACGAGGTATCATCAAGGAGATAATCCACGACCCGGGTCGTGGTGCTCCCCTCGCCCGAGTAGTATTCCGATCCCCCTACAAGTTCAAGCAGATCACCGAGACCTTCATCGCCAACGAGGGCATGTACACCGGTCAATTCATCTACGCCGGCAAGAACGCTGCCCTTACCGTCGGAAACGTCCTCCCCCTCGCCTCGATGCCCGAAGGTACCGTCATCTCCAACGTGGAGGAGAAGGTTGGTGACCGAGGAACTCTTGGTCGCACTTCCGGCAACTACGTTACCGTTGTCGGCCACAACCCCGATGAGGGCAAGACCCGAATCAAGCTCCCTTCCGGTGCCAAGAAGGTTGTTTCGAGCAACTCTCGAGGAATGATCGGTATCGTCGCTGGTGGCGGCCGAACAGACAAGCCTCTCCTGAAGGCTTCGCGCGCCAAGCATAAGTTCGCCGTCAAGCGCAACAGCTGGCCCAAGACTCGTGGTGTTGCCATGAACCCCGTCGACCATCCTCACGGTGGTGTAAGTAGAATCGGATGTATTGGAATGTGTTGTGAGGTACTAATGCGGGATCTTAGGGTAACCATCAACATATCGGTAAAGCCTCTACAATTTCCCGATACGCGGCACAAGGTCAAAAGGCGGGTCTCATCGCAGCCAGACGGACGGGTCTGCTGCGTGGTACCCAGAAGACGAAGGAGTAAAATAGGATCTCCAGGTCATGGTTCATCACGGCGGTTGGAGTTTTACTTGTTTGCACTTTGCATCTCTCTAGGTACTTGGCGAGCTACGATATGAGATAGGCTCAATGGAAGTACCCGGCATCAGATTCTTTCTGCACTTCTACACATATTTTCCAGTTGTCGCCCGTCGTGAAATTAGTGAAAGTCGAGATAGAGCTATTGCGGAGGATTTGCTGCATGGATGGTAGTCCCCAGGCCAGACCAGGCATACTTCGTACAATATAGGGTTAAGTGGAGATCCTATTACAAAAAAGATGAATTCCGATCAAAGTCTCGCGTGACGAGGGTCGACAGATGGAACCATACGTAGTCGTATGTACCTAACCTAGATAACTTTCGTCTTTCGTATATCCTCGGTAGGGCATGATATCATACGACGGAGCTAGCCTTGATAAAGAAGTTAAAATACCTCTAAAAGTAATCGCGTTTTTTTTATTTTTATAAAAGTTGCACCTGTATAAATACACTCGATGTTCCATTTCTCTAGGTTAGGTTCTTTCCAAAGGATGCCGACTTTGTCTTATCGTCTTATCGTCTTATTAATAGCGCGTGAGATTTTAATGTGAATAGTAATACAGCACATACCTAGGAAGTAAGAGAATGCCGTTCTCCACCTGCCTTCCCTCCGGGTTGATCCCTCGGACAATCTCAAAAGCGCTACGATTCTATAATAACCCCACCAACACCGCCCACGTCGCTTCCTACGCTTCCTACGCTTCCTACGCTTGTGCCTGTACAGCCGTCCCGCTCTCCTATAAAATCTCACCCCGCCAAAATAAGGGTCTTTCTACTTTAACACAACCGCCGAATCTTTTACCTTTATCAACATCGTCTACCACCACACGACGACGCTTCCAATCTACAATGGCTGCTAACAAGGAATACGTACTCCTCGCTTTGGAGAACCCTCTTCTGGGTGAGTAAAATTTGAATTTTATACAAGTGCAGCACAATTGGGCGTCTAAGAGGGGTGAGGGGTGAAAGTTGAGGAGTGAAAGTTGAGCTTTGGCCAACGAATGCACCGGAATGGTGTATAAGCCAGAGCAACAACAGAGCTACTCGAAGTACAGCTTCAATTCACCCAGGAAAATATAATTATATCGTGTTCTTCTCTTCTCGTGGACATTACCCATTACCCCGATTACCACCGCTTCGGCCGAGTTTACGCTGACATGTTTCGGGGCCGATCTCAGATATCCAGGCCCAAGGCAATGAGGAGCTGCTCAAGAAGTACAACCTTAAGGCTAACGATGCGATCCTGGCCTCTCCCGAGCACATTCCCATCTACGAGGAATTGTTAAACAACTACGATGCCAAGCTGATTGCCGGTGGTGCCGCCCAGAACACGGCCCGTGGAGCTGCTTACATACTCCCGCCTAACAGCGTTGTCTACCTTGGTGGTGTCGGCAATGACAAGTACGCTGACATCCTCCGCGATGCCGTCAAGCAGGTTGGCCTGAGGGTCGAGTACCGCGTCGACCCCGAGACCCCCACCGGCAGGTGCGGTGCCATCATCACCGGCCACAACAGGAGCTTGGTCACCGACCTTGCTGCTGCCAACCTCTACGATATTGACCATCTTAAGAGCCCCAAGATCTGGGAGCTCGTTAAGAACGCCGAGTTCTACTACGTCGGTGGTTTCCACTTCACCGGTACTTCCCCTCTTTCCTAATGCTTGCATAGCCAGCGAGCAGATAGACAGACGGAATTAACTAACAGCCTGCAGTCTGCCCCCCTGCTATCCAGGCTCTCGGCGAGGAGGCTGCTGCCAACAACAAGACGTTCATCGTGAACATGAGCGCGCCCTTCATCGCCGAGTTCTTCAAGGACCCGCTCGATGCATCGTCACAATACTGGGACTACGTGATCTGCAACGAGTCCGAGGCCGCCGCCTACGCGCGCTCGCACTCCCTGTCTGTTGCCGAGACCGACGTTGCAGGTATCGCCAAGGCCCTTGCCAACCTACCCAAGGCCAACACCAAGAAGCCTCGTGTTGCCGTCGTCACCCAGGGTACTCTACCTACCATTGTTGCTATCCAAGGCCAGGACGAGGTCAAGGAGTTCCCTGTCCACGCCATTGACGCTTCCAAGATTACCGACACCAACGGTGCTGGTGATGCATTCGCTGGTGGTTTCGTTGCTGGTCTCGTCCAGGGCAAGTCCCTCGAAGAGAGCGTCGATGTCGGCCAGTGGCTCGCGCGCCTGAGCATCCAGGAATTGGGTCCTTCGTAAGTAATTTCTATCTACCTCTTACTCGCTTCTTTCGCCACACATCACATTTTCCCCGGGTACAATTCATAATGCAATCCATGTCTTTTCTGCTGGAAAATTCCTAGAGAATAATATTAGCAGCAACTTTCTGTACACGCTGGAGAATAACAAAACCCTCCTTTCATACCGCATTGGCGAGCCATTGCTAACAAAGACTACAGATACCCCTTCCCCAAGCAGGCCTACCAACCCTCCTCGTAAATCGCCTTTCTCCTGAGACAGCAGTGAAAAAAAGAGCCTGTCAATACCAACAGCACCCCGGTGGCAACACCAAGCAGCTTTGTCGTTACTCAACTTGGCGCAAAGGACGGCGTTCTCGGGAAGAAAATTAGGATAGGGAAAGGTTAGGTAGAAAGATATATATTGCTTTTCAACAGGCGGTGGGGAGGGTCCATTTACTGCATTTGCAAAAGCGAAGCGAAATGAAAAAGGATGGAATAGGAGAATGCAAGCCATCTTCTTCTATTTTTTCTTTTATCTGCTGGGTTTCAACAACTGGAGGACATCATATTTTCTTGTCTTGTCTCTTGTTGTTTCTGTGCATCATCATTAAATATTCTTCCATAATATAGCTAGAAGAGCTAGCTGTATGGTTGGTGGTGGTTGGCATTGTCGTGCTGGCCCCTGGCCATCGGGTTGTCGATAGTGGCCTTTCGTATACATAGGTTTTTTTTTTTTAGCTAAATAACTAAGCTATGTCCTACGATTAGACGATATGAATACATGCATATGTGATGAATTGGCATGAGTGAAATATGCAAGATGTTATACACGACTAAGACCATTATATTCTCTATTATGCCGGTAAGTCCCTACGGCGAAGGATACGAAGCTAATCGCGAGGCAAGACTCGCTACAGACGAGGAAGTAATCAAATATGAAATTAAGCAGCCCTGGCGGGGGACTATATCACATTTCCTGCTGTGAAGAAAATACGGAAGTAACCAAGAACGATGTGGTAACGTGAGCGTTTAATCGGGAAGAATATTCTGTGTTACAAGAGCTTAGAGTCTATAATCTATGTATTAGAATCCCCGTTTTAAATATTTGCGTGTATGGAATAATACTTACCCAGCGATCACCGCAGTGAGGTGATCAGCTTCCCAAACAATTTTTTTTTCTGTTTTTCTCGAGGGCCTAGTACGTTCCGCCCTCGAATTCCTTGTCTTTGACTCTGACTGATTTCCCCGTAACTGGATCTGAGTATTACAGAGAGTAGCTTGAGTCGCAAGGAGAGTGTGGCATGCTGGGTAAGCTGTACTGGATCTCAAGCAGACGCAGAAGGGTACCGAAAAAGAAGACATGGATGAAGAGCGCTGGACTCATTCTTTGCTCGCTTAATCATTAATGACCATAAAAGAAGGTTATGTTGCTGACGACACCAAGTTTCTCACAGTTATCGTCTACCATTCTTCTCTATAGAAGATATTAGGCCTCACGCCCTCAAGCTGGATAACATCTGTCGTCTCACTATCTGTTCGTCAGGCCCATTACCCGCACCTTTGGGGTCACATTCTTCTTGGAAATGTCGCACCCGGAAGGTAAGATGTCACGGAGAAATGACCGTCTCATTCTGTACCACCCACCTACTAGATGTCTCAATTTGCTGCCCGTAGCAGCACGAATACTGTAATCGTTCACTCTTCTCGATTATGCCAAATTATCGCCAAGGTTGTTGAGGAATGCTAGTGAACATACCCTTGCAACCGTCAGGGAGGATGCATAAATAAGGTATGTCTTAGAATTGACAGATGCCTTATTACATAAACACAAGACTCTCGACCTACGGTCTAGTCCGGGAACACGGATTTTAAGGTGATGAGGCGTGGAAGAGACGATAAGATGGAGTTTGTTCTTTCGTAATGTTTCCTAGGAAATTTTCACTAATCGTAGTCCGCCTTAGTTATTGAAAGTGGATATGATAATATACCAATAGAAGCCATCACTTGGGACGCTGTTTCTGATTTTTAAGCATTGCAGTCCCCAAGAGCCGGCGGTTATAATCATAGGAGTCGCCTTCAGTGCCTAGAGCATCTTTAGCTTGATTTCAGTAGTGCGCGGAGTCATCCCTACTATTGGATCCCGCACCAATACGGCCGAACGGGGTACTAGCATTATAGCTGCCGTTAGACAAGACCATATTATGGGGGCCACCTAGAGGCGCGGCAGGAGTACCACCATAAAGGCTACTCGGGTGCGAAAAGGCGAATGTCGATCCGCTTCTCGTAGGTTCCTGTGTCCAAGGAGACTGTGGTTGCTGGACTGGGGTAGGAGGGCCAGGCGCCTTGCGTCTGGATACTGGGCCCTGGGCTCCTAAAGCTAGAACGGCCGTCGGCTCGATGCCAGCGGGGCTCGAGGCATTCGGGGGATAGCTGCGTGGGTCTTGAAATCCACTATATGTTCCGATTGACTTGCCGGACCAGCTTGGTCCAGGCGAGCTTTGCAGATTAGACATAGCCGCAAGTTGACTAGCAGAACGTTCCATGGAACTTGAGCTAATGTTAAGTCCGAGATTGCTCAAATAAGGCGATTTGGACCCAGGGGCAAATGGTGAACCTGACGTTCCGGGTGTAGAGACCCGAGTCCCTAAATAGGGGCTAGCAGCCACGCGGCTCGCAAAATTATCCGAAGATTGCATATCATTGGGGACCAACCCGTGCTGGGCATAAAGAGAAGCTGTCAAACTGTCAAGAACGGCAGTTCGCGATGCTTCGAGCGAGTCGCGAGGGCCTTTTGTTTCATGACGATTGAGAGCCGGCAAAGGCGCTATGGCCATGCCTAGCTTGTCATAAACTTGAGCTTGATGTGTACCAGTAGCCAGACCGTTGAGATAAGAAGATGATTCGAGGCTATCCGATTGACCGTGAGCACTCCTAGGTATGTAATCGCCATCAGGGGGCAATTGGTTATTAGATTGACTGCTAGAACGGTGCGGAGTTGGCTTATAAAAATAACCCCATGGAAGACTAGGGATAGTCTTAGATACCGGAGAAGGTTGTGCGGAAGTATGTTCGGAATTAGCGCCTAATTGACCGAAGACCTCATTTGTTGTAGTAGTATTCATGCCGTAGCTTGTATCAGCCTGTGTCTGACTCGATTGAGGCCTACTGTCTTCAGTGGGATCCAGAAGCTTATTTACCATGTTGACCATTTCACTATCTCCACTCAAATCTGTATCGAGAAGCGAAAAGGGGGCTCGTTCGTCGACGGACTTCCCTTTATCAAGTCCATGTTGCGTCTTGAGGTCTATATCACTATTATCGCCGTAAGATTGCTTTGCATCTGCCGTAGCGATACCTGGATTTGAAAACTCCAAGTCTTTCTGTACTAGATCCTCAGGCTTGGCTTTCGTGTTGCCAAGCTTTAGCTTGTTCACCATACGCAACATGATTGCTTCGCCGACAGGAACTCGATGAGAAGGCTCGTCAGTGAAATCCCAACATTCGATATCTCGTCCCTCGTGCTGTTTAAGAGACATGACGAGTGAGCAACCCGAACTCTCTGCCAACAGCACACCACAATACACGATGTCTCTAATACGCCAAACCGCTTCCGTATCAGGTCGGTATTGGCAGCCAGAGGCCCTTTGACGGGGCTTGCGAGATTTGGGGTTTTTTGGTGAGCTTGGGCCCAGCAAGTCTTCCAACTGTGTAAATAGTGGCAGATTCTCATTAGCAAATGGTCTAAGGCCAAGAGCCTCGACATCTTCCGGTAGTAGATACTTGGACGTGACTGTGACCGCAACTTGATCGATGATAGCGTTGAGTAGAGTCAACGTATCACCGAGGAGTCCGTATACGTCGCTGGCATATGGCTCTAAGAATTCTCGGTAGCTATTAATATCGGCCTGAGAAACATAAATCCATGATATATAAAGACGGATAAAAGGGAGAAGCCGCGATAAAAGCGGACTAAAGTGAATAGGACTTTCAGCACTGTCACGGTTCTCGCTTTGCTTCTCGGAAGCCAGAGACGTTGCAGATTCATTCAGTAAACCCGCCTTTAGAACTCGAAGGAGAACCACAAATGTACGGATATTGAATCTCAATAAGAATTGGGCAGATTGGGAGCCTTGTATTGTCCAAGCAGCTTTTGGTTGTGGTCAGCATATAAGTCTAATAACTGAAAGATCGTCCCGGCAAACTCACCCTTTACTTTCTCTAAAGCAACGTCATATGCCGCGATGTTGATGAATGTCATTCTTCGTAAGATGGCGTCGTCGGGGTTAGACTTGATTGTCATCTCTATGCGATGTAGCACTTCCTCTTCTAGCTCAGACTGCTGAGAAAAAGGCTCTCCTTGAAAGAAATACGCATGTAGTCGGAGGAACCAGGTAACCATAGTTTCACTTGGATCTTTTGGCCCCTTGCGAGCAGTAGAAGGGTTTTCCAAGCCCTTGAATTCTCGCTCAAGGTTAGTAATCCCTAGTTGGTGCGGCCTCGCGATGCAGATAGAACGGTGAAAGTGATAGACAATGTCAAGATGCCGAGCTTGAAGTTGATATAGTACGGCCAATTGATGGTGGGCAGAGCCGTCATCGGGGTCGATAGCGTTTGCCAGACCGTAATACTCCAAGGCTTTATCGAAATTCGTACTGGAATTCGAAAGTTTCTCAGTCATCTGACATCGATACCTGACCAAGTCACCGAGGTGAACCAGGGTGATCTGACATGATTTCAGAATCATTGCGCGAAGCCGAGACGGAGGTGTTGAATCGGGAGGAGGAATCGCTTCCGGCTCGATATCTGTACCATATGCAACTTGGTGAAGTTGCGGGATATAGAACCGCCCAGACAATCTTTGAATATAGACACGATAAAACGATTGGGATGTCCTCAGAAATCCTCGGTACTGTTTCTCTAACTTCCGTCTCACAACAACTTGATTCTGTGCCAAGAGGCGGCTCATAACCTTTCGGTACTCTCCGTTAAGAAAGGTGTGAGCATGCCATAGAAAGTGCTCAACATTTTTACCGGCTGCATACTCGAAATCATGGTTGATCACGTTCATGCAAGCTAGACGGAATCTAGAGTAACGATGGTGTTGTTAATACTTTCCGGTGGTAGTAGTAGTAGTAGTAGTAGTAATACGGAAGGGGAGTTCATACTCAGCCATCGTCTGCTCAACCTCATCGAAAGCAGATGTAGTGTTCGTAGTTCCACGTTCTTTCTTCAGGCTTGATATCTTTGCCATTATATCAGTGCGGATCTTCTGGGCGTCCCTGCCTCGGATGTTAATGCAAAAACCAAAACTGGCGCATCTGACAAACATAGACATACCCCCAGCTCGCCCTGGCTTTGTCTCGCGGATTCTCCATTGTGGACGAAGACGGCTTACGATCGTAATGTATATGCGATGCCGAAGCGTGGTATAATAGCGCTATTAAGTCACCGTCGCTCTAGGGCGCGGGGTTTAGGTTTGACTGGGAAACTGTTGCGACAGCTCACAGCCTCGAAGCAGGATCACACGAACTCGAACCGGGCGTGAGGATGCGGCGGATATCCATAATTTGAGGCGTGCGACGAGAGGCAACTGAGGCGCGCCGTACAAGATTGGGCAAAGATAGCTTTCTTGAAGTATGATATCGGGTACATTTGCGGTTAGTTGTTAAGAGAAGGGATACCTCGTAGAAGAGATGTCCAGCACTAAGAATTAGACGACCAAATAGTAGAATTAAAATTAGGAAATCGTAGGCGCAGACAGAAGCACGGGTAAATACTACGTCTGCGACTAGGAACAAGAGCGTCTTATAGACTAGGGTGTCTATCTGGCACAGAAACCTATGATAAGGTTAAGGGGAAAGGCGTGAAGGTGAGGAATGAATAGATGGAGGGTGAGGCGACTGAATGGGCTCATAAAGTTGTAGTAGATGGTAAAAACGCAGGGAGGGTCGGCGCACGCCAATGATGTGCTAAAATCTGCGAGCCTGCCCAAGGACCGATGTAGTACAGACAGGCCAGACAGGCAGGGCTACATAGGTACAATACATACCAAGTACAATACATGTACCCAGTAAATATTGAACTGAACCTTAAAAATGTTAGGTAGAATAAGGTACCTTATAACACCTGCTGGGCAGACCCCTCGTTGCTAACCCCGGATTAGTTTAGGGGTCTTTTTTGGCACATTTACTTTTGAAGGTGGCCTGCCTTAGGGACCTAACCTTGTATTATTGTACGCTTGCAGCCACTGAGCTTACCTAGATTCACACGCCGTAAACCCTGTCCTTGAGTCCATGCGGCAGATCAAATCAGATCAATCGTCTCTAACTCGCTGCATTCGGTTCGCTAGTAAACCTTTTTTAAGTTTTGAATTTCCCACTTGGCATTTTATGGAATCGACGAGTTACAATTCAAACCCACTGACCGCCTCCGTCGAGGTGGCCTGGCAGCCTGGTGGGCCTGGTAGCCCAAAGTCTCTTCCATTGTCCACATTCGTCACCAAACTTTGTAGCTTAGACTTTAATATATTGTAGTTATGCCAGTAACTTTATTATGCCTTTGGTTATGTCTCTTTGACTTTGAGTAACTACATGTATCGCTGCTATTTTTAATACCATTCATTATTTACAAGGACCCACGAGTGATAAAGAGTTATCTATTCAACCCGTCGAGTCTCTTTCATGTACAGTACATCGCTTTTTAACCCCCACCAAGTGACTTTGATACTTACACAGACTTGACCTCATCTTCAAGACCGTCGACGACCAAGCAAACGGAATTTCACACTTAACTGCTACCAATTTTCTTGGGTCACTAGCAACAGTCTCTATTAATGTAAATCTGCCCCAAATCTCTATATTAAGTTCACAACGCAAATATGAAGCGCTCACGCGAGCCTGAAGAAGACGAATTATTATCGTCACCGGAACCTGAAGCTGGCTCGGAGAAGATCTCGAATAGCGCAAGTCCACGAGAAGTAGAAAAGCTTCCACCGACAAAAATCACAGAGCTTGACGAATCCGCCGTCGACGACGACAACAACAACAACAATACCTTCATAATGAAGTGCTCTCTACCCCCGCACCGAGACGTGCTGTCGTTCAGGACGTACACGGAATATGAAGCACACCACAACAGGACACATATGAATCGATGTGTAGAATGCGGCAAGAACTTTCCGTCCGAGCACCTGTTGAATGTTCATATCGAAGAATGGCATGATGTCTTCGCCGCCGTGAAGAGAGAGAAAGGCGAGCACACGGTAAGGGTGCTCCCGGCATCTACCCGGTTTATGCTTATGAAACTAACTATGTTTCGGGTAGTTTTCTTGTTTTGTCGAGGGCTGTGATCGGAAGTGTAGAACTCCTCAGAAGAGACGGAGCCACCTCATCGATAAGCACATGTACCCGAAGAATTATTTCTTTGGGATTACTAAGGACGGTGTCGATGGAAGGCAGTCGCTACTAATCGAATATGGGCATCGTCGACGAAGGTCGTCTACGGCGACCAACGGTAGCGTGCCAAAAACAACGGGACGAAGGCAGAGTCTTCGGCAAACGGATACAGCGAAGCCGGAGGGACAAGAATCGAAAACAGAAACATCGAAAGTGACCTCTCCTCAGGCTGAAGTCCCAGATATGGAGATGGAGGATCTGGCTGGCGCTATGTCCGCACTCCAGTTTGTCCCCACGAGCATACGCTTTGGCCACAGGAAAGGAATAGCGGGATTCGCAAGACGATGATTTGACGAAAATAACAATAATTGAGAACACGAGAGCACGAAATTATGAACATGAGCATAAACCCAACGACATCAACAGTAGCATTACATACGAATGATATTCTAGCCCATGATAAATAATGCTTTCTGAATTGAGCCTTTAGTCTACTCCATTATCTTCCCTAGAAGCCTAGAAGCTCGTAATATCGTGCAGTGAAACGGATCGCCCGTACTCCAATAGGTATAGTGATTGCCGGAAACCAGTATGTAGAATGAACCCTAACGCCGTTATGCCACGAAGCCCAACCGGTGCATGAACTCAAAGACTGTAACTTAATCGCTCGAAGCACAACCCCTGCAGCCGCAACTAACACATTGGACGTCCTGTTCGTCCTTCAACTGGGCTTTGGGTACTCGGCAGACGCACGTCGACTGGAAGTTGGTCTCCTTGGTCTGGATACAGCGAAGACAGCATAGCTATTAGAGATTCCAGAGTTAGCAAAACGCCCCAATTTGCACTTTGAAGAGTTACAGTATTGCATACCTTCTCGTATCCCTGCTTCTTCCACTTAGCAATCAGCATAGCGTCGGCGTATCCGTTCTTGAGCAGCCAGTCGTACAGCTGCTTGCTGATAGCCTCCTTCTCGTAGTAGAGCTCGTAGATATATCGGCTTCGCTGATGGGAGATCTGGAAAATGGGCCATTGCGCCTGGTGCTTCGGGATGTTGCTTGTAGGCAAGTTCTGCGCGTCCTTCATCTTGATGTTGAAGATCTCGAGGTCGTCACGGATGTCGTCGAACCCGGCTGGCGGCTTCTTGGATCGTGACGAGCCGAGGGATCTGACCGGTGGCATATTGTAATGATTGTATAGGATTGATTCGTCGGAAGGGAGGAAGCTTGAGTTGTATTCGTAAAACAGGTAATTGTTTAATTGCCCGATTTCCAACTCCTGGGAAAGTAAACAGTTCAACAACGTAGTGGGGCAAGGCTGAGAATTACAGGAACGAAGCCTTCTTAGAAGTGATGTTGACCTCGAAATGGTACATGTACCTGACGCCACGCGATTATCGATTATGCAAGATGACTAAGAGAAAATGCTACAAGATACCTATGTAGGTAGTATAAATGTGGCTAATGTGGCTAATGCAGCCTAACCTAGGTCCAAGGCTCAGTTCCCACCTTCGCTTGAGACAATTGGAAGCTAAGAAGTTCGAATGAACTTCAACGCTACGTCAAGGAACATATCTCACCTATCATGCCGATAGCACCTACACAATTCGCGCGAACGACGCGGACGTGTTAGTATATACCTCCCGCTTCCATTTCCACACGCTAATATAGTCCACAGCGGCTAATTGGAGCGACGCAAGACGACGAGTCCTGGCGGCTTATCGAGAATGGATACGAGCGGTACGGATCTCCCCGGAGCGAATGCTTCATATCCATCCGCAGCGAGAACGAACCGCAGGGCGGTTACTTTATAGGAGGGAGGCTTATACGAGTTGCTTTCTAGGCACCTGAAATCCAGACGATGTACTCGATCCCCTTCCCAGTCTCCGTCATCCGCACACGAATGCGACAGGAGTTCGAGCGCCATAGATTCGTCGATAAGCTACCGGTGGTCGATGTGCTCCTTGTGCAGAACAACGCAGAATACCAGGTCAGTCAATAGATAGCTCGATACACAGCTACGGCTATCGAGCGGGCTGGATGTAAAATGAGGGGCGCAATAAATTCGTATTAGGAACATTACTGATGGGTTTATACAATAGGAAGCCATGAACTTCTGGAAGCAGACTACACATGTCATGTCCTATTTCAACTCTGAACACTTCCGGGGAGCCAGCAGACTGCCGAACAGCTTCATGCAAGGTTTCTTAGAGGCAAGTCTCTGTTACGATATCCCTGACAGGGGAGCCTTCCCGCTAACAGTGCCTCAGGGTCGCAACTAGATATAGGTATCGCCCCGCTGTATTTTACATAGCAAGACCCGAAATCAAATCCTAGACCTGAGAAAGTTGTTTTTCTATCATATACTCCGAACGCCGCAAATGCCATATCCTTCACGTTGTGCCAAGATACTCTCAACTAGTCTGTGCTGCCTGTCTTCTCCTCTCTGTTTCTTCTTGCCTCTTGCGAGCCTGCTCCGGGGTTGCTTCGAACTTCTCTCGCTCTGTCCAGAATTCGTCGGCAACGACATCACAGAGATCCTCTATGTCTTGAAGGCCCTTGGCCAACGCAGCCGCAGCAGTCGTCGTGTCTACAAGCAGTCAATACCGAATGGACGGGGTTCAGTTTCTGGGACATCTCCTACCGTATGTTTGGATTCTGAGGTTCATCTTGTCCTCGGAAGGATGGGGAATGGCGTACGCGCAGAATTCGACGTCCGGGCTATGATCATATCTAGTTAGTCGCATTACTCCCGACAGGACAGAATATTAACGTACTTCTTCATGATTATATATCGCAGAGCATTGCCAAGTGTGTGACCCTCCTTCAGGAATTCGAAAGAAGCTGCCGTTTCGGATGATCCAGGTAGCTATGTGTAACATTTCGTTAGTGACTTGTTCACTTCAGACCAGTATGTAGGCATTCGAACGCACGATTCTAACTCGCTGGGGTTCCTCTTCTTCTTCTTCTTCCTCGACAGGGTCCCCATCGCCTTCCGATCCGTCCTCCTGCATGGCATCTCCGTTTTCCTCTTCTGCAGGCTGTTGCGCCGAGGTGGGTGCATCGTCCATGGAGGTATCTACCTCCTCGGGCGCATCTTCGCGAGTCTTCGTTCTTCCAGGCATGGCGCGCAATATTGTATCAAGAGCAGTTGATATTTACGGGAGTGGTGGAAATGGTCGACGACTTATACCGACTGGACGCAATTTGACTGGTGAAAGTGTAGCGCTCAAGAATTTTGGTGGGGTCTGTTATTGGCCGAGCTCTGACGATAAAATTTAAGGTTAGCTAGGTATCACAGGGAAGACTTTGATTGGCTGACTAAAGAGCGTTGGGTCCAATGATTTTCCGGCCGTCCAGCTCACGGGCACCTGAGGTAGGTACTTGGATAGGTGGACCTTATAGCCCATAGAATCCACATCATCACAATTCAAGAGAGGTAACTTTAATCTTTTCCCCAGCCTCTAGTATAATTCAGCAAAATAAACATACTTATTTCTACTATTTCTACCTTTTAAGAGAGTATTCTATTGGGTTACAAGCACGTAATCATTATTTTCACGTAGCTTATTCTTAAGATTATCGAAACAGGGTCGATTCCATTTAGGTTAAATATTCCTGCTTTCCGAGAAAAAGAAATCGGCATCTAATTAATATTCTTCCCAGCTATTAGAATGAATGATCCAGTGTGCATCTAGCTCTAATTCATTACCATTACCATAGTCTTGAATAGTGATGCTCGTGCATCAACATGTTTTGGCCGTATTAATGTTAGTTGTTAGTTGTTAGGTTAGTTGTGTTCATGACAGAGACGCGTACACGCCAAGACATCTTCGTATGTTTGGTCAGATATCACCTTTTCAATCGTCGGCGGGAAACGACTATCCGGAGGGCTTTTCAGGGGCAATTCCGCTTTCACAACTACTTTGATATGGACAGATCCGTAGAGACGACATCCGGCATATATGTGGTCATAGTGAATGCCGTGGCAGACGAAGACGAGTTGTTCCAGGTTTACCAACTGATGATTGATAATATATAATAGTTCCTGAAGCGCCAATCGGAAGGTCAGCGCATGATACGAGAAGTGCCACGTGAGCATCGAGTTGCTGATGGCGATATGGCGGATACAAGCCATATCTTTCGGGTGAAGTTGAGACATGAAAATACTGAACCAATCTTTTGGGTATCCAAATGCCATATCTGGTCCAAAATAGAGCATATCTCTTATGGGATCGACAAGGCCTCCAATACCAAAACGTAGACTATATCGTTTCAATGCCTCCTGTCGTGATTCTCTGCATACGTGCAGATTGACAGGGGTTCTACACACGTACGTATAGTGAAATTCATCGTTACGTAGTCTTAGCTGGGGTTTAACAGCCTGTGTAGTTTGAACTTCTATACAATGTGGTAGTAAGTTGTATTCCCATATCATCAGTCGGAGTTCGGGGGGAAGTTGGGAGAAAAGATGCTTGGACATATTAGTGTTTATTTATACTTGGGCATCTTTAAGACTTACGAAGATTTGGAATCCGTCTCTCGGTGTTGGCTTTACGTTATGGGTAGCCCTCGCGAACCAGCGTCCAACGGAAGATAGCGCCCCTTGCATGGCTGATTAATACGGGATTCCGAAGTAGCGGGAAACGTCGAAACTGAGTCGAGTAAGAGACAGAAATGTATAAGCTAAAAAGTTATCTGCAAGATGAACGACATAAGAGGCTATCCAAATGCTATATAGGTACCTCTAACAAGTGCCAAATTTATAACACTTAACTTTAACGCTTAATTATACAATCAGCCCATAAAAGAGATGACTAGAAGATACCAACAAAGCAAATACAATAGGCAATACGTTAGAGGAATAAGATCCTATGCCCTTTCAACATGTAACAATTCCTAACAATACAGTTGTAATTAACTAAGGGAAGATATCTTTGGGGTTGCGGAAGGCCTAGTAAGTAGGTGACTATGGAAAACTCACCGCTAGGACTCGCAAGAATAGTACAACGCATTGAAAATTGTGAAAGAAACCGTCCAACCCACATGCGTCTTCCTGCAATTGTGACGCGTCAAACTCCCGTATTAATTTTTTTTTCAATTAAACCTAACTAGCAATTACTTAACTATAAATTCCTAGGACTATAATTATGTATATGTATAGATCTTCTCACGTTAACCTAGTTATACATACCTAACTAACCTAAACTAGTGTACTGCCAAGAATGTTCAAGGATCCACCAAACCCGACAGTTCGGACACAGCAATTTGAAGCTTATCAGACAGGGAAGGCAGACTCCCTCCCTTTGTGATATCATGAACCTATAGGCTCAAGATGTATAAGATCCGAAAAGATCCGAAAAGTCTTGACTATAAAGGACAATTACCTAAATACTACCTAGTTAGAACTCCATTAGGAGGCCAGCATACAAAACCATAGATTAGAAATATAGCAACCTCTCTCTTCAACTGCTCAGGCAGCTAGCCAACTAACTTTAGCTGCCATTTATTTGGGGGCCTACGAATTTACACAGCAAGGCTTATGCCTCAGGCACTCATTCAAATTATTACTTCGTCTGTAACATCGCAGAATGCAATACCAGTTCACCCTCAATTATCTCGGTAAGACCAGGAATAAGAGGCTAGCAAGATCTGTAAATCGCGGGACGGCGCAGAAACTCTATAGATCCTTCCGAGCACCCTTACTTACTTACCCCTTACCCCTTGCCCCCTTGCCCCCTTGCCCCCGTGCCCCCGCAGAATCCCCCTCCGAATGTCCTGCATTGGCCCACCCAGACGGCCGGCCGGTCCAGGACTTTATCGAAGCAGATAATTGCCCTAACCGCAGCACTTGAAGCAGATCGATGTCTTCCAGCCAATTCCGTTCTCGACCTAGAGAACACTCCCCAGGGGTGGATTCCCATGGTAGTAGCGAACGGTGACATACATTGGCGCCGGCCCTCATGATTGGCTATAGTGGTGCCGGACCTCCACTTCCCCGAGCTTGTAAGCGCCCGCGAAGGTCTAAATTTGGCTGTCTCTGGGCCAATCTACGATGGCCCGAACCCAAGCATGCCTCTTAGGCCCCGGCCTCATGTCCATCACACGCGTCTAGAGTGTGCGTGGGCGCATCGCCTTCCACGATTAATCTCCCGGGCAGAGCTAGATATGTATGAGGGTATCACCCGGAGTACTATCCTTAGCATCGCGCATGGCTACAAGCGCTCAAAGGGTCCACGAGACTAGGTCTAGACGGGATGGCTTCAGCAACTATAATCGAATGGTTGAAGGCGTATATTCATTCATATTCGTCGCATTTCGCCTTCTCATCAGGTTTGTTAAGTTGTCTCTTTTCGACATCTCATTGAAGTTGCTTGTCTTTGGACTATCCATTTCCTTTTTTAGTCGCTTATCTCCCTTTCTCTATCTTGCTTCTCTTCGTCTGATCATATTCACATTTATCTTTATTCCATAGTAAGTCAACATTCTGTGAAAGTTGAAAACGGATAATCGCCTATATTTTCTTCGCTCTCTCTCCATCTCTATATATCGCCACCATGTCTTCCGATAACAAGAACCGTATCCCCTCGCCTTACTCGGACGTGGATCCTCAAGATCACCAATACCAGAGTCATGTGAAGAAAATTCGTCTTGTTGATAGTGCTCGCATCGGTCTCACTGGACTGGCCCTCCTCTGTGGCCTGACCATCCTCGGAACTGCTGCTGATACCCTAGCTGTATATAATGCAACACACCTCTCGAGCGATTATCACTTACCGCTGTGGCCTGACCAATTTGATCTCCGACCCACGGTCGCTCTCGTCGTTGGCAGCACTATTGTGGTCATTACCAACATCGTATCTCTACTGTGTAGCAAAGTCAGGGTGGTAAGTACATCTTCATTGGTAGATTCTCTTCGTCGTGAAACTGGGTTCGTGCTAAGAAACTGAATTCAAGCTTCGCAACCAGACCTCGGTCCACACGTCTCTTACTTTTGCTGCGCCCTTCGTTGGCTTTACGGCTGTCATGATCGGCATGGTTTTCTTCTATGCTGTCAATACATCAGCCACAAATGATACGCTACAGAGCTGGAGCTGTCAGTGGGGATTTGCGAGCATGGGTGCGAAGCCGCATTTTGGCACTCTATGCAACGAAAGCCGGGTAGCCCTGTACCTGTCTGTTATATTAGTTCCTGTCGAGTTGATCGTCTTTACTGTCGCCGGCTATCAATCGATCTTGGAGAGAAAAGCAATTGGTTTTATCCCGTCTCACAAGACTGGCAGTCCTGTACCATCAGCGTGAGACTCAGTGTGAGACTCAGTGTGAGACACTACCAGGCAATGAGTAGACCTAATTGGCTCTCGACCTGCACACAACCGTGGGCTAATGTCCTGCAATATGGAGACGATCCATGCATATTTGTCGGAGACCGGTCTTGATAAGGTGCGCAAGGAAAATGACTTACAAACAACCGGTGCAGAAGAGCTATGGTGGTAATCTGTATAACAGTGGTAATAGGCCGTCGCCGAGAAGTGGCGACTCAATAAACATTATCTGAATCGATGCTGCGGGTTGACGTTCTAGGTCATCTTGATTTGTATATCAGGGATAGACTAATTAGTGTGATCTCTCGGTTCTCGGTAGCCCACAATAACAATTAATTCGGATTTGACCGCTACCACTTGAGTTAAGTGATAAAAAGGGTCTCGGATATGCAAGCGATAGATTAATACGGCCATTATGTGGGCGGAATGCTGCGGCTCTGGCCCTGCAACGTGTTTGTTTGCGATAAGACTCCAACTATAGACGACCCAACCCTCACTTATATAGATAGGCACCGTCATCCTAATATAATTGCGAGAATCAGTGATACTAAACGAGGGATGGCGCGTGGGATTCGAAGTTATCGACCACCCTGCTTTCTAAGCTTCCACCAAGGAATTCTCTCGGCCGCTGGACGCAATGTAGCTTTCCTAATTGCTATCATCGATGGATAAGCGGATGCAAGCGACCAGAACGGGTTGCAGCGTTGCACGGAAATGTTGTGCTCCCATTGGCGTCGATTGTAGCCTTCCATGTCCTACCTAGATCCAGCCTGTCGTGTGCATCGTGTTACAGTGGTCTGATAAGGGTTCAAAGGAATATGGCGATAGTAGATGAAACTTGGAAGGTTAAGACGGTGGGGGAAGATAGGAATATGAAGAGCCGGTGGGTTATAAATAAAAAAAGAAGATATCCGGGTAACTATGGGAAGTATATTTTTGGGTAACAGACATGTACTTAATCTTAACTAACTAGGTTACATGTGTGTATTATGTAATGATGTATTAATATCAATGCATCATATTTGAACGCATTGAAATAAGCAATGCTGGTGCATAATAGTAGAAGGCAGGTGCCACTAATTCAACCACTTGGTACCTGCCTCATGCATCCTGACGACAGCCTGCTTTTGCTTTTGCTTTTGCTTTTGCCTGCCTTTGGGTAACCTTCCTTTAAGTAACCTTTCAAACGTTCCAACACTAAGTTTTTGCAAACCATCTCCGTTAGGTTATTCCATGTTGCTTCCCCCTTCATCACCATTACTCCGTCGGAGTTCCAAGGTTCTTATGTGCCACTAGACATTCGATTCGGCCGAATCAACTCAAACTCATCAAAGAACCAAAGAACCAAAGAACCTCAACCCTTTATGATAGGTATATACCACACCAACTCACCATAAAAATAGGAGCTAATCTAGCTGGAGACCACCCACTCGGTTTTTATCATACTATATTGCAGTACTGCTCCACGCTTACAGTCTACATCTTACGAGGGGAAAGATAAGGCCCAGATCGGTATTCCTTTCCCCAAGCAGGGAGAACCAGTCCCCACGTATTGTAAAGCTCAGCGTCCAATACGAACATCACATGCCCTAGATCAATGCAAGACAACCTGCCCTACAATCTGACAGGACACTATCCCAACTAGGAGACCCATATTCACCTATAAGGTGTCGCACTTGGCAATACGCAAGACAAGATCTGACAAGACTTATCAAGACTTACGCGCGCTATTGAACACTCTAACCCTTGTACAACAATGGTTCGACCAGATTCTTTACCAGCTAGGCTGCCTCGTATAAGCCCGCCCTCGACGGGTAATAATTATCCTCCAGCTATTTCCGATGCCTCTTCCACTCAGCGAAAAGGCCATTCTTCACGCTCTTCGAAAACAAATATCGTCGAAGGTAACAAAATGATGCGCAATATTGATCGGCCCCTACCAGGCGACCCAACTGGTAGTCGTAAGTCTCAAGTACATCCAGATCTTAGCAAGAAACGAAGCGCCTACTTTGAGAGTGAATTCGCAGCAGCTAACCGGGGTCCGGACCCGGTCAAGGCTCGAATACAGAATGAAGCTATTGTAATGGCAGATCTAAGAACAAATGTCATCGTGAGTGTATGCGTATACTCCATCAACGTGACCTACTAATCCGGGCCGTAGATCAAGGACGAGTTTTCTTTTATAACCGATCTTTCATACAACCTATCCAACAGGTATCAGCGACCAATATCTTCAATCGTCATCAACTTGAAGCACGGCTGCTGTATGATGTTTGGAGGCTCCTTCGACCCAGCGTACACATTAACTATTCATGCACTTCCGAGCCTCGTTCAGCCTACCACGAATAAGAGGAATGCGGCGCTCATTCAGCGACATATTCAAGAGACCCTAGGTGTCATAGCGTCGAGGGGCTATGTACGCTTCGTTGCTACCCCCGAGGAGAATGTTGCCATTGGGGGCAAGACAATTGCTGCTGAGATAAACGAATCTGGCAATGCCATGGCCGATGACACTCCCGCCGAGACTAGAAAAAGCGCCAAGTCAAATCGGAGACTTGGTGTTAAGGTATACTTTTCTTTCCTCTTCCTTGGCTGCGGGGCTCAAAGTCGGCTTACAGGACCGATAACTAATATATTTGCAGTCTTTTGGGGGCTTCAGATCCGCCTCCATGACTGATCTCGCGAAGGTTCCTACGCCACCTCCGAGTACCTCAGACGAGACTACGCCCATCACGACCATTCCCGAAGTGCCCCCTACGCCGCCCGAGGACGACAAGTTGGGCGACTTAATCGAGCACAAGCCGGTCAAGACTGCATCACGTCGCAGAAGTCTAAGATTTAGTCTGTTTAGTGGGAAGACAGCGGTGTAATAGAGTAGCGGTCACAACCGCTTATCACTTTTTTGTGACACTAAACCTTTTGGTTGAGATTGCCTTATCATGCTGCGGCACCTGGTTGAATATTTTAGTTGCGTCGCAACTTTCATAATGCGACGATATCAAATACGGACGGGCGTACATTGATTGCATCGCTTGGGGGAAGCATTGCACTGGAGTTTGGGAGGGAGGAACAAGCATTCTATTCCATGGAACGTGATATTATTGCTATGTTGTATGCTCGCGTGATGAATTGCGATGGGTGTATGATTTATTGAGAAGCGATTCGATAGTCTAATGAGTATATCCCGCGGCATAACATACCTACTTACCGAATCAATTAACTAGATTTTGTCAGACTCCGTTACGAGGAGATTGGAAGTTCTCGTGTATTAGGATCCGCTTTCGAGGCGTGGATGTCAGGTAGTGAGTGGAAGTGAGCGGAAGTGAGCGTTACCTTAGTACGTAAAAGTCAAAAGATACATATTAGGTTAGGTAGTTATTAGGTATTAGGTCATACATAAAACGAAATTGAGCTTACTAAGGTTGGATGGGTTGTGGTACTACCTATTACCTAATAGGTAGGCTACCTACCTATGTATATTGCTTGCCGGCTGAAATCGCATGGCTTCGATCAGCCGATAACTGCCAGAGTTAAATTTGCCAGCTGATAGTAGCTTCGTGCTAGTCCTCCCTCAACTCCACATTTTTGCTTTGTCTCTCCCATTCGACACTACATATTATTCCCGCCTGGAGTGAAATGAGACTAGGTTAGGTATATCTGAGCTCTATATCTTGAACGCGACAGAAATTTCCTCTATCTGCATCAATGATTTATAACTTTCCAGACTTTACTAGTTAATTATAATTCGACGCGAAACGGCCTTTATTCAATAAGTTCAATTCATTTCGTATCTCGGAATTGCAGCTGTTTCTCGGGAAGCTATCGACGTCGGCGGAACAGAGGTAGCTGAATAGAAGAAGCTGACATCTTCCCGTCTTCCCGGTCTACCGAAAACATCTTGCCGACGCTGTGCACAGCCGTGTTGCCTGATGATTCTCGTCGCTATTTATTGCAGCCACTAAAGAGCCAGTGCTACATAAAAGTCATCATTAGCGGTGCAACTGTTAAAGGTGAGTCAGCCTGTGCCAGCCTGTTGGGTTATGTTGATTTAATAACTAAGCGAGTCTATTCGTCGCTATTCATCGCTATATAGAAGCTGACTCAGAATCTCTCATTCCATAGGCTAGAGAGAAATAGAGAGAAACTCAAAGCGGACAGACAACCCGCTTGCCGTCAGTACGCATCAGTACGCACGGTCATCTCTTTCTACATCTCGTCCATGTCGCCGGGGAAGAGGGGAGGTTAGGGTTACCGTGCGTTCATTGCCCAGCGTCACAGCTAGATCCCGGTATCTTATCTGGTTTCGTCCTCATCATGGAGGTGAGACATTGTCTTTTTTCTTCTTTTCTTTAAACCTTTTTCCTAGTTATTTCCTTGATTCCGAATTAAAACACCATCCGAGCTGGTATTGCCTAGTGGCACAGAAACACCGCCGCGTATCATCGCCGACGCTTTCTTTTCCTTTTGGGCAGGGTCGTGGATCCATCGACGGGTGCTCGTAACCAGTCTCTTTTCTTCTTCTTCTTTTTCTGACCATGCCGCCTCTGACACGCAGTCATGATGTGCAGTGGTCGCTACCGGCTCCAGATATGTCACCCTTATTGTTATTTTTGTTGTCGTTAGGCAGACGTCAGGTATAGAGCCGGGTTTGCGGACGAGGAGATTACTATGACCTGATTACCACTTATCCGAGTTCTCTGGGCGGGATCCCCGAGCTGTTTAATTTGTACCACGGTGAGATCAGCAATGGAATCATCTCGCTCTTTATAGATTATCAGGAGCGACATGCCCTGTTTCGATCGAGCTGAACGTCCCGGGTCCGTGACCTTTTTCCCGTTATGAAATTTGATATATCCCCTGGTTGAAGCTGCCTACATGCAGCCACCCAGCCGTTGCTGTTTTTCTATCACTACGACCTCGCATTCCCGTCTCCTTGGATTCGGCAACCTCGTTTGCGTATTGGCTCGCAGGTCTCCTTTAAACGTATAACAAACGACGAGCAATGAACATCTGCCTGTTCGAATTTTGAGATTCACTTGAGATAGTTGCCTGCCCTCTTCGTGTCATTCAGCAGAGATGTGCCCGAGGAAAATATTATACCCGTACGAGGACCGCATCCAGTCCAACCAGCTTGGTCCTTGATGTATCCAAGCCATTATCATTCGCTATAGATCGTTACTTCATACCTCTCCGTTCTTTTTGTTTGGCTCTTTTTGTTATCGTTATGTCTTCTCGGCTTCGCGGTTTGGACGCGTTCGACCCCGATGTTTCCGGGGAACAACTATACGGGACACCGTCTAGTCTTGCGCAGCAGGCTCTAACACGTGTATACGAACAGGACCAAAGGCTACGGAAAAATGGATCGAGGGTGTCCGACCAGCCCCCAGATCTGTCATCGAAAGGGAAACCTAGATTGCTCCTGATGGGGCAGAGAAGGTAGGCTATCGTATATCAAATACCAGAAGACTAGGCTGATCCTGTTTTTAGGAGTGGTAAATCGTCGATATCGAGTGTAGTTTTTCACAAATTACCACCGAGCGAGACTCTATTTTTGGAGTCAACTGCGCGTATCCAAAAAGACACCATGCCGTAAGAAGCTGCTTACTTGATACACGTGATTTATTCTTCTAATATAACTCTACAGGTCTTTTATGGATTTTCAAGTGTGGGATTTCCCAGGTCAGATCGACATCTTTGATAATCCAACCTTCGATATCGATGCCATGTTTGGCGAGATAGGTGCCTTGATTTGGGTCATAGATGCTCAGGATGATTATCTAGAGGCAGTAGCCCGCTTGAATATGACTATACTAAACCTTCAACGGACGTATCCGAACATCAAAATCGAGGTGTTCATCCACAAGGTAGATGGATTATCAGACGACTACAAGTTAGATATCCAAAGAGATATCACTATTCGGATCCAAGACGAACTCTGCGACCACGGTTTTGAAAACGCGCCGGTCACTTTTCACTTGACTAGCATATACAACCATAGCATCTTCGAGGCGTTCAGCAAAGTGATTCAGAAGCTTATTCCTCGACTTGGTATACTCGAAGCGATGCTTACTAACCTCTGTCGCACTTGCCGTTTCGAAAAAGCCTATCTGTTTGATGTCTTGTCCAAGATATATATTGCGACCGACAGTGAACCTGCAGACATGGCAAGCTACGAAATCTGCTCTGATTATATCGACGTCATAATAGACGTTACAGAAGTATACGGAAGCTGGCCCCGTACTCAGAAGTACCGCGAAGCTCTGGAAGGCCCGCCTTGGAACCAGAAGATAGAGGATCAGGTAGCCTCGGGATGTGCCGAGAGCTGCATGGTATTGAGCGACGGGAACAAACCGATAATACTACGCGAGGTCGACAAGTACCTCGCTCTAGTTGCGATCATGAAGGACGACAGCTATGACAAGATGCCACTTGTCAACATGAATGTTGAGGTTGTCGTACAGGGTGTGAAGGAGTTCTTCGAGATTACGAAGCCAAAATGAAGGAAAGCTCAATCATCGAGCTGACTATAAAGCTTGAGATGAGGCAATTTGTTGCGAGAGCAATGCCCAGGGATATTCATATTCCATGGGGCAATCATTCGACAAAGAATGAGCCACCGCTACAGGTTCGAGGCGATCTATTCTACGGTCCATGTCAGTCTGGTACGAGTAAAAACCAGGCTCCATGAGTAGGTATTACAGGATGATCAGATTTGTGGTCTCAATCACAACTTGAATATAAAAGATAGTTATGCGAATAGCGTACCAATTTGATATGCTTACTAAATGTAAGACTTGTAAAATCCGCTATTTCTCTATTTTTCTCTTCGAGACAGCTTAGCTATTTGTGTAACTATTACGTGGTTAAGTACTTTGTTGAATTATGTTGTGCCAACACCGCCAATCACAAGAGCCATCTGGAACGCGTGGGCATAATCTGGACGGTGCTTTACAGAGCAGGGTAAGATATGGCGTCTATCGTCATTTAAGATGGACACAACACAGCCTTAAAACTCAATAACGTAAAATCCCATTTCGTAAAATGGAAAGCTTAGGTCTAATTGACTGAGTTTAGCACGTTCTACGGACATTGGAAAAGCGGGAATAGCACAGACAATATAGTCCAATATAGTCCAATATAGTCCAATATAGTCCAATATAGTCCAATATAGTCCAATATAGTCCAATATAGTCCAATATAGTCTCAACATGCGCCGCCCGTCCGTTCTACTACTAAGTTGCGCAGCAGCGGCCCTAGCTGCCGCGGACTTGAGCGATGCTACCACCCTCGGCCAACTCGCGTTGCAGAAGGTCCTGCAGGACAGCCGAGAGGTTTTTGGCGTGGAAAGCAATGATTCGTCCCGGCCGTACGCGAATTGGATGTCCAGCGTCCCCGACGCCACGCCCCTCGCGCATCTAAACATCCCCGGCACCCACGACGCCGCAACTTGGAACTATAGCCAGGCGACGCAGGACGCGCTCGCGTACGCCACGCGGTGCGACGGCGGAGCGGGGCCCGCTCCGGCTCAGGTGTACCGGACGCAGCGGCTCGGAGCGGCAGCCGCGTTGGATGCCGGGGTGCGGTTTTTCGACCTGAGGTTTGCGTTCGATCCGATGGACCGGGATCTTGTGTTTTGGCACGGGGAGGCGCTGCTCTCGGCGCGGGCGGCGGTGGACGATGTGCTGTTTGCGTTTTACGCGTGGCTGGAGGCGCATCCGAGCGAGGCGGTGCTGTTGAGTTTTCAGTACGAGGGGGGAACTAAGGACGGGGCGGAATTCGACGATGCGGCGAAGGATAGGCTGAGGGGCGCGCTGGGGTCGGATGCCGCGGAGAGGTATGTTAGGCGGGATAGCGGGAGGCTGGGGACGGTGGGGGAGAGCCGCGGGAAGATCGTGCTGGTGAGACGGTTTGATATGGGTGGTGGGGAGGACGAGGTGTTGCCGGGGCTGCATTTGGGTCCGGGCCAGTGGCCGGATAACGATCGTAAGGGGTTCGAGCTGGTGTATAATAGCACGAGCAATGAGACGGCGTATGTGGAGGATTACTACGAGCCTTCGGACTTGGGGGCTAATTCGACGGTTGCGGAGAATATCCAGGCGAAGATGGGCGCGGTGAAGGCGCATCTGGAGAAAGCTGCTGGTGGTGCTGTTGGTACTAACGGGGATGGTGCGGATAGCTTGTTTATCACGTTTGCGTCGGGCGAGAACGATGCTAATGTCCCGCATGTATTCCCGCAGACGATGGCGCTTGGGAACGGGACGGAGGTGACGCCGGATGGAGGCGTGAATCACCAGTTGGTTAAGCTGCTGCGGGAGATGCGAGGAAGTAGGCTGGGCGTTGTGGTTTTGGATTTCTTTGACGAGCCGGCCGAGTTGGTTGGGCTTGTGCTGGGTTTTTAGATGGTCATAATCAGCTAGGGACCTAGTGGTATTTCTAGTTGAACGTTGCTTGGTTTGAGGTTTATATTAGGGGTTGGCTCTCTGTTTAGTAGTTGAGGGAGCTGGCAACAATGGGGTGTTCTACTACGGGCTTCTAATTACATAGAATAAGTAGCATGGTGAATAATGTTAATAGGCCACGCCACGTCAAGTCGGGCAGTAAATTGTGGCATCTCTTATAGCTCTTACTACTCTCATAGAGGTCATTGTAAGTGAAGTTCTATGTGTAGCTAAAGGTTGGATGCTAATATTGAGCTTCATGGGTCACTATCTCTACCTAATACAGAACATCATTATGGACCATACTACAAGACGCAGGTAGGTTTAGATAGAAACCTGAAGCATCAAGGGATACGTGAGGTTAATATACAGCAGCCATAGATCATCTATCTATGATAAACTACTACATATATATATCATAAACTACCATGATAAGTCAGGCACGTTGCCAGGCAATCCGTGCCTGATATGACAAGACAGCCCCTGAAATTCCAACATAACTAGTCAAGCAGCTATGACCTAGCGAGGAGTACATAATCCGCTCATTCTCGAAAACAAGGCACGATTATCGTTCCGAGATCTAAGTGTAGCATACCGACGTGGGTAACTGATCGCTCCTAGCGAAAGGGATACAGCCGCGTTCACGGTTGAACGCCGGAAAGTCGAAACTAATTCCAACAAGTCCAACGTAGATCAGATACGCAAAACAGTCCAGAACGAATAGTATCGAATCCCGAGGACATCATTCAGTATATAAGCATGCCGATTTGCTGGGAAGTTCTCGATCCCGGCCTAATTCTGCAGTTTTCATCCTGGATCGTACCGCCCGATCCCTTGCAGTCCACCGGAGCTGACAGGCTATATATGAGATGACAGCGTCCGAAGCCCGCCCCTATGCCCAAAAACAACTACACGGCTACTGCGAATCGATGCATTTTTTCTCCCCTGGTATCCACCAACCCACTCGAGCAGACGTCAGTTGTCATCCTAGCCTTCGTATTGATAAGCATATGGTCAGAAGCTACGTCGTCATAATCGAGAAACGACGTTGCAAGATCCAGCTCCTGTGCCACCGGCTCGGTCCGTTTAAAGATTGGCTTCTTCAGGGAGGGTATCAAGCTTTTATATTAAGTGTCTCGATGCGTCGCGGTATTTGGAATTCAGCCAGCGGCTTGCTATAGGCCCGGGAGTTATCAGCGGCCCGGTTCACCGGCCCCGGCGAGCTGGGGCCCGGGTAAACTCAGCCCTCTGCAAGCGCCGCTAAACCCGCGGCGTATATGCGAGGTCCTCCCGGCCGTGAACGTAATAATGTCGCCGTTGTTGAGTCTTGGACGAGACGTCAGGTGCCAAGCATCTGCACTGCCGCTCCCGGTATCTATGCATGTATGTATGTACCTAATGTATGCATGTCCAGCTTCGAGAATACATGTCTATAGATTGGGGCGCCAAGACTACGCAGTACAGTACGCCCCTTGTGATAATGTTAGTTTTTCGGACGTGCACGATACAGAACAGGACTTCTAGTTCTGAGTATAACAACGCTCTTTAAAACATTTTAACTATTATAATAGACATACGCTTCAAGATCTCAGCGAAGTAGCTCTAGGGGTCCGCTGAATAACATTATTACAAGGGGCGTACTGTAAGCCGCCAATATACCTATATATACCACGTATGAGTGCAGCAAGTAAAATGAGATAAAGTTGTGATCTACATTAGGCGAACATGCGAAACCGATCCTTCCACCCTGTTGGCAGCATAATTTTCATTTAGCTACTCGAGAAACTTTTGAAATGGCATAAAGTGCTACGTTGGAAGTAGGAAGGTGAGCCATGAAGCTCTCCGTGATGCATTTAGATAGTAGTATATTCTTCGGAGAACTAATTGAGTGAGAGAGAAAACTGTAAGGGGGTCGCTCCCACCCCAATGAACATATTTTGTTATGCTACTTTAGGATGAGGAAAAGTGATGAGCGGTAGGGTAGTATTGAATATATATTCGCTCATCGGCGTAGCTATACGACGAGAGTTCTAAGGTTACCTTTTTTACATCTACGTGATCACACGTATTACCTACAGCTACCTCATGCCACATAACAGGACAACTATACGGTGATATCTTCGATCCTGAATGACAAATCTTACCGCAATAATTTCGCCATCAACTCGACCCCAGAAGAGCCAGGGTTTGTAGCCGAGGGTGTTGTCAGTTGTTCACATGATAGAAGCTTATTAGATCTGGTATTGTCCTGAAGGTAACTGGCCGACCAGCCTCGAAGACCGACGGTCCAATCAAGAAAGTAATGTTTATGTATGCGTTCCAACCCGTGCAACAGCAGCGACCTAGAAAAGGAAAGAGACTGTTTGAATAATCCACAGTTCCTACTACACTATGTAAAGTCTGTGGAGGTCCACGTTTGATGCTACCCGACAGACTAGAGCTAACCCTTGTCGATGACACTCTTAGAAGACATCAGTCGTATTCTAGATGCTTACAATAGCCATAATAGAACAAACGCGTTAGTGCGGCCCCGTCCTGGCGTAAATGTAGAAGTCATTTGACTTGGAGTTGGGATGGAGGCTATTCGGGGTTATCGGTGATGTTGGTTTTGGATAAGGTTGTGCCGTAGGAATACTCCGGGTCCTAGAAATACTCCGGTTTCTAGGGTAAAGCGCGTCCGCCCAAGAGCCCGACCTATTACCCGGAGGTACAGGTTTCCGGGATGTTTCCGGAGTAGCGCGGCGCTAAGTGGAGAGTTTGACCAAACATACAAGGTAGCTAGCTAGGTATGTACCTCCAATTTGGATTATGTAAGTAAACGTTCTAGACGCGAATGCACGTGATGGAAGTGTGATCTTTGTAATCAGGTCATCAATACATAGGTATATGCCCCCTAGCTTAGGTCCAATGTCGCAACTCTCGGCCGTTTACCAACTACATACACAGATACATGCAACAAACATGCTGCGTTCACCGTTACTGTTGTCACCTCTGCACACGTGAGATGGAAACTGATTATGCCAAGTATACCGAGCGAACCGAGCTTTCGTAATCACTGCGTCATCTAAGGCCACATCTGGTTACTTTCTCCCGCTCATCGTCCAGTGCTAATCCGTTGCTAGTTATCTGGCGAGTCAAACACGTGGGTCTCATTACCCCAAGGAGCACTCCTTCAAGCGGCGGCACTGCATTACCGTAGACCGCCTGGAATTGCCCCGAACGGCATTGGTCTTTTAGTCCTTACCTCCAGGTCTCCATTTTAATTTCATGCAAGTGCCGGCTTTACACCATGCTAGCAAGGATCTTGGCCGTCCTTGCTGCGACCATACCCGGGGGCTTTATGTAGATTGAACATCGTCGAAGCTTGGAACACTGGAACACTGGAACACTGGAACACCTCAATCCATTAATCTTCTATCTACAGTCAGGCAACTAAGCGGACCAACAGTGTGTACATACCTAAATTTTTCCCGAATCGTAACACACAAATCGCCACTTCGATATTCAATCCCACCATACATACCTACCTCATAGGAGTCCCGTCTAAATATCAATTTGGGACTACTTAATGATATTACTAAACTACACACCGTACATATCTCCATCCGCTTCGTACGATCTTCATATATCGGTGCAGCACAATAGCGTTGCCATCCCTATTTCTCAAGTTCTCTGTTAGGTCACATAGCTGATTGTTAAGCTACCTAACCTATTGAGCTCCTTGATTGGGTTCGGCCGAATTCAGCCAAGACAGTTCGTTTTGGCTCTTCGTTTTCTTTTTTTAGTTTTGCAAGCCATTGATGGTAGGAGGGTTGCATTGCATCATCTCTTTAGAGCCCCCACCCCCACCCCCGGATCACGTCTATGTCCATGTCCATGCAAAATTTCTTGTACCTGACAGCTCTTCGGTTACGATGAATTTCAAATTTGACCGTTGGCTTTCTCTTATGGATAGGAATTCGTGTACCAGCACCTAGGTTAGGTCCTAGGAGTAAGGAATCGACATCCTTCACCTCGAGTTTGGGTCCATCCAACAGTGGCCTTTATTTCTCACTGCCGATCTCTTTTCGACTATCAACCATTAGTATGAGAAACCTGGATATTACTATGTACTGCTGGGCGCCTTTCTCTTAGTGGAAACCCTCTAATGAAGTCTAGTACTATGTCATCATATTCAATAGCGCTTCCCTGGGGCTGCTTGGCCGGTATAAATCTCGCGAGACCAGGACCAGGCCTCCAGGACGTTTATTAAGCACATGCGCACATGATGAACTGACATGACATGACGCCAACCAAACTATATCGGTGAGATAAAGCTATCCTATGTATAACATATCACACCAAGATCCAACGCCAAGTGGCGCCTCCAGCCTATCACGCACAAGATATGTACTGTTGGTCAACCAGTCAGCCAGCTTACATTTTGTTGCAAGCGCCTATGTATGATTTCCGCCTTTGTGGTGCATTCGAATTTTCCTGAACTTCACTTACCTTCGGGTTTTACGTACCATCAAATGAATCTTTCTGCTCTTGGCATCTACCTCCTAGTATAAGATATACATAGCTACGTATCATATGTAACATTCGACCTTCCCATCTCGTCACACATCGAAGCATGGGGTCCGGGCATCTTAACTATATCCGATTCGACTTGACCATTATCTTCAACCTTACTGGCAGCAGCCCCTAATTAGCGGTTCTTTTTTTGTGGAGAATACCCTGGCTCGCAGATGGTAGGTGAAAGCATCGGAATACGAAGGTAGACAATGAAAGCGTGTACTATGTAGGTTAGGTGGGTTAGGATCTTTGTAATATTTGTAATGCCCGAAACCTGATTAGAGCCTCAAGCAAACCGGTCAAACGAGGTTGAGTCTAGGTCTCGGTACCTAGGTTATGTAAGTCGATCCTTGTTTCTCTTGTTTATTATAAACACTACATAGATCCCTCCTCCCTCCACGAGAAGTTTTCTTTGCTTTCTACCTTCAAGCCTTCGCCTTATCCTTGGTCGAGTTCCACTCAGATATACATTTGAAGGGACTAGGTTAAGATAATCAAACATAAGGCAAGATGGGCCGTGTATCCACTCCCACTGTCCTCCTTGGGCTTCTCGGACTTGTCTCAGCGGCTGGTTGCCCCTTTGCCGACCCGGCTGCTCTTCGTAGTCGAGCAGAAGCACCTACTGACGACCCGATACTAGCTGCCACCGTTGATGACAGCAACGGCTTCTTCACAGATGACGTGGGTGGGCAGATTCAGGAGCAAGATAGTCTTAGGGCTGGCGATAGGGGGCCTACCCTGTTAGAAGATTTTATCTTTCGTCAGAAGATCACACATTTCGATCATGAGCGGGTAAGTCATGACATTCCCCTTATTAAGTCCACAGAACCACGAGAGCCTGAGATCACCGTCGTATAATATATGTATATGCCATAGATTCATACTAATAAATCGATAGGTTCCTGAACGAGCTGGTATGTTATACTGGGTTCATGTGTCATATTTAGACTTAGACTAACCTTGTCAAGTTCATGCAAGAGGTGCTGGAGCTCACGGCACGTTCACAAGTTATGGCGACTGGAGCAATATAACGGCTGCCTCGTTCCTAAGCCAACCCGGAAAAGAAACTCCAGTTTTCGTACGATTCTCAACCGTAGCTGGATCGCGTGGAAGTGCCGACACGGCTCGCGATGTCCACGGTTTTGCTACGAGATTGTAAGAATCGCCACCTTATCATCCCTTGAAAGCACGCTAATATGATGTCCAGCTACACCGACGAGGGTAACTTCGGTATGCAGACCCAATCGCTTCGCTCTACTAATTTTAGACTAATATTTCCAAGACATCGTCGGGAACAACATTCCGGTGTTTTTCATCCAAGATGCTATTAGGTTCCCGGATTTAATCCACTCGGTGAAGCCAAGTCCTGATAGTGAGATACCTCAAGCCGCCACGGCTCACGACTCGGCCTGGGATTTCTTTTCTCAACAGCCGAGTACGCTCCATACGCTCTTCTGGGCCATGGCTGGGTTCGGTATACCGCGCAGCTTCAGACATATGGTCAGTCTAGAATGGATACGCCCATTGGAATTTATGCTGACTTACGCAGGACGGCTTTGGTGTCCACACGTTTCGTCTTGTGACTGATGATGGCAAATCTCAGTTCGTGAAGTGGCATTGGAAGACGAAGCAAGGAAAGGCTAGCTTGTATTGGGAAGAGGCTCAGATCTTGGCCGGCAAGAACGCAGATGCTCACCGACAAGATCTGTTCGAGGCTATCGCTGCCGGTAATGGTCCCGAGTGGGAACTTGCTGTCCAGCTAGTCGACGAGGACAAGGCTCTCGCGTTCGGATTTGACTTGTTGGATCCTACTAAGATCCTCCCTGAGGAGTATGCCCCTCTCCAGAAGCTCGGCGTCATGAAGTTGCACACAAACCCGACGAATTACTTCGCTGAGACAGAGCAAATCATGGTAGGTTTTCCGGTCTCGTCGATGTCCTTTTTAATCTAGCTACTAACACAAAACGTAGTTCCAACCTGGACACATTGTGCGAGGAGTAGACTTCACCGAGGATCCCTTATTGCAAGGCCGTATCTTTTCCTACTTGGACACCCAGTTGAACCGACACGGCGGTCCCAACTTTGAACAGCTTCCTATTAACCGGCCAGTTGTTCCCATCCACAACAACAACCGTGATGGTGCGGGCCAGAACTTGATCCACAAGAACATCCACGCTTGTAAGTTCTTTTTTACCCTACCGATTTGATTAGATCTTTCAACTAACGCCTGCTACAAAGACACTCCTAACTCGTTGAACGGTGGATTCCCCCAGCAGGCGGACCAGAAGAACGGACGCGGATATTTCAATGCGCCTTCTCGGAGCACCAGCGGCAGACTCGTGCGCGGTCTCTCGTCTACCTTCGATGACCATTGGTCGCAGCCGCGACTCTTCTACAACTCGCTTCTCCCCGTCGAGCAGCAGTTCCTCATTAACGCCATCCGCTTCGAGACTAGCCACCTGCAATCCACCGATGTGAAGAATAACGTACTCCTACAGCTCAACAGAATAAGCAACGATATCGCAGTCCGTGTTGCCACTGCTCTCGGACTAGAGGCCCCTGCCCCTGATGACACATACTACCACGACAACACGACTATCAACATCAGCATTGTGAACAGCACGCTACCCACCGTCGCCACACTCAAGGTTGGTATCTTGGCCAGCACAACGAAGGCGAACGGCACAGATGCGCTCGACCAGGCTAAGACCCTAAAGCAGCGCCTAAGCAACGATAACCTGACCGTGACTATTGTAGCCGAGACCCTAGTTGAGGGCGTCGATAAGACGTACTCGGCTGCCGACGCAACGGATTTCGATGCCGTAGTTGTTACGTCCGGCGCCGACGCTGCTGGTCTCTTTGCTCTAACGGCTGGAAATCTGAGCCCACTATACCCCCCTCTACGCCCTCTTCAAATCGCCAACACGGCGTACCTATTCGGCAAGCCCGTTGCCTACTTCGGCAGCAGCTCGCCGAGCGACTCGCTTGCGGCGAGCGGTCTGGACCCGAAGGCGGAGGGCGTCTACGCCAGTGCCGACCTCGAGACGGTGGCTACCGGCCTCGTGGATGGTCTTAAGACGTTCAAGTTTACTGCGCGATACCCCGTGGATAAGACCCAATAGAGTAAAATGGAGAGCTCCGGGTGTTTAAACGGGTTTTGGGGTTGGGTTTGGGTTTCGTGTGTATGTATGTAATATGCTTCGCTTCGGCTATGCTGCCGTATGTATCTAGTTAGATATTAATGCAAATATCGTCAAACATGCTGTCGTCTTGGCTTTTGTTGGTGTTGATGTCGGGGAAGACGTCGGTGCTGTTGACCTACTGATAATATGGTAGTGTTTCTTGCTTAGCGAAGAATGCATAACTAGGTACCTACTCATACTTGGAGTTCTACGTTCAAGTATCGGTCAAGCCAACTCAACTCTACCTATAGTTACATAAACTCGGGAACTTTATAACAGGTAGGTAGAAAGTCACGATGCAAGCCGTATACGATAAATCACGCAATATATATATACAGCGTTATCTCCATGCATATACTCCTGTAGCTACCTATATAAACATTTCAACTACTTAGGTTAGGCTACTCTTTTACAAGTCAGAATAATTACCCAGACTTACTACACACACCTCCCTCCCCCTCCCTCCCCCCAGACAGAAGCAAAGCTGCCCAAGCAAATACGACACAACCCCATTCAGATTATGGCCTCCACCCAAGGCCGCAGACGTCTAGACTCCCAGTCCTCTCCAAAAAGCAACAAGCAAAAGTCAACGATAGGCCAACGATGCCCCCTCGTCCTGTACCCCGACCCACCCGACCCAGACTCTCGGGACCGCTTCTTCCCCCCCCCCTTTTTTTTTTGTTTCCCTAGGTTGGGTAGGTAGGTAGGTACCTATCCACATACACATATATAGACATATACATATACATACACACACGCAAATCCACACCACATGACCGCGCCCCCATGCCGCCGCCAGAGACAAAACAGCTCAAACTCATGCACGACATGGCGCGTCGCATGACGGCGATAGTCACGTGTGTTCGACCCGCGTTCTCGGGTCCGGAGAGGGTGTGCTGGTGTGATATGTACATAGGCTGGTGGTGGAGGAGCGGAGGTAGGGAGAGAGGTGAAGTCGGGGCTCGGGGCTTTTGGTGAACTCCGGTCTTTGGGCTGGTTGGCTGGGTTTTCTGCCGGGTTAAGGAGACTGCCAACATACATACATACATACATATACATATATTCTCGCAATTCACGCCTCGTATTGCATACATACAGGTATGTAGTTGTAGGAGCTGCCGAAGTTCCGGGTTTGATCGGGGGCTGAGCCCACACTTTGCCTAGGTATGTAACCTAGGTATGTATGGAAAGGAATGTTGAGGTACTTACTCAGAGATGCTATTCGTGGAGGATATGAAGTTTTTCATCAGACGCTAGAATTCGACATAGAAATAGAGATGACAAGCTACTAGGTTAGATTATTTGTCATGCTTCAATCCCCTTTGACAATGGTGCTAAATACACGATTTCAGACTTGCTTCTCTTAATGAGTATGTCGAGAGTCGTCTATCACTAGTCCCAAGATATGCCATATATTCAGCACTCCAATAATAGACTTGAAGCAAAGCTTGCTCTCAACACCCCTAGAGCTATCAGTTAATTCCAAGTAACCCTTAAGTTCGACTACTGGATATTTAAGGATATATTAACACGCCGAGCTTATGAAAATGTCATGAACAAGCTTGTTCAACTCCTTTATCTAGTCCTCCATGATCCTTTTTCTAGGACTCTAGTTGACACATCTTGTTGTGAAATATCCGCTTCTTATTACACAGCTAATAGCAGGCTAAAAAAAGAAGAGTTCGGTACCAACGTAAATGATGACTCTTCCCCTGATTATTCGGGATGTCTCCCTAATTTATAGAAAATACCGCATTCTTATCAAGACGAAGCAGGTGTTCCTTATGTCTCCAAGACAAAACCCTGCTCTAATCGAGCGGTATGAAACTTTCTAGTATGAGACGACATTGCCAAAAAAGTCATTCACCCCCCTAATCTTCTTCACCCTCGGCATCCTGGTCCTCGTCCTCGTCTTCCACATGCTGTGTAGATCGGCCGTTAGCTTCCCTGTGCTCCGCATCTCCATGTCCGCTCTGCCCGCCCTCTCCTTCCTCACCTTCACCTTCATCTTCTCTGCCGTACGGGTGATCTCTATATAAGCTCATCCAAGCCCTGATGTCGTCACTGGGATCCTCGACTACGACGTCCAGTTGGTCCACGTTGCGTTCCTCAATGTTCAAGTCCGCTGGTATGAGTCCTATCGTGCGGGCGATATTCTTGTTGCGTTGGGGTTTAATAACGCTGCGTTGCATGACTGGGTAATAAAATGCCGCCTTCTGGTCGATCGCCTCATCATCGTTAAATGCCAGCACCACCTCCTCATCATACTTGGTTTGATTATTGAGCTCGAGCTCCTGCGCCGTCTCATACGTTCGCACCCGTGGGAACAAGAAGTTGGGTTTACCGTTGCTCTTGTGCGTGTAGAGGCTGTCATCGTCGTGATCCGGGTTCTCGATGTCGAACTTCTGCCGGAATCGCTCAGATGCTTCCAAGTTATCATTGAGGAAGAAATCGTAGTCCATCAAGTTCTGCGGCTTGGGGACATGCTGCGGATCCCGCTCGTGGGCCTGCATGGCCATCGCAAAAGCAGCCTCCTCAGCCTCGGTCTTACTAATAGGCTTGAGAATTCCGTTGAGGAGACGCTTGTCGTATACACGGGTCGCGGGGAGGGGATTATGGGTGAACTTGAATGTGACGTAGGCGCCAGAGTCTGGGAAGGCCTCAAGATCGGGAACTAAGGGGTAGGCATCAACCAGCTTGAGGTTCCTCTTCGAAGGATGTTTGACCCTGCTCTTATCCTTCAGGTTTGCAGCTGCTATGGCAAAGCCCTGATCTATCTTCTTTTTGATATGTGCTGGAGAGTCAACATCTCGTTCGGGAGAGGGTCGCTTCAAGGGGCGCTTAGGAGCTGGGTTGTTGCTGCGTAAAGCTCCACCATCGTGACGCTTGGTGGTCACAGAAGAGATATACTCTGTACGTCGTAGGAATGATACGTTGGCTTCGGCAAGCTTGGGATGGCCTAGGCTGCCGGGTCCTCTGAGAAGAGCTCGATCGTGAGGATGGATTTGTGGTGGTTGCGTAGGAGCTTGGATAGCTGTATCTAGTCAGTCACGAAACCATCGCAGCTCTATATTTTTGCATACAGCTTTCATCGCCATCAAATATGCCTGGCATTCCCACCAGGTCCAATGGCATGCCCAGTTCCGCATCGGCTTCGATATTCAGCGGCTGCTCCCTGGCTAGCCTCGAAGCGAAACCGGGGACTGTGTACTGGCCGCTTGCGAGGCCGGTGTTGGGTATATCGAGAAGCTTGGGTGGATTGGGAGGAGGTGGTAGCGCATTAGAGAATCGGATTCTTGCGATGAAATCCTGGTGGACGGAGCGGTGCTCACCACTGCGCGACGAGGAAGCCATCCTGATGATGGCTTAAGGATAGATAAAACGATAAAACAGGGATTGGAAACAAAGAATCGGCGATGGGAATAAAGTCTTCAATGCTACTCTTTAAGAATCTCAGTGTTTAAAGCCGCGCTTAATAAGATAGCTGGACGACGTACAATTGGGAGGAGTAAGACGGATGTTAAATTGAATGTCGTGATGGCAAGTTAAAGTTAGGTATCTAAAGGTTGATGTTCTGCGCGTCGCGATGAGGTGGATACTTCCCCAAAGTTTATCAGTCGCAAAAAAAAAGTTGTCAGCTGTAGCCGCCCGAGCTTTATCGCTATCGCTATCGCTATTGCTATTGCTATTATTATTGCGAACCTGCCTTTTGCACTGCTCACGTCCCCAAAATGATAACGTAATAGTTGTGATAGTCGATAAAATAACAAATGGATAATGGATAATGAATAATGGATAATGGATAATGGATAATGAACCAAACACCACAATTTCATAAATATTCTTTAATGCCAATGATGCCCCAACTGACTTTTAAGGCTGATTAATATTGCTCTTCAGTAGAATGTCTAATGATGATGATGATCCGGAAGAGTCAAACCTGCGCCCAATCCGCTTCCATGCTATCCTCATTCCTCGTCCTGCCTCCTAAGACCAACCGGCATTAACTCGGACGCTCACGACATTACTCCGTATCTCAGAACCCCAGCTCCTGTGTCCTGTGTACCTTAATACAAAAAGCCTATATCGTAATTTGTACAAGTCAACCCCCAGCGTACACCACCTTGATAAAGGTAGACTTCATTAAAATGTACCGAAACTGTCTACACTTTTAGTCTAGACCCCTTCAGTAGCCTTTCCCAGCGTTGCCCTGATTAATCCCGACATCATCAAATGATCCTCGTAAACACATGCCTATGAAGTACTAGTCTTACCGTACTTCGCCTTGCCGAATGAGAATGGAACATATCGGTACTTAATCATATGCTGGATTTGCTTGCGCACTAGAGATGGAGTTAGCAACTATAATTCATCTTCACGTTAGTAACTATTGTAACTTACTGGTAAGGACGAAGAGGATGATCCAGTACATAACCAACACAGGCCAGAAGACGGGAACGTCGAAGATCTCGAACCAACTGCAAGTGAAGGCAATGGTGATAGCGCGTGTGGCCTCGTGCCAGAACTTAAACTCGGGCAGTCGTCGAATAAATGGTCGGAACTCCTCGTCCTGCTTCGTGGGCAGGCCACCAGCTGATCCATCTTCCATCTCATTGTCTAGGAGCTCGTTCGAAGGGTCAAATTTGGGCTGGAGGAAAGCCAGGAAGAGATTAAGAAGGTAAATGCCGAGAGCATATGCCACTGGAAATAGTTAGCTATGTCTAGGTGCTTATCATTATAGAAAGGCTTCCTTACCGATGTACCAGCCTTGTGCGAAGACGATGCGGAGAAAGAAGACGCCTAGAAATGCACCTGTGCCAATCCATCGTTGCAGGACAAATGGCGTCGATCGATCTAATAGGGCTTGGTATTGCTGTGCACTGTCAGAAAAGATTTCCCTGGTCTATGGCCATCGGCGCAAAGACATACCCGCTGGAGCTTAGAAGTCTGGGCCGTAACGGCTGCGAAAGGGGTCTGATCAGCCTCGACACTCTCCATGGTGGATGATGCGATAATGCGACTATTATTTTCTCCGATCGGGAATAATTTGGACTATGTTAAACTCGCGTTGAATATCCCGTAAAATATTTGTAATAAGGCAAGTGCAATCGTGAAGAGAAATTGGTATTGGTGACGCAGGAATGAGTAAAGAAGATCGATTGTCTTAGTAGGTAGCAATTTGCATGTCGCGACTTTTTGCTTGCTTGCGACGCCAGGGGAGCCAACAACCTACCTTCCACTTATCTGGCCAGCTAATTAAATCTTCATCAGCCACAGCCACAGCCACAATACTATAATTGGGTCTGTTTTTATTGGTGTCTGGTACCTATGTACTACATAGGTACTATGTACATAGCTTACATAGTACATACATGCGTGATGCAATGATGCACAGGCAGGCCTTTAATTTCCCCTTTAGTTGCACATAACTTGATACAAGACCTCGGGATGTTCCAGTACTTTGTAGCGGGGGTTTGCTTATTCAGCTACGGCTCAATATCCTCGGCCAGCTTCGGCTTCATGAGCTCATACGTACCTAAGAAACTGTATATCTTATTTGAGACGTGAATGACCTCTTATTCACTCCATTCAATGTGAATTACACAAATTATAAATCAATCGGTTATCGACTCTCTCTATTCGATTGATTTTGTGCAATTCCAGTAGTTACGATTCATTAGCTTCCGAACCATGAACACATTACGAACTTTGAAGCCACTAGCCTCACGCATCCAACCTTACACACTCCCTAGAACAGTCCGCCAGTTCTCTGCCATGACAACTAAGTCTTATGAGTATATACTAGTATCAGAGCCTAAGCCGGGTGTTGGCCAAGGTGAGACAATGGCATTTTCTTCTACGGCCATTGATTAACCTAGATACCTCAACCAGTCACTCTAAATAGACCTAAGGCCCTCAATGCCTTATCTACGCCCCTCATCAACGAGCTCAATCAGGCTCTAGGGGAGCTCAACTCGTCGGATAGTATCTCAGCTATCATTCTGACAGGGTCTGAAAAGGCCTTCGCCGCCGGCGCGGATATTAAGGAGATGGCACCTCTTACCTTCTCCGAGGCGTACACCAAGAGTTTCATCGAGTCATGGTCCCAGCTCACCACGCAAGTAAAGAAGCCCATAATTGCAGCCGTGTCCGGGCACGCCCTCGGCGGCGGTTGCGAGCTCGCTATGATGTGCGACATCATATACTGCACCGCGTCGGCCAACTTCGGCCAGCCTGAGATCAAGCTAGGTACCATACCGGGCGCCGGCGGGAGCCAACGACTGACGCGAGCCATCGGCAAGTCGCGCGCCATGGAGGCAATCCTAACAGGCAAACCGATTTCGGGAACCGACGCGGCACAGTGGGGACTCGCTGCTAAGTCTTTCCCCACCTACGAAGCGCTGATGGAGGGCGCGCTGAAGACGGCCGAGACTATCGCGAGCTACTCCAGGGTAGCAGTTATCGCTGCTAAGGAGGTAGTGAACAAGAGCCAGGACCTACCGCTGCGGGACGGCGTTGAGTACGAGCGGCGCGTGTTCCACTCGCTCTTTGGCAGCCAGGACCAGAAGATTGGCATGAAGGCTTTTGCGGAGAAGACGAAGCCGGAATGGAAACATGAGTAGTGTATATAATATTTACGACACGGTGTGACGGCATGGGGAAAATGTATGAAACATTTAATTATATCCGTCCCGTCTCGGTTTTAGGAGATGTAATTTATCCACGATACCTGATATGACTGCTTGCTCATCAGAACCAGAACCCAAGATTCTAAATCATATAAATACTTCGTATTGCGGCTTCGAAATAAACTCGTTTTCTCCCCCCATGATTAAGAATAATGTTGATATAATCAATAGTACACATATCTTAATATACAGGATATACGTGAATGTTCGTATTAATATATTGTATACAATGTACTTATGTGGGTAGACATGTCTATGCGGGCCGAAACCATCTACGGGACAGCCACGGCTACGCTCAGATGGCGGGGTCGATACATGGGTTTAGGTTGCCGGATAGGGCTGACCGGGGATTTGGATCTAGGTCTTATTAGCGTGGTCGTATTTATACAGATGGTTATGCGCAGAAAACGGATCGTGAAACGGAGTGCATAAGTCAAGCTGCCAGGCTGCTTACCAACTTGAATCATGTGTGATTAGGTATTAAGGTTCATCTGAATAAATTTCATGCTTTAGCTTTGCAGCTTGTGATCAGTTATGTCATTGGGCCAACTATAATATGGGTTTGAGGTCTCACAAGAAACTTTAGGAATGGTTGATACGGATAACAAACGTGGGATTAATAAAATTATGGAGTATAACTTGTTCTACGTATATTTCATTAAATCGACTGGTCAGCTGGTATACCTAACTGATCTGCAATGCAATGTACCTAATATCTTTCTCCATCTTTTAATCTTCAACTCCATTTCTCATGTCTTCACCGCCGACTTAGAGGCGCAGACAATTGTATAATAATATGTAGATGAGAGAGAAAGCTGACTATACATAACTCTGACATAATTCCAAACGTTTCTCCTCAGTTGCCGTTTCTTTCTAAGGTCACCAAGGTCACAAAACCCTGCGGTCAGATGCGTTGGATGCGAAGCTACTAGCACCATGCAGTTCGATTCTAATGGTGGCGCGGGACTCGATACGAAGTACTTGGACTCGGCGGTATTGTACAGGGGCATTTCAGTTGTCCCCCACCACCATTAACTCTCACGTTAACCGCTCTCGTATACGTATAAAGAAAACTTGGGACTTCCAATATCCCCTAGTAATAAGTCGACAAAAGGCGCGATGACCTCTTCAAGGCCTGGTGTCGATTTGGAGAAGGAGTTGACCTGTTCGGTAGGTTTGCATCTTATTTCAAGTAGTGGAAGCTGGAATTCAAGGGAATTCAAGGGATACTAAACGGCTACCAGATTTGTACGGACATCCTCTACCAACCCTTGACCCTCCTCGACTGTCTGCACACCTTTTGCGGCTCCTGTCTAAAAGACTGGTTTTCGTGGCAAAAAACAACAGCAGAAAATTCACCAAATCCTCCATCGCCCGGCTCCGTAAAGTTTACTTGCCCGTCTTGCCGCGCTCAAGTTCGGGATACCCGTCACAATGCCACCGTTACTACCTTGCTCGACATGTTCCTGGCCGCGAATCCGGACAAAGCTAAGCCGGATGACGAGAAAGAGGAAATGCGCAAGAAGTATAAGCGTGGGGATAATGTCTTACCGCAAATAAGAATACCACAGAAATCGCTCGAAGAGAGACGGATAGAGGTGATGGAAAGGCAGATGCTAGAGCAGGCACGCCAGATGAGCTTGCAAGATGCTGGTGTAGGATCTGCGGAGGGATCTCGGACGAGGCGGCATCATGGCCATAGCCGGTCCGAAGATGGGAGGAGTAGATCCGAATGGGACAGCAGTCGTGAGACACGGCATCGAGATGCGCGTGATAGGCCCTTGCGAGAAGAGGGACACAGGCGCCGACACGACTCGAATGGCATGTTACAGCCTGATTTGCCTCCGGACGAACGGCGCCGCTATCGTAGTGAATCGCAGCATCGCTCCCGTGATTCGTCGAGGACTAGGAGGAGACAGGTTGAGCATCAGGCATCGATAAGATCCCTGATCAGTTCGTCTGATGTGGACTTCCGTGACATAGAGAGAGAAATAGAAGAGTTTGCGCGACAAATCCAGGAAGAAGGCCTTTTAGATGGATTGGATTTAGATAACATCGACCTGGCCCAGAATGACGAACTAAGCCGAAAGATCACCGAAGCATACCGACGGAGGCAGAGGGATCGAATTCGCACCCAGCAACCTAGGAGAAGCGACCCGGTCATCACGTCACCTAGACCCGAGCCCCTGCAATCTTCTTTGCGGCCTCCTTCGGCAGACACATCCCGGCCGAGCAGCCGACCAAGATCAAGGTCAGCGCATAGTAGACCGGGTACGAGCCAAGGCCAAGTAGACGATCGCAGTCGACCCCCTGTTACATCAACACATCTAGAGGTTCGGGCTGATCCAGAAAGAAGGCGGCGGCGGAGGACTTCCAGCGACGCCAGAAGCGCAACCGATCCCGCACGTCCAAGAACAGCAGAGACAAGGCCAGCAGCAAGATCACAGACAGATCTAACTTTAAGGCCGCAGAGCACTGACCCATCGGCACGCCGTCCTTCCGTCTCCGAATCGAGGAGCTCCAGTACGTCTATCACAAATGCGGTCGGACAGCCGCCGGCGGGAGAAAGCACTCGACTTAGAGATCTCTCTTTTAGCGCACGAACATCTGCTACTCAGATCCCACGGACACCCTCACCGGAACCTCATTCTGATGATTCTAGCACGGAACACCCAAAACGTGCACGACGGCCTTCAAGTCTCGTGGCTCCACAATCTCCATTGCCTAGCCTTGGACTCATATCATCGCCCACGCATCAAACGCATCATCAACGAACGAGATCCCAATTTTACCAAGAACCATCAATCACGTGTGCTCGATGCGAACGACCGCACATCGAATATGAACTTCACTATAACTGTTCAAGGTGCGCCAATGGGACGTGGAATATCTGCTTGAATTGTTATCGTTCTGGGAAAGGGTGTGAGCATTGGTTTGGTTTCGGATATGCGGCGTTTAAGAATTGGCAAAGAGTTGTAGCAGACGGCAACGAGGGGCTTGAACCGCCGCATATGTTGACCTCATGTCGATACAAGCAACCCAAGTATACGCCAGGCGGGGCGGATGGACGGAGAACACTTACTACGGATGACCCGGCTAATCGCTTAGAAAGCGGTATGTTCTGCGTAAGATGCCTATCCCTGGCTAATGAGTGCTTCTGGCGCTGCGAATCTTGCAACGAAGGCGACTGGGGCTTTTGCAACAACTGCGTAAATACGGACAAGAGTTGCACGCACCCTCTTCTTCCACTGGCCTATGTCGCACCGGAGACAGGCTCTGCTACTCCACCAGCTAGTCCCCGGTTGCCTAAACGCCCACGAGGTGCAACCTTCTCATCGGGTCCTAACGCCGTTAGCCTTGGAAGTTTTAAGTCGCTTACTTTTACGACGACGTGTGAGGTTTGCCATGGGCGTATTCCACCTGCCGATCGGAGATATCATTGTTTTGAGTGTACTAGCAAGGACTTAACGGATGGGCAACCGGGTGACTACGATATATGCGAAGATTGTTATACCGGCTTGGTCCACGACAAACGCATATCAGACGAGAACGGCCATACGGGATGGAGACGCTGTTTAGAAGGTCACAGGATGGTCATTATTGGATTCATGGAAGGCTCACTTGGACTAAGGCGTTGCATATTACAAGATATCGTTGGAGGAAGGAGTTTGCGTACGGAGCCGTACGAGGGAACCGGCGTCCCGGATGACGAGCAACACCAGCCAAGGGGGGCGCGTATGCAAAAATGGAGCTGGAAAGGTCCGAACGGATCAAAGCTCGAGAGGCTTGTAGCTGTAGACGTGGCGGCGACAGCACCTGCACTGGGCACGGAGTTGTTCCCTCCCGACGGAGGTGAAGGCTCAAAGGCGATTGCGAAGTGGTCTTGGTACCCGCAGGCCGGCGTTACAGATGAGCTATTATTCCCCAAAGGAGCGGAAGTGAGAGAGGTAGAAGACGTGAACGGCGAGTGGCTATTCGGGAGCTACATGGGCGCCGAGGGATTGTTTCCCTCGCCGTACGTACGGATTATTGAATAGCGGCGATGACCATGACAGTTACGATAACGATGTTGATGCTGCATCTTGGACGGACAATTTATTTGCATTTATCTACACGATATGCATGGACATATACCATGGGACAAGATAGGGGTAAGATACCTTGACGCGTAAATATTATTATGATCGGTCGTAATAGACTGGATTTAGTACGGTCTCAAACTAGTTAGCTGGCATACATGAATATTATGAAATGTGTATTTTTGATACTTTTTGTTCTTCTGACTGGGTTAGCCGTTGTGAACTTTTCATGACATCGTATAGTTGTTAGGGGGTAAGGGGTATAGGGGGTAGGTAGCTATAGCTAATACGTATAGGTACCAGGTACTCCCATCGACACATGGGCTGACCCGACAGCGGGAGCCGGGATGACGTGATTAGGAACCGGCTAGCTGGAACCCGAACCGCTACAATTGCCCCTCCAAAATAATTTCTAGGGCTGCAGGGTCCTTCGAATTGGAGTTTCCGATCTTTATTATTATTATTCTCCTACCTTATTTCCTACTCTTCGCCGCTAGTCTTCACATGCATCTTATTCTTTAGCGACGAAGAGAAAAAATATAAAGGTACCAACCTGAATTGAATTAAATATTAAATACAATGTTCCGACGTAGCGTGCGAACAATAACGACCACGGCGCGCAGAGCCGCGGCCGTCGCACCGGCTGCCGCGAAGTCCCCGAGTCCGCACACGATGGCCGTTTCGAAGGCCCAAGGTATCGCAAAGGGATTGACTGGTGGTACGCATCTCTTCTCTTCCCGTCTAGCCGCGCAAGCAAACTTCAGGATGGTGCATACCTACCTATGTAACTACCTATACAATGTAAACCAAGCAAGCTAACGGAATTCGTTTCTCCCCCCTTCAGCAATCGGTAACACGCCGCTCATCCGCATGAACAAGCTCTCGGAACAGACAGGCTGCGAAGTCCTGGGCAAAGCCGAATTCATGAACCCCGGCGGCTCGGTCAAGGACCGCGCGGCGCTGTACGTGGTCCTGGACGCGGAGGAGCGCGGGCTGCTGAAGCCCGGGGGCACGGTCGTCGAGGGCACGGCGGGGAACACGGGCATCGGGCTGGCGCACGTGTGCCGCTCCCGCGGCTACAAGCTCGTCATCTACATGCCCGACACCCAGTCCCAGGGCAAGATCGACCTGCTGCGCCTCCTCGGCGCAGACGTCTACCCGGTCCCCGCCGTCGCCTTCGACAACCCCGACAACTACAACCACCAGGCCCGCCGGCACGCCGAGCGCGTGCCCAACGCCGTCTGGACGAACCAGTTCGACAACACGGCCAACCGCCGCGCGCACATCGAGACCACGGGGCCCGAGATCTGGGCGCAGACGGCCGGCAAGGTCGACGCGTTCACCTGTGCTACCGGGACGGCGGGCACCCTGGCGGGCGTCACGCGCTACCTGAAGGACGTCTCGGGCGGCCGCGTGAAGGCGTACCTGGCAGACCCGCCGGGCAGCGTCCTGCACTCGTACGTGCAATCCGAGGGCAAACTGGTGGAGCGGACGGGGAGCAGCATCACCGAGGGCATCGGGCAGGGGCGCATCACGGACAACCTGGCGCCGGACGTGGCGCTGCTGGACGGCAGCGTGCACGTCGCGGACGAGAAGAGCGTCGCCATGGTGTACCGCGCCCTGGACGACGAGGGCCTGTACCTGGGCGCCAGCAGCGCGCTGAACGTGGTCGCGGCCAAGGAGGTCGCCGAGCTGCTCGGCCCCGGACACACCGTCGTCACCATGCTGTGCGACGGCGCCTATCGCTACGCCGACCGCTTGTTTTCCCGCAACTGGCTCCAGAGCAAGAACCTGCTGGCCGCGATACCCAAGCATTTGGAGAAGTATATCGTGCTGCCGTAGGTTAGGTAGCTGCCTGCCTGCCTGCCTGCCTACCTAGATAGATGTACATGGCTAGTAGAAAGGGGTTGAGGGGGGAAAAGAGTAACCGAGAGGAGAGAAGAAGAAAAAAAATATACTACGTATAGGGGAAGCGGCGTTTAGAGATGGATGGATGGATGGATGGATGAATGAACGCATGCATGCATATAAGCGAGATGTTTGATCGAATAGGGGATTGCATGGTAAATATCGATCAGTTTGTATATATGTACAAGTACAGTTGCGGCGGCGATGGCGGCGATGGCGGCGGTATTATACACATTTGGCATGATCTGATCTGATCTGATCAATTCTGAATCTACAATGACTTGTGTACAAGGCCAAGCTGATTCTTTGCATCTCTTTCTTCTTATATATTATCCTTTTCACGCAGCATTATCGTATAGTTTCCGATACACCGCCTCCCCCCTCGTCTCTCCCGCCTCCGCGCCCGCTTCCTCGGCCGCCTCCCTCCTCTTCTCGGCCGCCTCCGCGCGCGCTTCCTGAACCTCAACCGCGAGAACGTCCCGACGGGATCGGAGCTGCGCCGCGAGCTCCGCGTTGTCGGCCTCGAGGACCTCGACGGCTATGTCGAGACCCCGTAGCAGAGGCGCGGTTATGGCGAGGAATTTGCTGGGCTCCTTTAGGTATCCCATCTTGTCGATTTCATCGTAGAGTGCCTTCGGCTGCACTTCGGAGAGGTTCTTGCCTTCGGGCCATAACCTGGCTACGTCCCGCGCGTACTTGACCAGCTTGTCGACTACGGCTTCGTCGACCTCGTCACCTTGCTTCGACACCAGCGCCGCGGCGAGATGGAGCGGCGCGAGGAGAACCATGGGGTCCCTGTGCAGCGGCAGTTCTCCCTTGACCACCGGGTCAGTCTTCAGACGCTTCGGCTGATGCGCCTTCAGCTGCAGCAGCTCCAGCACCATTTCGGCCCATCGTAGAGCCTTGGCCGTTTCTTCCACCGGATTTTCAGCCGCATCGATGGCCTTCATCACGACGAAGTGCATGACCTCGTTGACCTTCTCGCTCGAATCGAGGCGGAACCCCGTCCGCGCCACCATGCGCGCCAGCTCGATGGCTTCGAAGATGCGCCCCTTGACGCCGAGCATCCGCACTATTTTGCAGTAGAAGCCCTGGTCGAAGCGGCGGCGCGCGTACGCGACGCCCTCGATCAGGGGGCGCAGGTTGGCGAAGTCGTCGGGGGTTTCGAAGAGCGCGATGGCGTCGAGGATGGAGCGCCGCGTCTGCGGGATGTCTTTGAACGGGTTCTGGTACCGGAACTTCAGAACCTCGCCGTCGATCTCGATGATGATGGGGTCTGATTGGAGCTTCTTCTCGTATTTTGGCGAGAGGATCTTCTTGCGCTGATCCGTCGGTAGGTATGCTGGGAGGATGATCTTGTGGCGGATCGTGCTGAGGAGCTCGTCGAGCTCGGCGGAGGAGGTCTGTGTGAAGTGTGCGATACCCGCTGGGACGGGTTAGAGATGCTTGATTCTCAGATATCGTATCGTATGTGGAGAGGAGGAGGAGAAGAAAAGAAAAGAAAGGGAAATATACCATTTCGTCTGGCGGAAGACGAGAAGGTCCGCCGTGTAGATCCGGCTATCCTCCTCGTAGCAGATTCCCAGGCGGCATTGTTCGCGCACAATATGCTCAGCGCCGAATGTCTCGACATATCTCCAACCTTACTGAGCCACTAACTAACTAGGTAGATAGTTATACCACATTCGATTCCACTTTGTTATTGTAATTTTTTGATCCGCATAGCTTTTGAGCTTCGGAGCTTAGATAATTGATTTTATTCCATGCGCTTAACTAAAATACCTAAACTGAAATACCTAAACTAAAATTTCCAACGCCGGCCGCCGGCAGCCGGCAGCTGCTGCGTGCCAAGAACCCCGACGCCGCAACAATTTTCCTCCACCCGGTTATCGATAAGCTCCCGTCGGATCTTCAAGACCCACAACTTCCACTTTCAAGTTGCGTCTTTGCAAAGCTTCGACATTTCGACATTTCGACATTTCGACGAGGCCCTTTTCCAATCCGCAGACGAAAGTCCGGTGTAGAGAGCCTACGACACAATGATCACCCAATCCGCGCCGCGGCCGCTGAGCAGCTGGAAGGCCGTCCTGCGATGCACCCGCCAGCAGCTATTCCGCGCAATGGCTACCGAAGCAACTCCCACGGCCTCTGCTTCTACACCACCGCCTCCTCCTCCTCCTTCTCCTCCTCCGGCCGCCGTAAAACCCACCCTCTGTACGTCCTCCCTCCTCCGTCCTTTCCCCACTCGACTCTCTCAACCAAAGCACAGCCAATTGAACTAACTAACTAACTGACTAACTAACTAACTAACCAACCCTCTCCCTCCTCCAGACCTCCGAAAATCCAACCTCCCCCACAAACCCATCCGCACCGCCTTCGCAGTCTACCCCCGCGTCCCCTCGGCCCGCAAAACGCACCCCGCCCCCCTAGACTCGTACCACGCGCAGCAAATCCAGCGCCTCGACCACACCGGCGCGCGCCGCGCCCTATTCTCCAAGGCCAACCCGGACGCCGCCAAGCCCGGCGACGTGCTGCAGGTGTCGACGCGGCGGGGCGGCGGCGAGCCCTTCGCCGGCGTGTGCCTGTCGATCCGACGGGCCGGCGTCGACACCGCCATCCTGCTGCGCAACCACCTCAGCAAGGTCCCCGTCGAGCTCTGGTTCAAGATCTTCTCCCCCAACATCACCGGCATCGAGATCGTCTGGCGCCGCCCCAAGCGCGCCCGCCGCGCCAGGCTCACCTACATGCGCAAGCCCAAGCACGACATGGGCAATGTCGATCACCTGGTCGCTGCCTGGCGCCGCACGAGGAACGTCTTTACGACCAAGGGCCGGGGCAAGGGGAAGAGTGTCAGCGCCGCCGGTGCGAAGCGGTAGGGTAGGTAGGTAGTTGAAGGGGAGAGAGAAAGACAGACAGACACACACACACACACACAGAGAGAGAGAGAGAGAGAGAGAGAGAGAGGCTGTAGAAGTGGATTCACGGCAGAGGGATGGAAGCAAGAGAAATGGAACAACTCACTTTTCACTCAATATTGGTCTTGAACTACTGGAAGGACAGGGCAAGAAAGTATAAGGAATTGAGAGTTGTATTGGAATCTGCGTATACAAAAAATGCGTAGCTACCTATTGAGTAGACGTATAACATACAAATATTACGTACCTATTATCGTTCAAAGTCTAGGTACCTTTCAATATACTTAGACCTATACTTGACCTTTCAGCTATCTCATAATTGAATATCAGCTGCGAATCATCTCACGATTTTCACCACATTATTTTCTCATCTGATATTTATTTAACAAGAGACGACTGCATAATGAAATCATCTTATACATAAGTTCTGATTTCTACACTGGGTTACATGTCTCGGTCCAAATAAATATTTGAAGGGAACCCCGATCCCTTCTCATGGCAGACAGGAGAGAAAAGAAAAGAGATATGCTTCCTCCCTAGGATGTCATAGCTCCTACCAACCTTCTTGAGAGTTCATGTAATCCAAACGCCGTGTCTGAGACAAACGCCAACCGAGAGAAATCAATATTGCCTCCATCTAGTATCTAATAACGTTTCTATTCCAGGCCTGAGCCTCCGTCTCTAACGTCATCTGTGCAAATAGGTATTCCTAGTCTAGTTTCCTCCGTCGGTTTCCGTATTTGGCCTAAAATTGGGGGAACAAGACGAATATGTAAGTCATCCCGTGCTCCCAAGGTACCAGTTTACCCTCGTGCCTCGCTGCCACCAAGGATTGCGGAATACCGGAAAGGTTCCAGCCTGCTCTATATCGTTATTGCGGATTGGTATCGGTTGCGAAGATGCTCGTATTGGTTCATCACCCATGGGCCCTTTTGGCACCGGGGACTTTTCCCATCCCGCCGTACCTTTCCTCCCCTAATGATCAAAGGTTGGCTGTGTATCAGCTCTCTTTCTACGTCTCGGAATCGGTTCGTGCGCATCACCGTTTTCGCCCTTCCCTGGGTCCGTGATATGCTTCCTCAGTGTATCCATCGCGTCAAACCCAACCGAGCCATCCGATTTCCCTATTGAATGATGAGACGGGTAAGTCGGGCCGGGATGTAAGAGACCGGTAAAAAGATTTCTCCTATCTACGCTGCGGCTACGGCCTCGCTTCGGACTCGCAGGCCGGTGATGAGAGTGCTGCGCGATGGACATTGCCGAATGACGGCGTTGTAGCGTTAATTCGGCTTCCTCGGCCTCCTTACGGTTGAGGTGTTCACTAGGTAGAAGAACGGCCCGGTCAAGTCCGTAGGGTAAACCACGATGGCGGCCACGAATCTGCATAGCGATAACGACGAGTTTGCCAAGGACAGTGAACTGAGAACACAACGAGGCGTTGATGCCCGTGTATCCCAAGCTGAGTCCAACCGTGCCGTAGGCGCTCACGATCTCGAAGAGCACAGCAAACATGGAGAAATCTCCAGCCATAAGCTTTGGGCCTTCGGTAATAGTGAGAATAAAATACCCGACAAATATGTACCACAAGTCGAAAGAGAGTTGGCGCCGTAAATGGGTTCCGACATATGATATGTTACTCTGTCCAGTGTCGTCGGCATCATAACCTGTACTGTACACTCCAAGGGACTTCTCCTCGTAAACGTTCGTCCTACGAATTGATATAGCAACGGGGAAGACGGAAATATACATCATGATGAGGTATGACGTTTGGACGGCCGGGTGAAGAGTAGACAGATTTACACATGAGAATCCCGCAGTTCTGGTAGCTGTGGCTTGAAACCACCCATCAAGGAAGCGGATATTTAGCGGCAGTCCGGTGACCGCTTCGCCATGTAGCTAATTAAACATTAGTAAACGGGCAACGCTGGAGGACTACTATTAGATACTTACATCGAGGATGATGAACAAAATCAAGTCCACTCCGTTAAGGGCGACCAAGATAAAGAATAGCCACCAAGTAGCATTTGACTGAAACAAGAGCGTAAAACACCGTCGCGGGTGGTCTAAGAGAAACCTCAACTCCTCCCAGAGACCAGACCCGCGGGGTATAAAGAGAGAAAATAACCAGATCATGAAACGAAGCATGATAGGGAATCCAGTGTTTCCAAGTATAATCAAGAACGACATTACGAGGAGCGGGAAGGTGGCTGTGTTAAATGAGTTCATGCTGTCGGGAGTAAGCGTCAAGCCAAGATCCATGAACGCAGAGTTTGCCGTGAAGAAGCCCCACCATACCCTGTTCTGGCCGGCATCGTCAACGATCTTGCCATAGTAGTCGTTGTTATGGACTATCCATGGAACTAAAGTGATTATGCCGAAGATGGTGTAACCAAAGAAGTAGATTGTGAGGACAAGGGCAAGCGTTTTTAGAGATCGATATTCAATGCCACCTAGTTCTTCTCTCTGCTCTTCGGAGAGTCCCAGGAAGGCAGAATTTCGACCTATAGTCGGTTGCCAACTCAGATATGGCATAGGATCCTCATCCTTCCCCTGAGTTAGAACGGACTTAATACGATGTAGGGGGTTGATCCGACTAGTCGACGCAGTAGTCTCGGTGTGATGTAATTTTTCCCCATCTTTCCTAGGCATGCGGGGTTTCAAAGCACCAACCGTGTGAGCAGCCGCCTCAACATCCTCTGCTATCTCCTCCGGAAAATCGTGCTCTGCTCTGTGTGGCTTTATTGGCTCTTCGATGGTAATTGTTGGTTGGCGATCTGGACGACTTGCGGGATGCAAGGGCGACGTTGGTCGGTGGGGACCTTCGACACTTGATTCTCTTCGTCTACGGCCCGAAAGACCAAGACCTTCAGGCCCTTCTTCGTCTACTTCTTCCGGTAGCGCACCTCTATCGGCATCACGCGGCCCGGGAATTCTAAGCGCACTCTTATCTATCTTGCGCTGCCTTTCCACGATGGCGATATGTTCCGCATCGGTCCGCTTAGCAGGGAGTAGGACTTCGTCGTCATCCGAATCATCACTCCTCTTGACCTGGTCTGAAAATTTAATTTGAGGTGTAGGAAGCCGCTGAAAGGATTGGTTCTGATCTCTAGGATCGGATTCGTCCCTAGTATGAAACCCATTCGCGAACGGCTCATGCTTTGTAGCCCCCTCGATGGTGTAATTATCTAGTACAATGCCATCGTTAGTTATTCGAGATGCCTGGGCGGTATTGTGCATCACGGTGATATTCCGGCCATTGACGCCCTTCTCCAGATCTACGGGATTTGTTTTCGCCTTTGACCGTGATTTGGCCATAGAAACTCGTCGTGTCCGAGCTTCTGTTGCAATATGCTGGAATCTCTTCTCGAACCAATAAAGACGCAAGAAGACAACAGAGGAGTGAATGCTAATTGGATTAGACATCATGGTGAGGAAGTAAATCACCAGCTGCTGAAAAGTGTTGAGCAAGTTGGGATCAAAAGTATTCAGTCCTGCTTGGGTGTTTGCACCGCTAGCAAAAAAGAGGGCATCAATATATGCCAATTGACCTCGAGCAGATGCATATATCAAGATGGATCCAATAATAGTCAATCCGATAATCCAGAAATCTAGAAAACATTAGCTTAATATCGTGTTACATTACCAGACGAATAGGACCTACAATGGACCGTAATAAAGTTGAAGTGTGGATTCTTAGATAAGAAGGACGGCCGAAGCGCCTGGACAATATCCAAGAAACGCTGACGAGCTCTCCCCATGATGACTAGGTTAGAGTGATATACACCTGAAAGTGAAACTCGCTTTTCGATGCTTAAAGCAACGGGGAAAACTGGTGTTAGAAAGCCGCCGAGTCAAAGACCTGGCCTGTGAGGTCGTTGATGAGATTGCGGATGCCAAACATAATGGTTATTGCTCGTTCCGATGCTATATAATAAGGTCAACTAACGGGATATGCGGAAGGTGTTGAGGAATTATGTGGGTTAGACATTGCACGGTCGAGAACGATATCCATTGAAATAAAACAGCTTGGTGGAAGGTAAGATGAGATGTTAAAAGAAAAGGGAGTCCGAAGGTGAAGCGCCAAGCCTGAATAAGTAAGTAGTGACTTGCAATACCTAGCTCAGTACAAACTTCTACACAAAGGGGGCTAAGACAACAACAGAAAGGGAACAATAAAATAAAATAGAATATTCGGTAGTGGACTGATGTGCATGATGCAAGGGTGCAAATACAGCCAGGCGAGGTTGAATTTTAAAAGTTTGTAAGTGCTGACTGTAATAACTTAAAGAGAATCATTCGACTTACTTGCTTCAAATCACCTGTCATAGTCACGAGTGGTTGGTAGTGCGCGAAGGGATATTGAGAGGGCGTTCTAGACGAAGTCTTGTTTTAGGTGGTGGTTGTTCAATGTTGAAGTTGGAAGTGGCGGAGAATCAAAGAAATCTTATCCACCTTGGACTCGGGTACGTCCACTGGTATATCGAAAATCCGAAAATCTACCTAAGTGTAGAAGGAAGTAACGGAGGAAAATGAATGAGGCGATGCCTTCCGTTGAATCACGACTAGATAGAATTGTTTAGGTACCGCATGTAACTAAGTGGATCTAGTTAAGAACGTCAAATCTTGATAACACATCTTGGCATTTAGCTTGACTCTATGTACATAGTATATTACCTATGTATGCGGCTTCCCTTAACTACTCCTACTTTACCTTTTTTTTTCCCTCAAGTCTTAATTGTGAATATAAAAGGGGGCTTACATTGGCTGACAATTTGTACTTTAGGGGTGAGAACAGAAGTGCCAAGACCGACAACAGGACAGGCTTTAAAATTTTCCTACCAAAGATTGTTTTTTTTTATCCCTAGATAGGAAAAGTAAGACGGGATATCCTAGTTTTCTAGGTCCGAGATAGATGATGCACCCGCAGACATAACATGCATACATATGTGCATGCATGCACTGTCCAATATGTGTGAACGTATATCTTCATAATGAACTAACTGCATGTTTTGAATCAAGCACAAACCATCATCTTCTACTCTATTCAGGTTAGCAGGGGTTGGGACATACATAGTCTAACCGGCTAACGGAAACACATCTAGCGCAGATATTAAAATACTTATGCAGGACGGCCGGGGTAGAGCAAGGTTGGGGCCGACGGCAGTGGTGCTACGTGGTAGGAAAAAGGCTATTAAAGTATAAGCTCCAGTCTGTAATGTACATAGTAAGTCCTGTTGCTACCTCCATGCCGCTTGTCAGCACCCGGCATCTGAATCATCTCAATCAATTTGTGGTCAATTGTTTACAGAATAGGGTTCGGAAGGTTCTAGACTCACATCCCTCTATTAAGCACTGTAGAATCGCATACGTGGACCTTAGAGTACTACTATGTATGTGACCTCCATCTGCAAAATTTGGAGATGTTTGAAAAGATCCGGAAGGTTTTACAGATTACAAACTGTGCACTTAGTCATATAGACCAGGGAGGCTATATTTGGCCGACAGCTACATTCCGACATGTGACTGCGTTACATATTGTAATGTATGGTGCTTAGGTGATGATGTCACCCACGACTAGTACATGTAGGTATATTTTAACCATGTACTCAGGTACTGTATCTAAGGTGCATACCTCAAAAATACATAGGTATGTACCTACCTATGTACCTAGGTATAAATGGATGGTAACCCTTTGTGATATTCAATTACGTGCATATCAAAAAGCTTCTAGCATTATTCATGATAAAAAAGCAACAACATCAATACAGCCTCGTAGATGCCACCATACCATCATACCTACCTAAGAGGGTAGGCAGAGCGGATCAAGTTGATATTTCGGTTAACCCATACATCGAGAATGCTGATATTACAAGGAAAATACTGTAGATGTAATTCGAGTTAAGCCTCCCCTTATCCCTCAGCAAAAATGTGACCCCAATCAAATCCCGTGGAAGTCAGCCCATGTCGTGCAGTGTCTTGAGCAAATTTTAAATAACTCCCGGTGTCACGCAATGTACGTGTGCTAGGTTGCATTTCATACGTAGCACTGCAGCCGTGATCGTGGGATGGATGCATCTGTCCATTGCGCTGGGATCACTAAGCCACACCCGGATAAAGTACCTCTGTATTGAGCCGTATCGTCTATGGCGATACGCCTGTAGCATGAGTACTACCTGTCAACCAGCGGTGAAAACCGTACTTGGGGTATATTCATATCCCGCATAGTCTCCAAAATACGCTGGTGTCACTCCTTCTCTGCGCCCCGGTAGTATACACAATATATTCACGCATCCTAGCGCTGAGTTTTGAGCCTTTCCTTCTCCCTCGCCATCTTCTTGAAGAAGGCGCTACTCTTGGCTGGCTTCTTCTTGAGCCCCTTATTCGCGCCCTTTCTCTGCTCGATGTAGGCCATGTCCTTTCCACCGCTAAGATCATCAAGCCCACCAGCTGTACGTCTAACTCGACCTCTCTTTCTCGAACCTGTTATATTAAACATATCATCCGTGGTATCATCCCTGTCTCTATCATCCGGCTTCTCTGTGTCGGTTACAATCTTGGCGAGAAGCTCGCGACGCTCCTGAGGCGTACTGAACACGAGCCCTTCCATCTTCTCCATTCCGGTAAGAGACGTGATGACCTTAAAGGAATATCCTTGATCTACAAGGAAAGCCTGTCTCTTGGTCGAGTAGTACATCTCGGGTGTATCCCTCGAGACTAGTGAGTAAAAAAATGCATTAAATCCCTCGTCTGATCTCCGCTTTGCTCGGAGGATCCGGCCTAATCGCTGTGCTTCCTGACGACGAGAACCGTAATGCGAGGATATCTGGATCAAACACGTAGCCTCTGGAAGGTCGAGAGATGTATCACCAATCTTGGACAGGAAGATAGTTTTGACGAGGGGGTTATGCATGAAATTCTCCAGCACTACCGTCCGCTCATTATTCGATGTAGACCCACAAATGTAAGCTTTTCCGAGGGCTAAGGCGATCTGTTTGAGGGCGTATACGTTGTCCGAAAAGACGATAATCTTGTCACCTCGCCTCTCGTGATAATCAATGAGGAATTGGCAAGCCTGGATCTTTCGTGGGTTCATGACATATAAGTTTTGTTGGAGACTTCGATTTTTCTTCTGTCTGTTGAACTCGTCGAAGAATTCTGCCGTCATCGGGCACCACACTTCAGCACATTGGACTTTGGCTATGTGACCTTGCTCTGATAGCTCCATCCAATTCGCCTCGTACAGCTTCGGCCCAATAAGGAAGTTCAAATCTGAAATCTTATCGTCCTCTCGAAGTAGCGTAGCAGTTAATCCGAGCTTTGCGTGGCTCTTGATCGAGTGTGAGACCTTCCGGAAGATATTGGCGGGCACGACGTGAACCTCGTCGAGCAACATCAGACCCCATTCACGACTAGTCAGGAAATCCATCATCTTCTGTGAATCGTGAGCCCGCTTCTTCCCCGAGTTTGTCACCATGGGATATGTTGTAACGATAATACCAGTATTACCGGGGAACCTGTGTTTATGATCCGAAGTGAATAAGGCAATATCATCGGGTCTGATATTGGACCATTTTAAGAATTCGTTCCGCCATTGATTAGCCGACATCGTGCTCGTGCAAAGTACGATGCAGCCCTTCTTGATCGTACAGGCAGCAGTGATTCCGACTAACGTCTTACCTGCGCCACAAGGCAAGACGATGATACCACTTTTTGCTCTACCGTTACCAAACATCTTGCTAAGGCTCTTCTCCTGATAACTCCTGATTTGTGTAGCTGGTCGTAAATCGATCTCGAGGTTCGCATTTCGATCGTCGTTGCGGAAATCATACTCCTCTAGCATAGGGTATTGAATCTCCAGGGCACGCTTCTGGACGGTTTCGATAGACGTGTCGTAGATCTCGAAGGCATGCACGGCCTCCTGGTTATCGTCATCATCATCTTCTCTTAGAGCATCGTAAGGATCTTGAGCTTGCGCCCCCTCGGTTGTCTCTGGTTGTGCCTTTTCATCCTTTTTAATTTGTGCTTGTTGTACTCCTGCGGCATTGGAGGTTCCGGGAATCACCAGGCCACCCATAGAAGGGGCGCTAATAACAGTTTCCGTCCCCTTAACGCGACAAGGTCCGATAACCGGGTCCTTTAGCAGCTTCTGTAGTACTTCTGGGTCCGTGCTTTCTACGAAATATTTCGTATCCTTAATGACTAGCTTCACTTTGCCATAACTTGAAGCACAACTACTAATAAATTTCGTTATTGATTCTGGGACGGGGGTCTTTGAAAACCGTTCTAGGGTGTTGATGATGTCTCGGGGTTGTAGCCCAACTGATACAGCAGCGTATAGACTGTGACTAGTAAGAGCATACTCGTGGATAAAGGTCGGACGCGATAAAGGCTCGGCAACGGTGATGAGGAAGTCTTTTGCTTGATCGGCCAAGGGGCTGAAGTTTTCTAGGATGATCCGTCCTCGCTGAGGATCGATCCATATAGGACGACTCTTAAAATCGGGCTTCAGAGGCAAGTATGAGAAATCCCGCTTTCCCCCTCTAAAAAATCGACTCGAAGTCCAATCTTCTTCGTGCACCGTGGTGCCTTGAAACGTGGCAAGGGAGAAACGATCTACGACCTTTTGTAGCTGCTCCTCATTCTCGGCCGGCTCCTCTGGAGAATCTGAATCATCGTCGCTATCGATGGATCGAGGCGTCGAAGGACCGGGTGTCGAAGTAGTAGAGGCTCTTCCCGACTTAGCGGGGCCTATAACGTCTTAAGAAGTTCAGCATGATGGATTCATGTAGCAAGCGAGGATAGTTGGACATACTTCCTGAAGCTTTTCTCTTCGCTGGCATCTTGACATCAAATCTGAACTTGAAAGGTGAAAGGTGAAAGGTGAAAGGTGGAAGGTGAGGAACAGTCAAAGAAAGATCACCAAGGCAGGCGCGGAGAGGCAATGTAAAGGTACATACCTATGTAACCTAATGCGTTTAACCTTAATCTTACGTAAACAAATATGTACACTATTATGTACCTAAGCTATGGTCAGTGTTTTTTGAGCCAGTCGGAGAATTTCCAATATGCCTGTAGGTAATCCTAGTAAAAATAGATGTACGATGTGGAGACATGCAGCAACTAATGGATTAACATGTATTGTACATACATAGGTACCCACCGCCTTCCACCATTCTTACACCGCCCTCATAGGTATTCAACTTTCTGCCGGTAAAACTTTTGAATTAGCAAACTGATATGTAGAGAAACTGCCCCATTAAAAGCTATAACCTTCAAAATCTCAAATACTACAAGCGTTTAAGTTAGATACATGTATCTATCGCAACTCGAACTTTGTTCCTCTAGTTAATCATCCCGATAACCTCAATTCATAATACTACACATGGGATCTTAATAAACTTTGATTTATTCATCGCAACAGAGCTATTCGGATGTTCGATAAGCATCTATGCGCCTAAACACATAGCTAGTTCTTTTAAATTCTGATACTACACTTCAAGGATGGCGACTCATACTGCTATGGCCCAAGGCAGCGATGCCTCAATGCGAAGCTCCTTGGAACAACGCCTTGGCATTCTTCATTATGTGTCGGAGAAGGAGCATAGATGGCATGGCCAAGTCCGTACAAGGTAAGGGATATAGATTGATCTGAATCGTCGTTATAACGTCGGTTCGCTTATTCGGTTCAGTTCTAATAATCTTTTTCAGATTCACTGATTTTCAAGTCCATGAGATCAGTAAGAATGGTGAAGTGGTCCATCTGCATGATTTCCAGACAAATGCAAGGGAATTGGCAAAACCTGTGAGTCGGGTTTACCCTCTACATTGTAGCCCTTAACTAAAGCATCTAACTCCGATAGACTCCTGATCAGCCAACAGCAAAGCCTCAAGTTGCCAAGCCATTATATTCTGAAGAGGGTAAAACCCTCACAACTGATACCGTTGATATTGTTGCCGCGAACGATACGGCATCTCAGCCATCAGCCAGTTCGGAGCAGCCAAAGGATGGAGGAAGTTCCACCACTATATCCGTATCCGATCAGACAGTTCTCATAGATCTCCTTGGTCAAAGCACTGCAGAAGGCTTAATTGACTTATATAGCAAGGCAAACGAAAGCACGAAAGCACAACCTAAAACCTCCAAATTTGTGACGATCGCAGCAATAACTGATAAAGCCCAGAGATCCCGGGTTCATTCAGTAAGTCCACAAGATATTTCCGATCGAGTAAAACTGACTCAAATCAGGAAATTCGTCGCATATTTAGCGGAAAACTTGACACTGCCACGGATTCGGATGGCTCTATTAAAGCAACAGTTGTCACCAAAGGTAACCAGCAGTGGGGTAACCGCTCAAGGAATGATAGGTCTAGAAATGAGCGATCCAGAAACAGCGGCCAGAATGGCGGCCAAGATCAAGACGGCAAATTTTTACATTTTACGCTCTACAAGGAGAACCGAGATACGATGGACGCGATTGGTCAAATAGCCCGTTTTCTAAATCTCAAGCCCGCCTTCTTCGGTATCGCTGGCACCAAAGACCGCCGTGCTGTGACTACCCAGCGGGTCAGTATGCGGAGACGGAATCCTCAGTCACTAGTTTCTCTTAACAACGACAAGATATATGGCGTGAAACTCGGAGATTTTAAGTTCGAGCAGCATTCTATCCACCTGGGACACCATAGCGGGAATGAGTTTGTTATTGTTCTCAAGAACTGCTACTTTAGTGACACGCAAGACCTGACGTTTGAACAAAAACTCGAAGTTGCAGATACTACCATAAAGACAGCATTGGAGCAGGTCACTCGGAATGGTTTTATTAACTACTATGGCACTCAGCGATTTGGTACACATAAAATTGGAACTCAGGAAATCGGCATGAAGATTCTCAACCGTGATTTCGAAGGCGCTATACAAGCTCTACTATCTTTCGACCCTGCTTTACTAGACATCTCCGACCCTAGCTCTGTCGAATCGATACGTCGTGAGGATACGTATCGTGCACGGGCTTGTTCAATCTTTTCAGAGACCGGCAAGTCGCAGGATGCGCTTAAGTGTTTACCCAGAAGATGTCATGTCGAGTCTGCATTGATGCGTCACCTCGATAAACAACCCAGGGATTTTCTTGGAGCGCTCCTTTCAATTGGTCGTGGGATGCGTACGATGTATGTTCATGCATACCAATCTCTAGTATGGAATTTTGTCGCAAGCAGACGCTGGGAGCAGTTCGGCCTGCAAGTAGTCAAAGGAGACTTGGTCCTCATTGGTTCCGAAGCTTCTACCTCGTCAGAAGACCGTCAGAACGGAAACGGCGAAGAAGACATGATCCATCTTATGGACGGAGGATATTTTGCCGAGGATGCACGCGGGTTGAAAGTACATGCACTAACAGAGGAAGAAGCTAGTGGCGGGAAGTATTCCATCTTTGACGTCGTATTGCCGTCTCCGGGTTGGGACGTCGTATACCCGGATAATGAAATTGGACAGTTCTATAGAGACTTCATGGCTAAGGAGGAGAATGGCGGGCTAGACCCTCAAAATATGCTCCGGCAACAGAAAGATTTTAGCCTCCCTGGATCCTACCGCAAGCTCATGGGCAAGTTCATTGGCACACCAGATGCCTCTGTCCGAACCTACTTGAATGATACGGAACAATTAGTACCGACTGATTTAGATCTAATACGAATCCGCAAAGCTAAAGAAGCAGCGGATCGCATAACCGCTCAGCGAGAGGCACCAGGACCACCCTCAACGTGGCAAGGCTTTGCCGATAATGTACGAGATAGTGATCTCCAAGAAGCTCGAGCCAGGTCCGAGAGACGAAAAGCTGAAGAGTCTACCGGCATGCCAGAGACTCGGACAAGAGATACCTGGGTGCAGACTTCAGTCAACGGAAGTAACAAACGAGTTAAAGTTTCTGAGCAAACAGATGATATCAAAGCAGAGAGCGAGAACGGTATCTCGCAAACTTATGAAGATAAGATGCAAGTAGACGCAGATAAGGCAGATCAGCCAAATACAATCGAAGGGGTGCAGTCGGCAGGCCAGGATGACAGAGACTCTGGCCCCTTACTTGTCACCACCCTTACATCACAGGTGCGAGCCGTTACAAAGAGTGCTATCCAACTACTGATGGCAGCGTTGAGAGTGTTTACTGACAACTGCATCATGAAGTCTTCCGAGAATACAACTACGTCCGAGATTCAACCCGAAGGGCAGACGTCGAGGCCCACCGCAGACCTACCTAGCACCACCAGTCGCCAGAACGAAGCAACAAAGTCATCGGGTGATAGCGTAGCCGAAACATCTCATCATACTGAACCCCTAGGTGACATCCACGACGGCGAACACAAAGCGAACGAGTCGGACCAGTTAACCAATGCCACTACTACTGATGAGAAGAAAATCGCAGTGATCCTTCGCTTTGCACTAAACACTAGCCAGTACGCAACTATGGTTCTTCGAGAACTTCAAGGGGCGACCCCCGCAAGCGATGACACGGCTATTCTAGATTCTCCATCGACCTCTCCCGACCAAGATATTGCCAACACCCTATAACGAAGGGATCTAATGCTAGCATTTCACTGTTATGAACCCAGTCCATTTCGCACTATTCTCTCCATTTTACCTAGAAGTCCCTCGGTTTTTCTACACCCGCAGGTAGTTTTCTTAGCCAAAACACACGAGATTAATTGGCAGAGTGTGAGGACCTAGAAGCATTCATAACTTGATCGTGTTTTGATGTTCCTCCGTCGGTAAGGACCCAAACTTTTATGAGTCATACTAACTCAACAACGGGAATGCAAGATATATAAGCACATGGCCCTACAATGTTGCCATCATGTTCTACTAAAGAGATAACACGCTAAATTGCTGATATGGCTTTGTTGTAATGAGAAGTGGGCATTGGGCTCGTATCATTCTGGTATTCTATGGCAGTTAGGTAGCTAAGATACCCTATTACCACCTCTAAACAAATCAAATGCGCTGTGTGCCCAGGTAGCATATAGTATCACGAAGTATCCAAGTGAGGGCCTACGTATAAGGTACATATATATTTATGTAGTGTAATGAGTACCTACATACCTAAGGCAAGCGCAGAGTGCCACATGTAGAGAGCTAAGGCTTCTTTGTTTCACAAGGTCCATAATATCATCATGGCCTTCGAATAGCGACTTCCCTTTGTTAGGAAGAGGAGTGAGGCATATCTTCTTGTTCACAAGCCTCTTTAATAACATTAGCCCCTCCCTAGTATATCGATTCGACCACCTATATCAAGTACACCTATATCGGGTACACCTATATCGAGTACACCTACTTTAAAGCATTGCTAATCAAACCTCATTAATCCGTCTATAATAATTTCTGTCCGTAAGGTCGTCTCAAGGATACCGTATACTAGATATCGCTACCGCAAGTCGGACTAAGAGCTTCTAAGCTGCAACTAGAATGCTACGAGACGAGCCAACTATATACTAGCCTATTAACTATACCACATAGTGAGCATGCTCGAACGAATTGCGCAGTACAACCAGAGCACCCGGTCTCGAGTAGACGTACCAAGGCCATATCTGAAGCCAAAACCTGCTGGAATCAGCAACGATGAACAAGACCATTTCCTCTTCAGTAGAAAACAGGATATTACGAACCAGGTAATACGTCATAGAAAACAATAACATATGCGGCTTATTGATAATATTACTCACCATGTACAGGTCCCAAGCCGGAACGTTAAGCACTTTAGTTTAGACGGAGCTAGCAGCTTACCGTTTAGCAGGAGACCGCTGCCTTTGAGAGGTATTGTAGCTCAATTAACTACCATTTAATTATAGTTGCTCATTAACAACGGATGTACTTAGCCCAATCTGCGTTCTCACTGGCATCCGATGAACCCGCCGAGCTAGACTGGAATCCAGCGGCCTTACTAGAACTATCAGACTCCGTCAGGGTAAACTTGAAGCACTATAGAAGTGTGGGACCTGAAACCGAGAGACTAAACAGTTTCCTAGAGGCGGCGCTTAGAGATGAGGAGCAGCAATGGGGGCATCCAATACTCGACATCGAGACCATTGAGCACGCTCGGCTGGACAAGCTGCTGGCCGAGCTTCTACAGTTTGCCGAGAAGATGAGAGGCGCTTCTAGCCCGCTGATGAGGACAGGTACGGCAACTGGTAGCTTCTCGCTGCAATTTCGCGTCATTATATCGCATGCTAAGAACCTATGGCGCGCGTGGAGGCGCAGATTCCGCGAGCAGTACTTCATGATGGATCAATATCGCTGTGCGGCGCTGGTCAAGGGCGGCCGGCTCAAGGATGTTTCGTTCAACACCTCCCTAGCCTACGACCTGGGCAAGTGGCAGACAAAAGTGAGCGACCCAATCTCTGAGCTTGAGGGGAACCTACAATTCGATCCCGGACAGTAAGTTCTCGAAGTCTTGTCTTTCGCGGTTTGATTGGCTTGTTTCTGACATGATATGTGCCATCCAGCTGGTGGCTGAACATTACATGTGCTGAGAGAGATGGTATGGTGGCTAGTTCGTTGGAGATACCGACGAAAGGAAGGTATTGTATCACTACTCTACCTCTGCTTACCGGACAGGAGGAGTGGATACGGGGTGAAACATATAAATACGTCCGCGAAGGAAGGTCTGGGGACATGCATATCGCTCTGATATCCCAAGTCGGCCGACAGATCCGCGTTCTTCGCGGCTACAGACTGAAGAGTATTCTGGCGCCGCAGGCAGGCGTCCGTTATGATGGACTGTGAGTTATACCAGAACCCTTCGCTGTCTGTCTCCATATAGTTGGCAGATGACAAAACATTTACTCATCAATCGAAAAGCTTTACTATCAAGCAGTATGGGTGCAAGCTCGACAATAATACAAACATCTACCGCCTCGAACTGACACTTGAGCGTGTTCCGAGCTCAAAGGTGTCTGTAGAAGATATCGAAAGCATACCACGACCCTCCCAGCTAGACGACTGGAACTTATACGAAAAGCTCGAAGGCGACAAGATCAAGCTCCTGCAGGGGGAGACAAGCTATCTGGAGTGGAAGCTTAGATGCCAGGAAGAGAAGATCGACAGAGAGGATTGGAGAAGGGCGCGTCTGTTTAGAGCGTCCGTCTCACGTTGGGGGTCTAGGGCTGATTCTCAAGAATAGGGGTAAGGCCCGATGGCGGGCAACTATGATGCCACACAAAGTCCACATATTAAGTCCTCTCTATATCACTCACTGTCTATCACTCACTGTCCTATATATTATCAAGAATCCAGCCTTAGTAAATTGTAGCGTATAGCCTATAACCATAGTAACCTAGAGTATTTTGGATTAAGTTCTATGGCCTATCTATCGTGTAAGTGGTAGGAAAGGGATGCGCTTAGTGGGCCTATTATTTGACGGCCGCCAACCAGCCGAACATGACCCGGCAGCCCGGCAGCCCGGCTAATAGCCCCTCATATTACTAGGTTACCTATTACCTGCACGTCAGTTCGATCAGATCAACGTGGGGCTCTCACATCAACTATTAACATCAACATCATTCAAAATGGGTGCGAAGAAGAAGGCCGATAACAAGTCGAACAACAAGGACTCTGGCGACAAAGATGACAAAAAGGGTGGTAAAGTAAAAGGCGCACAGTCTGTTGTGGTTCGCCATATCCTAGTAAGTTAGGGCTCGACCTCCTCATCCTGAAGTATACGAATTGACACACAGCTCGCAGTGCGAAAAGCACTCCAAGAAGGAAGAAGCGTTGGCTAAGATCAGGGAGGATCCCACTTTGAATAATTTCATCGCGGTGGCTAGAGAGTATAGCGAGGATAAAGCTAAACAAGGTACGTTCTGTCTACCGGGTCGGAATCTCCAGTATCACTTTACTTCTTGATACTTGAGTACCTTGTGTCTGGTACCTATATAAGTCCAAAACTGACCTGGGAACCTTAGGCGGTCTCCTCGGTACACAACGGAAAGGATCACTACAACCTGAATTTGAAGATGTTGCTTTCGCGCTACCAGAGAGTAAGGGCAGTAATCTCAACATCGGAGAGGCGAAGACGGCTTTCGGATATCACCTGATTGTAGTAGAAGAGCGCAAATGAGCTCACAATCACCATGATAACAAAAAAAAAAAAACCTTCACGGGTGAAAAAGAGGCTTCGCAGCCGAGATTGGTAATGCAAGTTTTCCTTGATTCCTGATGCAGTATAGACCCCTTATTTTTTCCAGCATCTATGCCAGATGGTCAAGCCGGTAGAGTACATGCCAAGGGCTGATGACGATGGCTTGAAAATCATCCCGTTCCACTGTCTATATCCCCGCGCAACGCCCGTGATGAATTCCTTACTGCTCGGTCTGGAAGTAGTTCAGGAGGATGGTTCGCTCGGTCGACTCCTCACCCCAGTCCTTGACAACTACGCAAGAGCAGTTTACCACCTTGCGCGCGTTGCCTTCTCGGTCCAAGACGCCTGCATAGCATTATGATTAGTTCCGAATTGTATAATCCCATAGGCTCATGTAACTTACAGAGACCTGACCACTCGCCCAGTTGCTTTCCGTCGGGAACCTTGATCAGGGGGATCTTGTGTTCGGAGCAGAGAGCGATGACCAACTTCTTGTAGGCCTCTTCTTCGCAGGACTCGTTCAGAACACACATGTGAGCTTGTCGTCGGTCGAGGGCCTTGGATGCTTCACGGAGACCCCGGGCAAGACCGTCGTGCATAAGGGCGAGCTTCAAGACACCCTTGAGAGCATCCAGAACGGACATCTGGCCCTTGGAGGCATCGGCGGAGACTTCAACCTCCTCGGGGGCTTCGGGTGCGTTGTTCTCTTCTACGTCCGACTAAAGTGAATATTTGTTAGCAAATTGCTTGCGCGCACACAATAGCAACTTGAGACTTGAGCACAAGATGCAAGGCCGTCGCATTTAAATATCCTTGTCGCTACGTGCAGGAGCACAGCAATAGTAGATAATAAATAATAAAACATACCATCTTGAATTTTGTGACACCGGTGCGATCCTCGAAGAGTGGTTTTGCTGTGTCGAGTTGTGAAGGTGAATTTGGTGGGTGGGTTGAGTCGTGCGAAAATCTGGAATTGTTCCAAATCGCCGAATGGAAATAGAGTGTATCAATCGAGGCTTGAACGTTAGGGAAGGTGCAGTGGGGAAGACTAGTTGTGTATCGCTTAGGGTTAGTTGGCCGAGATTTACCCCATTGGGTGGAGATTTCCAATTCGACCCGCCCACCACAATTTTCGCACCGCAAAAAAAAAAGAGAAATCAATCTAACTGACCGCCAACCATCCCTCTACCTTTTTTTTTTCTACCTTCACTCCGTTCACTTCAACCAAACTTCTGCACCACAAGCACAAACCAGAGCGTCAAGCACCTCTACAGAGGTATGTTATAATAAGTCGCCATGCCTTAATTTGAGGCAAATTCCATCCCCCAATGCGCCCTTCAAGAAGCCGGGGGGAGAGCAATCAGAGACCTCGCCGCCGGCCTTCGCGTCGCGATGGACGAGTCGGGTTTCTGATACGCTTCTCCTCTCCAGTACTGAGCGGGTAGAACCCTCCCCAAAGTGGCACATTGGGGGAGGGCACTCTCCATGCTCTTGGCTTTTGAAGGCTAACCAAACACCATTATCAACAGATACCTCACATCCTTTTCGAACGGTCTGAGAATCTCGCAACACCGCCAAAATGGTCAAGACTTCAGTCCTCAACGATGCGCTTAACGCCATCAACAACGCCGAGAAGACCGGCAAGCGCCAGGTCCTCATCCGACCTAGCTCCAAGGTCATCATCAAATTCTTGACCGTTATGCAGCGTCACGGTAGGTCATGTCTTATTCGTCTTCCGCACAAACTACCTTTCCGACATCCCTCACGTATAAAGCATTCGGCATGATAACTGGATAACGGTCTCAAAACGCCCTACGACCGAAGTCTTTTAAGTTGCCGATAGATCGAAGTTTTTTTCTGGCGAAGGAATCTTACACGTTTCTCTGATATATCCAAAATGAAGTCTTACGTTTAGTCTTTCGCTACATCCAGCTAACGCTTTTCTCCTTGATAGGTTACATCGGCGAATTCGAGGAGGTCGATGACCACCGATCCGGCAAGATCGTCGTGCAGTTGAACGGCCGCATCAACAAGTGCGGTGTCATCTCTCCCCGATACAACGTCCACCTTTCCCACCTCGAGAAGTGGGTTGTCAAGCTGCTACCCGCCCGTCAGTTCGGCTACATCATCCTTACCACCTCTGCCGGTATCATGGACCACGAGGAGGCCCGAAGGAAGCACGTTTCTGGCAAGATTATTGGTTTCTTCTACTAGGCGGGTGACAAAAGAAAAAAAGAAAAAGGTGCAAGGGATATGAGAACTGACTAAGGGCATTTTCGGCGTTTGGGAGGAATGGATAATGGCCAAGCTATGATGCTTGATGTTTTTCAGCCAAATACACCACGATACCACGAAATGCTACACAAGTCCAGTTCTTGCATGCGTCTAGCCCCCTGTGTTCCCCTGTATGTTGCCAAGTCGCGGACCTCGGGAGTGCCATGTGAAAGTGCCGATTGTACTATGTACCTCATAGTACTTTGTACATAGCACCTAGGACATTCAATGCTCAATTCATTGAAGGGCTTACATAACATGGTACAATACCTTATGTAGCTAACTGAAAATAAAGCTTGATCCTTCCGTACAACGGTGACGGGTAATTGAGTTTATTTAGTATTAAAGTTCTGTCATCCATTCCATTGACAAGTGTAATCCTCCGAATTTCGTGCCCAGATTTTGTGCTATTTTCACATTTACATGCTTTATACCCCTGATTGCGGCCCGCAAAGTTCGAAATAATTTGTACATGATTCATGGATAATATGGCTAGGCCGGGTCAGAAACGCGTCACAGTGCGTCCTCCCGCACGCCTATTGATTGAATGGAAGTATTTAATTGGATTAAGAAAACAAATACCGGGGCACTACGTACAGAGGTACTATGTAGCAACTAAAAAACAGGAAAGGACTCCTGAACCTCATCGGGTCCATTTCTTTCAGAGGTTTATATCTCCATATTTCCTTCTAATTACCTACCTACCTGTTATCCCTCTTCTCCACGAATAGGTACATGTACCAATGTCATTCTTTACATCATTATTTCCTGCTGCGCCAACAATTCTCAGCCGACGCCATCGAGCCTTCTAAATTGCGGGTGGGATTAGGGCATGAAGAGAAATGCGGCCGCGCCAACTGATCCTGACCGGCGGGCTCGTCTTCCTCGGTATCTGCGTCATCACACTCTTCCGGTTAACGCCTTCCGGCACCAACCTTTCTGACCTCAAACCCGGACCTTTATCGTATACATACGGCGCTGGGAAAGATGGCTCGAGCAATGCACCACAACCGCTGGCGGCCCCGGTCCCCTTTGATCCTAAGCCGAAGCCCGCTCCTGCTGGAGAACATCCTATGCATTACTTGATCACGCAAGCGGAAAAAGACCTCGAAGCTACCAAGTCACGCCAATCCAAGACAATCAAGGATGCTGTTGCAGAGTACCGCAGGCGGTACGGGATCCCGCCGCCGCCCAACTTCGACAAATGGTTCGAGTTCGCAAAGGCCAAGAACGTCCAGCTCATCGACGAGTTCGACATGATCCACGAGTCGCTGACGCCCTTCTGGGGGCTGAAGCCCTTCACGATACGCGCGCGCGCCAGGGAGGCTCTAGGTTTCGACAACGCGTTGCTAGGTGTCCAGATCCGAAACGGTAAAATTACGCATATCCAGGGCGGGAGCGAGTGGCAGCGAGAGGCCACTGCGGGCATGATGGGGAAGTTCCTAAAGTGGTTACCCGATATGGACCTGTGCTTTAACTTGCACGACGAGTCGAGAGTCGTCGTACCGCATGATGACCTAGCTAGATTAGTCAAGAGGGCTAAGGAGATTAATATGCCTGCGGCCAATTCCCATTCCCGCTTGAGAAACGAGTTCACGCCGATGGGCAAGGGACTGAATGACGGGTCTAAATTTGAGGAGAGCAAGCTAACGCGATTCAACATTTTTGCTCACCAGCCAACCTGGACTCACTCGAGGTTATCGTGCCCCCCGGATAGTCCTTCTAGAGGTTTGGAGGAAGAAGAGAGGAAAGATGACATCTCGAAGTATGGCCTAGGAGAGCTAGGCTTCATCTACAATATCACAGCCATGTCCGATATCTGCTATTCCCCGTCGCTAGGCTCGACGTTCGGCTTCTTCGACCGGCCGAACGCATACAACATCGTCCTCGATCTATTCCCGATATTCTCACAGTCCAAGATCTCGTCCTACTCTGATATATTGTACCCGTCGCCGTGGTACTGGTTCGAGAAGGTAACGTATGACGAGGCAAAAGACGTTCCGTGGACCGAGAAGCAGGACAAGTTTTACTGGCGCGGCTCCACGACCGGTGGCTTTAGTAGGAACGGCGGGTGGCGACGACAGCACCGACAGCGGTTCGTGAAGAAGATGAACGCGGCCGATAACGTTAAAATCCTCGAGCAGGTAAATGGCAAATGGGGGGTCCAGGAGGTACCGCGGGGCGACTACAAGGACATCATCGACGTATACTTCTCGGGAGTGGGGCAGTGCGACCCCGGCGACTGTGATGCGCAAAAGGAATTCTTCACGATCAAGGGGCACGTAGAGCAACAGGACGCGTGGAAGTACAAGTATCTGCTGGACATCGACGGGAATGCGTTCAGCGGGCGATTCTATGCGTTCCTAAAGAGCAAGAGCTTGGTGTACAAATGGGCCATCTTCCGCGAGTGGCACTTCGAATGGCTAAAGCCGTGGGCGCATTACATCCCCCTCAGTATACAGGGGGAGGAGTGGCTCGAGGCTGTCCGGTTCTTCGGTCACGGCGACCTGGGGGCGAAGGAGGCCGAGCGCCTCGCAAACCAGCAGCGCGACTGGGCGAATAAGGTCCTAAGACACGAGGACATGGAGGTGTGGTTCTTTAGGTTGCTGCTAGAGTATGTCCCGACAGCTCGATTCGATTATTATTTTCGGTAGATCGGAGTGCTAACGCAGACGCAGATACGGCCGAGTCGCAGACGACGAACGCGAGAACATCGGATACTCGGTAGGAGCACCCACGGTTAAGGCAACTCGAGAAGCCCCCCCTAGCCCATGACGGAAAGATAAAGCGGACACGTTAATATGAGGGTCGAAAACGGATAGGATAGGATATGCTACATAGGCATAAGTAGATATGGCAGGCCGGCGTACGGATTGTATAAAACAGCTGCATGGTCGGAGTTTTTTTTTTTTTTTTTTTTCACTTTTCACTTTGTCTTTCCCAGTGCACATGCATGCACATACACATGCGGACAGGCGGATGATGGTACTATATGCATACATATATATGTGTATTTACGGGAAGAGGACCGGACAGTCCGGCGCATAGCCCCCTTTCCCGCGGTTCGATATACGACGGGAGGGGAGTTTTTGGATCCAGAGCGGAGTATATCCCGGACAGCGGATAGCGGATAGCGGACAGCGGACAGCGTCTGGATATTTATTCGAGGTTTCGTCGGGCAGGCGAGCAAGTAGATGATGTAGATGGGCAGACTGGACTAGCCCGGACTACATATGCCTTATGTATCTACCTATCTAAGTAGGGTATCCAGGCAGTTACCTAACCTAGATATATACTCAAGCAGGTTGGGGGTCCGCTAGGTAAAGTACTGCGCCTCGCGGAGCGGGAATCTAATGCTTAATCCTGACTAGGTTAAGTTGGATGCAAGATAAGACATTATATGCTTTAGGTATATAGGTATTAAGCGAATATTTAATCAGATGTTGGGTGTTTCGTGTTAGTGCTGCTGGTGAAATCGTATACGCGGAGTCGGCTGTGTGTGTCTCTTGTAAGTTGTGGAAGGGGTCGAGCACCTGTGTAGTTGAGGCAGACAGACATGATGTTGTGTTAAGCTGCTGCCTGCTGTGGAGAGGACTAACTAGAGAGTAGGGCGTTTTATACGGACTTTTGAGTTGTTTGGTCTTTGTTGAAAGGGTTACTACAGAGGTAGAGGCGGTATGGTATGTATGTCAAGAGTCAACCGTAGAAGTTAGGTCCACGACAAGGAGATGGTGGTCGACTTATAGATGATTACCTAGGTTAGGAGGTAGTTATTTGATTGAAAACTAGGGTAGATTACTCCCCGATGATTACGGCTGCGAGCTTTTATTCGTATAAGCGGAATAAGCGCCGAGCTTCGTTATCGTGGATGGGGTAATACGAGCTTCCCAGCCTCCTGTTCGTAAGGTAAGATGGCACGTATATGGCACTTATATGGCACTTATCACTTATATGACACTTATATCTAGACTGGTCTTTCTAATAGGCAATCATGAATCCGTTCACGGTTACGCAGGTCACTAGACGGTACTGCATATGTTATTGAAGGATGTTATTGAAGATAGATAGATAGCCTTTTACGCTTGTTTAACCCCGTATTTCGGTTCTCTTGCCAACAATCAGACCTACGGTGTCTTCGCTTGGGTTCATATATAGGAACCGAGGCTTCGGTGTTAGAATAGGTGGGATATTTCTGCAAACTCCTTGCTTGTCTACCTACCTACCTATGCTGTTACACCCCGCACTACGGATTATAGCTCAAGACCTCTAGGTTGCGCACCTGATACAGCGTGTCTATTTGTTCATTCGTCGTTAGCTACCTAGGAACATGACCGCTTTGAAGTTTGAACCGTGGACTTACTGCTGGTAGGACCTGGAGATCCGGACGAACCCTCCATTTGCAAGTTGATAATCCTATTGAGAAGAAGAAAAAGGCTCCCGTTAGTTATACTATCGGCTTTCATATACGCTGCAGAGCGAGCTGGGCAGTCATGAACAAGGCCGGCTCGGAAATAGACTTACAGATACATGGCCTTGCCGAAGAAGTTGCCGCCGACCTGGGTCGTGACGAGCGCGCCGTCCATGTAGAACTTGACGGAGACATCCCGCTGGTTGATGTCGCGGATCTCGCACTTGATGGAGTGGAACTGGTCCGGGGTGGCGTAGGTGACGTCCTTCCAGGACAGCACCGAGGACGTGTTGAAGGTGTTGAAGGAGATCTTGCCGGACCCCTTCCACTCGGCCATGTCGATCTCGGGCGGCCAGCCCTCGACGGCCGTCAGCCAGAACGCGGGCCACGTGCCCTTGGTGGTGGTGGCCTTGAACTCGCCCGAGAAGTCGTAGCCGCCGCCCTGCGCCACGGTGAAGTGCTCCTTGCCGTGGATGGCGCCCGACAGGTAGTTGATCTTGATCTGCTTGCCGCCGGACGTGGCGTCCTTCTGGCCCGTGACCTTCTTCGCGGTGAGGGTCACCATGCCGTTGGCGAACTGGACCTGGGCCTTGTCCATGCGCGCGCCGCCGTTGTGATCGGTGCCCCACGGGTAGTTGTAGGCCCAGTCCGCGTCGAAGTTGGCCTGCGAGTCGAAGCTTGTTTTGGGGATGATGGTGCGGACCGCGTCGGCGCAGGACGCGGCTGCTAGGAGCAGCGAGTATGCTCCGAGTAGATGCATGGTTATGGTGGTGGTGGTGGTGGTGGCTTGGTAAGTATGGTATAGTATGTATAACCTTGTGCCCCCTGTGGGAATACAAACTCAAGAGTCTGGTCTGGTCTGGCTACGAGCGAAGCCGTCGAATAAATACTCCTCTGGACTCGCCGGCAGATTCGAGATTAAACTGGACCATAACGGAGGGGGAGTCGTGCCAATGGTGGAAATATTAATTAAGTGAGTTTCAGTGTACGTTTTCGTACCGTACATACAGCATCCCATCTGGGGTATGTTGTATGTTGTATGTTGGTATAACTACCGCAGTCGACATTTATCCGGATGAACCCTCGATTGTAAATATCTGATAGGCCGGGTTATAGACGACGTCAGTATGTACGTAGATGCCAACACGAAAATAGAAGGAGAGCAAGAAGTGTGTGTGTGTGTGTGTGTGTGTCAATGCAGTGACGGGATCGTGGCTCGTGTTAATACTCGTATTAAGGCCTACCTATCTTAATGCGGTTATTATGCCGATACCCCTGACGGGATCGGCGGTGGCATATTCTACTTGCTCAACCTTGATGCTCAGCCTCGTATTGGTGCGGCTAACGTCAGTTTTTGACATGATCTCGAATACATACTGAACTCTCGCATGTTGTAAATAGCTACCTATGCTTAGATACCCCTTCATTTCCCGTTGCTATTATACATTCAAGTCAGAGTACCATGTTGTGTTAACTAGTTGGTATCTTGAATCTAGGTAGTTAAGGGTAATGAATAGGTACATAAGCGATGCTTGTCTTTATATAAGTTAAATATTAAGAAGTTGCAATGAGTTTATTTACATTATAGTCTTATCAATATATATAATTTGCATACAAGAACAGGCTGGTTTATGCTTGCTCTCCTTCTCATCAACACTATAGAAATATATCCTCTTATTCATTATTTATTCAAACATACGACAGGATGCACCCCTTAACCTTGCTTGGTATCCCGGTCTTCTTCGGACTCCGCAACGCAAGTTAGTTGTAGCAAGCCGTTGTCCATATTCCTACACTCGTAAACAGGAGACTCTCCGCTAGGGACCGTGACCGTAATATTTTCGATTTTGATATTGCTACACCGCTGATTTTGGGTTTTGGGTTAGCATACCTTGCTACCTTGCTTCAAGATGCGTAGGATCGTAGAACTTACGTCTGGTGCGCTGCATACGAGCGAGCCTGCTTGCGGGTCCAACTTCGTGGACGTCGTTCCGTATATATTCTTCATGGTCACGTCTTCGATAGTTAAGTTGGCCTACATATTCAAGGATTAGTATTGCGAAAGCGTCCTAATATAAGGATTTCTGGCCTCCTGTGACACTTACCGGGAACTCATTACATAATGTCTTGTTGCTCTGTCCGTAACACTGCGTGATAGTGATAGCCCTGTCGTTATTAATGCTATGGAGGAGGTCATAAGTGACATTCCTGACGTAGCCGGATCCTCCACCGCCGACGAGATGAGTCTGGAAGTTAGTCTGAGCGCCAGGCCACACCTTTATTCTCGCAAAATCGCTAGCATTGGTCATAGAGATGTTGTATATGTGCAGGTTTTCAACTATGTCCGTTTGGCCCACGTATTGGCCGATGGAACCAATGCTAATACCATGCGAGCCGATACACTCTAAGTTTTGGATGACAACGTTGGTGCTGTTTGGTTTGAAGGACACGCAGTCTTGTAAGTTAGAAGTTGGTAATAATCTAGAACAGTTGAATGCTATCTTATACATACCATCAGTGTTTCGAATAAAAGAATCTTGTATCACTACTCGGTCAGAACGGTAGGTGTCCCAGCCATCCGAGTTGGCAATCTCCACACCGTTGAGAGACTATAGCTGTTAATACCCGTGGCACTTCTGGGCGAAGATTATTTACCTCTGCGCGAAGATCCATGTTGCTAACGACGATGTCGGAACTATTCGCAATGATATTAAACCACTATAAGCATGTCAGTCAAGAGCTACCGGTATTAATAGCCAACTATCGCTCGTATTATCCCTTACGTTTGGCGGGTTGCGCATCCGCAGATTCGACATGGTGGCCCCCTTCATGCCGTCGAAGGCAAAGAGCATAGGCCGATACAACTACAAATCTTAGAGTTAATACTACTATATAACGAACACTATACCGAAGCTATCATAAATATACTTACAGCCTTATTAGTCTGCAACTCTTCCCAATACGCCTGGCCCTTCCCATCAATGACACTCTTGCCCTCCTCCAGAGTTAGATCGCCGTATATATTGACGTCCTCTCCACCGAGCTTCCAAAACACGCTCTGGTTCTGGAACTCGTACTTGAAGCTGTTGTTCTGCCAGTAGTATACGTCAGAGTCGTCGAAAGCGATGGAGCCGGTGATGGCAATATCGATGTGCTTGAGAAAATTAAGATCCAGCGGCGAGCCGATTTGATACGACTTGTCGAATACCGCGGTGCCACCGTCGTTGCATTCCTGCAGGGCTTGCAGTATATGCGGTGCATCGTCGCGCCTCGTGCTACATCCTTGCTTTACATGGCAGTACCGCCCTTCCTCACGCGGAGGCGAGCGTGGCATGGCTCTGCCGGCGTTATAAGGACCTGGTACGACATTGGGACGGGATGGGATCTTGGAGTGTCCCGTCGCAAGTGCTGGGGAGAGAAGAGTAAGCGCAGCTACAAGCAAGCTCACCGGGTTGAGCTGCATCTTCGAAATGCTACAGGAGCAACTCGTCGAAAGCTGTTTGTCCGATAGCGCAAGCTACGAGCGTCTATCTACCCAGTGTCTAACAAAGGAAAGAAAGCTTAGAGGTGGTATTTACATATTTCTAGGTCAGAGATGTCTAACACAAAAGTTGGAAGGTTTACACGTTCGGGCTCGAAACGGCACGAGGCCAAGATGCCGGACCAAGATGCCGGGAAGATCTATCACAGCGATAGGTGGATGATCTGTGGGGTTTGCTATAGGTTCCTGGAGATCTCGGCAGGTCGGCCAATGTTACAGCGGTGCCAGGTCGTTTGGTTAACAGGCTAGTCTTCATCGAGCCTCCAAAAGTAGGACTGAATCCCACTTGGCATTGGGGGATAGGTCTTGTAGTAGGTTAGGCGTTTATTATATGAAAGGATCAACTGTTAAGAAACTTCCACCCTGTTCCCCCACAACTAACCCGGATAGTTCCCCGCATAATCTGAGGTGAATATCTGGGGTTACCGCCTAATATACCCCTAATATACCCCTGGCTTAGGCTAATGGTATTGTACCATGGTAAACTATCAAGCTTTTATGCATTACATAGCAGCATAGGTAATCGCTACCTATACCCGATTTATAAAAGAAATAAAATCAATTCTGGCTTGGATGTGTGCTTGCTGTGGAACCGAATTTGAGATGAGACAATGCGTACCTAGGTAGTTAGTTGTCTTAGATATACAAGTCAGCTGTCGTGTTCAAGCTTCGACTTGTTATTTGTTAGTATCACAGACACTTATACAAACACCCGTTTTATATTCTGGGAATAGATCAATCATACTTTACTGTATTATATACGCATCTATCATCTATTTCAACCTCTATGCTAAGTTGCTTCAAATACGACAATGCGTCTAGACTCCAGCATCTTCACCTCGTACTCCGCCTGCTAGATAATGCGCCTTCTACCGGGCCTCAGACAACAGAAATACCCCCCCCCCCCCCCCCCCCTTCTAACAAGCCATATTTTCTAGCCCCAGATATCAAACTAAAGTCAAGCACTACGTAGACTTATCCTCCTCCCCCTCCCCCTCCCCCTCCCCCTTCCCCTTCCCCTTCCCCTTCCCCTTCCCCTTCCCCTTCCCCTTCAACTTCTCCAACCCCTCCGCCCCACCAAAATCCTCCCTAAACCTCGGCCTCTCGATCTCCACCGCCTCCTTAACACGGGCATACGTGATCCCCCCCAGCCGGCTCACCGGCATAAGCACCGCGGGATCGATCAAGCTCCGCTCCTCGTTAAGCGCGTCCTCGCGGACCCAGAACCGCGTGCCCTCGAGCAGCACCAGACACCCCGTCTTCTTGCCCGGCGTAGCCCTGCTCTCGAACTCGCGCACGCTCTCGAGCTTGCACTCGACGCTGAACACGGCCTCCCTCACCCGCGGGGCCTTGACGTCGCGCGTGTCGTGCGCCGGCGTCAGGCCGCTGACGTCCCACTCGCTGGTGCCGTACGGCGCGTCCACGCTCGTCGCGTTCGCCGCCTCGAGGAAGTCCTCGCCGATGATGCTGACGACGCACTCGCGGCTGTCGAGGATGTTGCGCAGCGTGTCCTTGGGCGCGGCCAGCGTCGCCGCCACCCCGAGCGCGAACAGCGGCGGGTCGTTGCTCACCACGTTGAAGTACGAGAACGGCGCGAGGTTGCGCGCGCTGCCGTCCGCGGCTTGCGACGACACGAACCCGACGGGCCGCGGCACGATGCCGCTGATCAGCAGCTTGTAGTTGAAGGTGAGGGGGCGCCCCGCCTCGTACGGGTCGATGCACACGTGTTTCTTTTCATCCGCCTCTGCCGCGCGCTGGCTATTAGCGCCGGAGCCGACACGCCAGTCGGGGGCGGCGGTCTTGGTATACCGGAGCTGAGACTCCTTATCCCAGTCCGGGCGCGACGCCTCGACTTTCTTAAAGTCCGGGTGCGGGTTCCGCTTAATAGCCGCCTCCTGCTGAGTAGAGACAAACATATTGTTGTTGTTGTTGGCGGCGACGACGAATATCGAATCTAACAAAAAGGCTCTAGGTACCACAAAGCGCGGCGTTGGTCTTCTTCGCAGTGTGCAGATTGCCAAGAAAGAGTTCCGGTGGTGAGGAGGCGGCATGAGGAGCAAGTTATAATGCCGCAAGGCGGCTACACGCGGGTGATAGTCGCCGAGAGATGCAGCGTAGCGGAATAGCCAATTACCGGAGGAGACGGCGCGGAACGACGGAGGTGGCTTCCTACTTTTAGTGCTTGTAGGATTGCTTGATTCTCTGTAAGGGTTACAAATGGCCGTGTTTATTAATATATAATATATAGTTAATTGTTTGCGTTTGGAAGTGTTTAGAAAACAATTAATCCCTTTCGGAAAAGGAGCATTCTGTTATTAGGTTGGGTGGTGATGTAATGTTTCGGAACGCTTGCTCGGGGCTCAAAAGTGTTCCCGAAGTTGAATCGGAACGAGAGAAATTTCACACTAGACTCCTAAGCTGTAAACCATCAGGACATAATAGTATAGGCTCCTCCTTATGATGGTATCTAATTTATCGAACCATAAAGCAGTATAATCATAAAGAAGTAACAAATATCTTTTAACGAAAATATCATCCGCCTCATTGAATTCATACAATTCATACGCATCATCTTACACCATGCCTGCCTTCTAACTCCCCATTTAGGTATCTAGTCCTTGACGCCTGCCGAAACCGCAAAGCCTGCCTTCGTCCCGACGACAGCTTCTTCCTAAAACGCCAGTGTCATACATCTAACCCAGATGTTGAAACAAATCAACGAACTTATCTCACGTACAAAAAAATGGTATAACCCTGTCCAGCAAACACTGCATGCTGACACACCTAGTGCTATATTTACCAACACCCTCCCCCCCTTTCCCCCCAGCCGTACATGTAACTAAAGGGAAATTTAGAAAGTGAGACTCTGCCCTCTTCGCGAGAGGATATATTCGCAGCCTAGCCTGGCATCCTCCTCGTGTGCGAGTATCTCTTTCAATATCTTGTCTCCTGCCGGTTCTTTGCCGTCGAAGGTTTCCTTGGTATGGATGATAACTACCGTTAGCCCTCGGAGAGCATTGGGCATCTTCGGAGTCCGCAGTATACTAGCATCCTTCAAATTCATCTCGGCAGTTGGAATCGTGAGATGCGAAGAAATGATGTTTTCACTGGGCTCGGATTTCGTGCCCTTTGGTGGTCGCATCGATTTCGGCGACACAGACCGGTCGTCTACCGGTACGGGCCCGTGAGTAGCCCTGGCAATGGCTCTGTTGGCTCTCCTGCCTGATTCTTCCAGCTCCCTCTTTCGTTTCTTAGTCGGTTCGAGCCTAGCTGGGACCTGGCGAATTCTCTCGACTTCTGCCGCGAGCGTCTGCATCTCTTGGATGATGTAACGCGGGGTTAAATGGCCGTAGAGTCTGTCGTCCGTTCGACTGTCGTCGTACGAGCATTCGATAAAAATCGCTGCGAGGTGTCCGGTTGCGATCTTCGGAGCCGCTTCAAGCCAAACCCCAATGTTCCTTGGAGACAACGAGATGCTATCGGGCTCCACATCGCCGAACATCAGGACTTCGCGACCGCTGAACGCGTCCCGGATAAAGTATGCACTCGAGTCGTAGACGCATTCTGTTTCCCGCTCAATTTCACCTATGGATTGAGTTCTGACACCGTTCCTGAAGATAACTGACGGTCCCGAAGCGCCATTGGTACTACTAACATTTCTCGGCGATATGAGAGATCCATCTGTACTCCCGTAGCGTGAAGACGTCGAACCCCTGTGGGCATGTTTTTCCATGCAATGTCCGTGGCTGACGCCGAAGACTTTAACTGCGAGACCATCGCTAACTTCTAGGTAGCCTCTATCTGCCCCTTCGCCAAGAGCCGGACTACCTCCCTCGATTAAACGCATATAAGTTACGAGGCCGGCGCCATTATTCTCATCAGATAAATTTGGCCAGATGATATTGTTGAAAATATGCGTCTTAAATGCAGAGATGGTGGAGGGCAGACCGGCGATGCGTTTTGGTTTTGTTCCTGGAGGAGCTGCGGTGTTGAGAACGAATCCGCTGATATGGTCCAGATGAGGGTGAGTGATTAGGTACGAGTCGACAAGATTTTTTGATACATCAAGTGCGTTGGCCGACGCCGAGGTAGAATGGATTTCCATACCCGCAAAGGGTCCTGTCCTTAAGACATGTGGTAATGCAATATCAGAACCGAGGCCTGGTGGCTGCGTCTCCTCGAGAATTTGAGTGATGGCGGAGAGGTGAACGCCGCCATCGAGAGCAACTAATGATCCCCGACTCCAGTTAGTTCTAACAGACCGTACGAGGAAAGCGGTGACATTGTCCTCCCGTGGTCCACCACTCGCGCCCTAATATGAGAATTGAATGTTAGTATCTACATCAGACCGATAATTCATAGTAGCACAATATTAATCCTAATTGGGATCCACAGTGTGAGAAGCAAATGTCATTTCAACGTTGCGCCGCGTAACCCGAGTCAAGGACCGGACCGGTATACATTAAACGAAGGTCCCGAGGTACAGGATGGATAGAGACGGTGCTCGTGACGTCACTATTTCCGGAGAGATTGGTAGAACCGATAAAAGAAGTTATCGACAAGCGAACACACGTGACATTTGCTATTTTCTTATATCCGATAGCTGGGTTTGGCTCGAATTCGGAATTCGAGGTGTTTGCTCTTTCGTATTTGTTTTCACCGGCCGTCGAGTCTGGCAGAAGGATAGTAAGCTTTGTCTTCTTCCAGAGAATCCTCGGAGCCAAGGCGACCGGAGAATCATTTGTTCATTTGTTTAAAAATGGGGACATGGAATCCAACAAACAAATACTTTTGCGACCAAATTGCCTCGAAGTATCTGTTTCGTCGGGTCGGGAGCGGTTTAGTTGTTGAACCAATTAAGTTCCCCCATATCGATCGATCCGACTATGCATGCGCCAGTGCAACTATTTCATTCGACTTCAAAAACCTCGGGCTTAGATTGGATATTTCATATGTGCAATACATGCTCGCATCCAAGTGGCCGAGGGTCGCGTTGTAAGCAGCACCAGCTGCTGGCGAATCAAAGGTCGTTGTTCCAAACAAGTTGCATTTCATGAAACTAAGATTGAGATGAAACGGCTTTACTTACCAGCACAATGACCTGCAAGGCAGGCTGACTTGCATTTCTCATCCTGTCCTGTCTGGCCATTCTCTTGCGACAATTGGTAGCAATTGCGACGGTTCCGTAGCACCTTTGTCTCGTTTCGTCTCGTTTCGTCTAGTGACACTGATGTGTAAAGTTTAGTTTGTTGCGCTCGCCGGGGCGAAGAATGTTCTTCTGGCAATCAATTCTTCTCTTGGATATGCGAAGGAGTGTTTGGAGAAGGTGGCTTGGGCGATGCACAGCGTTGAGGCCGCTATTCGTCCCCAAAGGAGCGCGCTACGGCATCGGTTCTTTTGGTAGGTTTATCTACCACCTAAAACTTTCCGTATCCCGCACGTGACTTTGAATGACTTTGAATGACTCTGAATTCCAGCGCCGCTCTCTCACCCCAGCTCTTGTTTCCTTTCTTGGCGTTGTCTGACCTTTGTAATTCTTCAGGCGGCTTCTCCGTAACAATAGAAGAGGAAACGAAAAAAGAAAGGAAAAAGCTAGACGGAGGTGGTTTAAGATATATCTCCCATGTGGACAATTAATTCTGGAAATCTGGGGAACTGGGATCTTCTGACTTTAAGGTTAAGTGATGTGTGCAAGCCCCTAAGTTGCTGTGGCTTTTATCCAATTCAGCTCTAGCGCGCAGACGGCACAGCTAATCGGAAACTCCACTGCAGCGCAAATCGAGTTCCGGTATGGGCAGGCACAACGAACAAGGACGAGTAACTGGGGCAGGTTCAGTTCTTGGGTTCGTTTTAGCGTTTACCTAGAGCCGGCTAGGGCCTACTAGGACCTGATAACAACGGAGCGGTACCACCTTGATATGTGTTCCTCTCGGTCACTCCGGTATCTACGAGACTACCACTCTACACATGCGAATCGCATCATTCATACTGCATTTTTATTTGCCCACCACAACCTGGTTTTTCTTGTCACAGATTTAAAATTGGGCCTTCCTTTTCCGATCCTATCCTACCCTTAGTTTCGGTACCGCGTCTCTTTCCTGGTTTAACATGAATACTAACATGAATATCATATTCGACGTCTTATTTACGCTTAACTAATAGAAGCCGCATTAGGATGATAGCTTGTACTTATATACTATGTTAACAGCGGGTGTTATGCGACTACTGTGGTTCTTGCTAATAATAACTCAACCGTAGTGACGTCGTTTGCGCGGTAAGACGGGGCCAACAACTGGCCTTTACTTAGGTATATAGCCTAGGTACCTTACATACGTATTATCGCCTTAATTCAGTCATTATACAAACTACGCACTCACCTAGTTTGATCCATTCAAGCTGATGTTCAATTCATACACATCATCTCTGAGTCAACAATTACCCGTACAGGACTCGAAACTACATATATATATATATACCTATGTATAGGTACTTAATATAAGGCATCTGATCCAGGACTGTCGACTATGGTGTCTGTAATCACTGGCTCCCGACACGGCACATTTATATTAAATATCCAAAAGTAGATGATACATTAAGTTTCTACCTAAATACCTAAATACCTAACCATTTAATACCTTAAAGTACAGAGAGTATGCGTACTTCTACGCTATATATATATGACAACTAGGAAATTTATCGGGAGTGGGTAAACAGTAAACAGTGTCGCTTTTTAGAAAACATAAAACAAAATCGGTTGCTGAAAGACATCGGTTGTAGAAGAAATACAAATTTTTTTTTTTTTTTTTAAATATTTTCTTATATGGATATTTTATCAAATCGTCTGCTCGTGGAAACATACACATCCCGGTATCGCGTACATTGGCCTCGTCAGAGACGTGGCAACACGAAAGGACAACTTACCCACGAAGCGCCCAACCCAATGAGTGTCCGAAGGTCAAATGCCACCCCTGTGTCCTGGAATGCCTAATTTTCCCACGAATTCAGACTTACCGCAAGTTGAAGGTATTTAGCGACGTGGACAGCTTATTCGTCGGATCGGTCTCTGCCTCCAGGGCAGCTGTGTCCAATGGCAAACTGTCTCAGAGGTTGAATAGGTCGGCGAGTCCGGCTTCGTCAGCAGGGCTGCCAAAAAGATCATCGCCTTCGTCGAATTCTAGATTGTCGAAAGCCTCGACCGAATTGCCATCAGCCAGTTCAGCTTCTTCTTCGCCTTTGTCGTGGTTATCTTCCGCGCCCTCTGTAACAATAACCACGTCAACGGAGTCTGCATTATGGATATTAAAATCGGAATCCGGGCTCAAACCTAGAGGCTCAGTCGCAGGCGGAGTTGGCAAATAGCTTGCCTCAGTCGATGCTGGTATACTACCAACTCCGTTGTCCTGTTGCCCCGTGTGATCTAGTACCTGGGTATAAGCATGTTGAGGCGTTGTGGATGGTGCTGGGCTAGGGCTTGTTCGTGGCCTCTTATTTGGGTCATCCTGAACAGGATCGTATGATATACCGATATTTCGATCTTCCATCAATACTTCATCCCTGTCTCGCTTTCGTGCTGTGTTCCCTATGGGACTCGAGGTTACAGGAATCGAGGCTGGTTGTTGATAGTAGGGAGAAGACGATACTGGCTTTGAGGACAAATACGCATACGGCGAGCCCGAACCCGGCATTGGAGAGTTGGGATTAATCGGCGAGTGTATACTGCAAGGCGTTGAATAAGTAGCGTCCTGTTGATATTCTATGGCGGTTTTGTAAGTTGATGCTGGTGAAGGTAGACTTTCTGCTGGTGCTGGAGTGTCTCTACGTCCGGCTGCTCTAGCTAATTTCTTTGCTTGGCGCTTTTCACGCATAAGCTCTGGTAGCCGTATATGGGCACCGGGGACTGGGTCGTCATTATCATCCAGTAACCCAAAGCTTCTACATTCTTTCAAGAAATTTTGTTTAGAGATGTCTCCTTTGTGCTTTGCCATGTTAGCGCCGCCTCTCTCTTCGCGTAGTTTGAGACGAGCATCGGTGCTGTTATCAAGTGCATGGAGAATAAGCCGGTAGCTCAAGGAATTCTTATAATTGCGATGATTTCGCCTCTTCCCCCTTGATCTGGCCTCGACGAACTTTGGATACTCGTCCTGCCACCACAAGTCGACTATGGTCCGCATATCAGAGAAATGCCTTGTCAACTTGAAGATGTTATCCTCGTGCTTGAAGTTCCTCTCGTCGGGACGGACATCGAGGTGAATCATGGCGTCGATGAGATCGAAATGCTGCTCAAAACAATACAAATGCATATACCCAGCATTGTGGTAAGGGTCAAGGACCTCACCGTCATCATTCATCCGCTCATCAAAGATAACACGCGGAAATCCCGTCCTGATGGTATTCTGAGTATCTTCACAGCCGGCAAATCGACACTTCTGAGATTGGGTCCCGTAGGGATATCTGTCATTGGACTGAGGGGCAACCCAACCAATCCACAACGTAAGACCCTGGCGGATCTTGTTCTCTACTTCTGGCACCCCCTGTAATCGCCTCGGTTGCGAAAACTGCTCATCTTTTTTTGGGCCGTAGAGATACCTGCGCAGTTCATGTTCCGAATACGTTTTGCCCCTCTCAAGCTCTCCGCATTCCGTGTACTTAAAAAGAGGACGGCCATTTTTATCCTTTGGACCCCAGCTCTCCGGGGGAGGTGGCGGTGACCCGTACCACTCCCGAGGGTCCGGCTTTGGGTCTTTCTTCCTTGTGACTCTAGGTATCTGGCCGCTTCTTAGCGATAATCCGTTGGGCCCCTTCGCGGGGCGCTTTAAGGGGGGCTCGTGGTGAATGAGGACTGGTGAGGGTATTCTGCTCCTTCTGAGCGCAAATACGTCCCGTGTTCCGTTCTCTACTTCGTCGTTCCTGTCCTCCGAGCTTAGTACACTCACGTCGCTGATTCGGCGAGTAGTTGGGTACGAATTAAGTGGCTGCGGATGCTGAGGTTGATAAGGCTCATAAGGTTCATAAGGTTCATAAGTTTCATAAGGTTGAGGAGGTGGTGAAAACTGTGAAGGATGATACTGGGTGTAGTTGATAGGATAGCTTGGGGAGACGGCTGTAAAATCATGGTGGTTGGCAACGGGGCTACCGATATTCATAGAATTATACGTACCATACGGCTCTTGCTGGATGGTAGGAACCGCAACATTACCGGTATTATTTAGAAGGCTCGGGTCTATGAACTCTTGAGGGACCGAGTGAAATGGCTCCGGCACTGCAAGAGTCGGGTCAAGGTTCTGGTTCTGGAACCGAGAAGGATGAGTGTTATATGGACCGACAGGCGGTTCAAGAAAATCTGGTAGTGTATCAAATGGTGTAGTCAATTCTGGATTATCAAAATCGATATTTTGAAGAATGCTTGTTGTGTCGTCGTACATATCCGGAGGCTCCATCCCCGGGTACTGATTTGACTCGTAACCCATCATTGGTCGAGTAGTATGTCACCTAATAGTGCGAGACCTGAGTTCGACGCAGCTTATAGACGAGGTAGTCAGCTCTGCTAAACCGCCAAGGCAAGAAACCGCTATGAGAAGTCGATCAGGGGTAAAACCAACAGGGTTACTCTATCAGGAAAATTATATTCATGATGATCGGCACTACGTAACTATATACTACTGAGACAACAGATCCTTTTTCTTCATCGTGGCCGAGAGGAGCATTGTTCGTGTATGACATTGTTCAAGCACAATGAACAAGTCACTTCCCTAGAAAGAAACTGTTATAATAACATCATTGTCCAATACAAAGAGACAACGTGTATAGGCACAAGGGAAACGAGATCTGAAGGGAAGCTACATTGATAGGGGGGTTAGGTGAGTTCGCGGCATGATAGCCATTTCAGATGCCTATGTTGTTGGTTAGTAAGGGTTGCGTACAACAAAATATAAAGCGTTGCGTCAAGAGGACATGTATAATCAGTAGAGCTCAATGCATTTTCTCAACAGGGAGTTTCAGAACAGGTCTGTGAATGCGTTGATTTCATCAGGGGATAAGGAAGGTAGAGGTGCTCGAATAAGAAGATAAACTTACTTGGTGGGATTGTGGCAGTTATACCGACCAGCTAACATCTAGTATTAGGTGGGCAATCAGGGGACGGGTTATTCGATGCGAATAAAATATTCTACCATTAAACAAAGACAAGGAAAACTCTCCATCTGTGGGTCGTGCCATGAAAAAGAGCTGTTAGTAGTTGTCCCCGTTCATGTCTCTTCTAAGGATACAGATTGAGTGGCGGATGATATCACGTCTCTTGTCCAAGACTCCAAGCCGAATGAGAAAGCGGCTCGGAGTTTAGGGGTTGTTGCCAGACTCGGCTACGACGAGCTTTCTAGTCATAACGGAGTCATGACGGAGTTAGTAAGTTAGAAGCTTGCCATCTGCTTATATCCAATGCATCCTCATCCAATTCGGTTGCGAATTCTGATGATTGGGATAAAGTGATCAAACGAAAAGAAAGTAAAACTTCACTAAAAAGAAAATATTAGAAGTTTTTGTTTTGGTGAAGTACTTACGGCGTATAGGTTTTACCGTGCTCCGCTCACAAAAACGTGGACGTCTCGTGACATCTCAGATAGCCTAAATCAGCGTAGGTATACCTATCAAGTAAAGTATTCGATAAGCACTAGGGCCGTCCCACTACTTCCCCCACTTCGTTTTTCCCAGGCACTGCAGGCACTGGTGGCTCGGTGGGTTGGAACATTCAAAGTTCGTATTGCCCCAAGTACTTGCTCTTCGCAACCTTATTATGACCAATTGCAACCAATTACGGCCAATTGCCAGCGTAAACTTGGGGTTTGCTCGTAAAAATAGGTACTTACACTACCTCATACAGATGTACTTCATACATACAGACAGGTACCTACCTAACTTACATAAAGGCCAAGACAACATTGAATGTACCTAGGTACCTGGAAGCCACAGTTAGAACATCAGGGTTCTGAACACTTTTGAGAGTCGAATTATTCCCATGTTTCCATGTTCCCTTTTAGCCTTTTTAATCCCTTTTCCGAATACATAATACATATCTGCCCAACTTGCAGTCCACTGCTGTGTTGCATTGTCATGATACCCTATTTTTATATCTGACCGAGGTATTATTGGTTGGTATATCTTGTTGTTGCGATAGGTCGAAGAGGAAGAAAGATCAATATCGTACCCCCCGAAACGATTTGACGTCACGGGCCTCTCGCTTTTTTGAATCGCTTTTGAATCGGGCAATCCGGCGGACGAGACGGTCGTCAACCCTTGCGCGTTTCTTCCTTTCTGTGTTAAACAACGAGAAATCGACATGGCGCAATTGAATCCGGACCTGCAAGAGAAGTTGGACGAATTGGAGAGAGAGCTCGAGGTACGCTGGTGTCATTTACTTCTTCCGTTATTCGGCTCGCGATACCCTTACCGCCCGCCAGCAGCGGTGGGGTACGAGGCCCAACATGTCTACAAGAGAAGCCATTGAACGCAAACTAACTACGAGTCCTGGTATAGGAAGGCGACATTACAGAGAAGGGGTAAGGTTTTGTCTTTAATACTATAGTACATATCGTTAGACCTTCCTCTTGATGTGCCGTCGCATACAGTCTTCATCCTTAGTCGTGCTAACACATCTCATTTTGCCTGTAGCTTCCAAAAACGACGGACCCAGCTACTCTCGCAATATTTAGGCCCCGGCGCATTGGCTGATGCTACTGGAGGCTTACGGATACACACTGTCGACGACGATACCCCTAATACGAGCGAAGGGCATAGAGACGCAGCATATGCCGCTTTAAATACCTCTAATTCAGATCACAATGACGCTTATTCCCCCTCGACTATCACATCTCCCACCGATTGGCGACCCCAATCCTCTGGAATACCCAGTTCTGGTCCTCCCTATAGCGCCGAGCATCCAGCCGGGTTACTACGACCAGGCGGACCTTTGGCCGAACAGCGTCCAGCCTTGAGCCAGCGTGATTCGCTATTCCTTAACCCTGTTCCTAGCTATGCTCAAACGATGGTGTCTGACTCTCCCACGCGGTCGGGGACGATGGTCTCGGGGGATTATGCCTTTAAACCGGAGCACCAAGGAGGGTATGGACACCAACCACCAAACCCTTATGACAGCCGGACCGGCACAATGGTAGACTCCCAGGTGTATTTTTCCGATTTTGCCGGTCAACAGGCATACGACCAAGGTCCTGGTGGTGGCGGCGGCGGCGGCGGAGGCGGCGAATATGGCGGAGGCATGCATCGATATTCATCCAGTGATGCCTTCTCACCTACCGCTGCTATGGCCCCGCCTATGCTCACTGCGAGCGATTTGCCTCCCCCCGAGGCACTAGAGTATCAGATGCCCCTGGACCCACGAGAACTACCATTTGCTATCCATGACCCGCATGATGAAAATACCGCTATGTCGAATTTTGACAACATTGCTTCTGTGCTAAGACATAGGGGGCGCACTACTGGGAAGCTTCCGGCATATTGGGTGCTTGATAGTAAGGGGAAGGAGATCGCATCTATTACTTGGGACAAGCTCGCTTCTCGAGCAGAGAAAGTAGCACAAGTCATCCGAGACAAAAGTTCGTTGTATCGTGGGGACCGCGTTGCTCTTATTTACAGGGACTCAGAGATCATCGACTTCGCGATCGCCCTCCTAGGCTGTTTTATCGCGGGCGTTGTGGCAGTTCCTATCAATGACTTACAGGACTACCCAAAGCTAAACCTCATCTTAACTTCCACGCAGGCGCATTTAGCCCTAACTACCGATAATAACTTGAAATCATTTCAGCGAGATATCACCACCCAGAAGTTGAACTGGCCTAAAGGGGTTGAATGGTGGAAAACTAACGAATTTGGAAGCTATCATCCTAAGAAGAAGGATGACGTCCCCCCTTTATCCGTCCCTGATCTAGCATACATTGAATTCTCCAGAGCCCCGACAGGAGATCTTCGGGGTGTGGTACTTAGCCACCGCACTATAATGCACCAAATGGCCTGTCTAAGTGCTATAGTTCAGACCGTCCCTAATGGGTCCAACGACACCTTCAACCGCACCCTTAGAGATAAGAATGGACGCCTCATAGGAGGGGGCGCTAGCAGTGAGATTCTTTTGTCGTACCTTGATCCTCGTCAAGGCATCGGTATGATTCTGGGTGTCCTCCTCAATGTCTATAGCGGTCATACAACTGTATGGGTAGAGAATAAGGCGGTAAACGCTCCTGGTCTCTATGCCCACCTCATTACTAAATATAAGGCCACGCTTATGGCTGCCGACTATCCCGGCCTGAGAACTGCTGCCTTCAACTACCAACAAGATCCTATGACTACGCGAAATTTCAAGAAGGGCATGGAGCCAAACTTTCAGCATGTCAAGATTTGTCTAATCGATACCTTGACGGTGGATAGTGAGTTCCACGAAGTATTAGCCGATCGATGGCTTCGACCTCTGCGAAACCCTAGGGCTAGGGAAGTCGTTGCCCCGATGCTATGTTTGCCCGAACATGGAGGCATGGTTATCAGCGTCCGGGATTGGTTAGGTGGCGAAGAGCGCATGGGATGTCCATTGAAATTAGATATCGACGCCGATTCCGGTTCGGAAACCGACAAGGAGGAAGAGAAGGACAAAGAAAAAGAGAAGGAAAAAGAAAAGGAGAAGGAGAAGGAGAAGGATAAACTAGCGCCATCGAATGGTTTTGGAAGTCTTCTCGGGGGCGGTACAACGACTACGAAAGAGCACGACGCTAAGAATGATCTTGGCGAGGTTCTACTGGACCGAGAAGCACTCAAGACGAACGAAGTCGTCGTAGTAGCTATAGGAGAGGATGCTCGGAAGAAGGCGAATGCCGAACCAGGTACCGTCCGGGTTGGTGCCTTTGGATATCCGATTCCTGATGCTACTCTCGCCGTCGTTGACCCTGAAACGGGGCTTCTTACCTCTCCACATTCTATTGGGGAGATTTGGGTGGATTCTCCTTCTTTATCCGGAGGGTTTTGGGCGTTGCCCAAGCATACCGAGCAGATCTTTCACGCCAGACCCTACAAATTCGAACCGGGAGACCCGACACCTACACCGGTAGAGCCCGAGTTTCTCAGGACCGGTCTTCTTGGGACCGTGATTGAAGGCAAAATTTTCGTGCTTGGATTATATGAAGACCGTATCCGGCAGAAGGTTGAGTGGGTTGAGCATGGCCACGAAGTTGCTGAGCATCGATACTTCTTCGTGCAGCACATTATTGTCAGCATCCTTCGAAACTTAAATAAGCAAGTGTTTGATTGCTCTGCGTTTGACGTCTTCGTCAATGATGAGCATCTACCAATAGTAGTACTAGAGTCGTCGGCAGCTTCAACAGCTCCAGCAACGTCCGGTGGTCCGCCTAGGCAGCTAGACACCGCATTGTTAGACACGCTCTCAGAAAGATGTATGGATGTCCTTATGCAAGAA